CCTATTAAGCTTATCTATTATTTAATATCTTTACAGTAAAGAAATAGCATAAGTTTATATAATTACTTTATACCTATATAGGGTATTTACTACCTTCTAGATAATAATACTAATATTTAAAAGTATTAACAATAGCTAGAAGTTCTTAGTTATAGATCTTATAGCATGCCTCTATTTTAATAAACTTCTAAGCATAATATACTACAGGGTGCTAGTTCTTAGATACAGTTTATTAATCTATTTAAATTCTAATTTATAGACCTATCTCTAACCTAGTACTTAGAGCTATCTTATTACTGTCTCCCTGAAGGAGTATAGCGGTAAGAGCAAATCTTAAGATATTAGTTGCTAGTATTATTAGCTTCTCTAAATTAAAATGCCTTAATACTAGCAGAGTTATAAAAGCTAATTTTAGCTTATTAAATACCTTTGCAGCTTCTCTAATCTAGGTAAATATCTTAATTTTCTTCCCCTAGATGCTTTTTTTTAGCAGATTAATTAGAGGAGCTGTCTTTATAAAGTAATTATAGATAAATCTTCTAAAGAAACTAGTAAATCTTAGGAAGACTTAAACTTTCTTAAAGAATTTAAGCTCTAGCTAATCTCTAATAGTTTTTATTCTACTAGGATCTATTTCTATTCTATCTTTTCCTATAAAAAAATTAAGGAATTTAACTCTTTCCTTATATAATTTATATTTAGATAACTTTATATATAATTTATACTCTTATAGCCTCTCTAGGACCTGCACTATATATCTCTTATACTCCTTAATAGAGTTAGAGAAGATTAAGATATTATTTAAATATATAATATAATAAATATCTAATAATCCCTATAATACCTAATTAATATAGGCTTAAAAAATAGCAGGCGCATTATACAGGCTAAATAGTATTATTAAGTATTTAAAGTATCTATAATAGGTTTAGAAGGCTATCTTCTATTTATCTCCTTAGCAGATTTAAATCTAATAATAGGCGTCCCTAAGATTAAGCTTAGTAAAGATCTTAGAGCTAATTAATTAGTTAAGCATTTTATCTATTCTAGGTAAAGGATATCTGTTTTTTATAGTAATGCTATTTAAAGCTCTATAGTTAATACAGAGCCTTAATATATTATCTGCCTTTAGAATAAATAGAATAGGTGCCTCTATAAGACTAGTTAATAATTATATCTAATTCTTCTATTATATATCTTTAAGATATTTATATAGAATATCTAATTTTTTAGCAGAGAGGTTATAAAGTCTACTTTATAGAGGCGCCTTACTATTTAAAAGTTTAATCTTATATTTATTTATCTTAGCAGGCAATATACTTATACCCTTCTTTAAGAAGACTTTAATATACTTCTTATATTCTAGAGGTAGGTTTTTAAAAGTAATAGGGTTAATTTAGTCCCTATAGAATATATAGATTATCTCTTTTCTTACTATCTTAGAGAATTATTAAGCACTTTTAATCTTTACCTATAGCTAATATAGAATATAATATCTTTAAGTTATTAACTCTTAATTTATAATAGGATTTATAGCATATAGCTATAGTTTCTTAAGAATAATACTTAATCTAGGTATTAGGATAATATAAAAGCATACTTTTACTTTTTCTATTATTTCTTTAGAGTTAGTAATATAGATCTCTGCTTCGAATAATCTATACTTCTAAATTTTATACCTATTAATAGATTTAAAGTTTATATACTATTAGAAGTTTAAAGGAATTCTATAATATATAGCTATATCTAGGCTAATATAGCAGCGGGCTAATCTAGAATTAATAAAAACCTTATCTTTAAATATATTATTAAGAAGGTGCAGTTATACTAAGATATATAAAGATTCTTTCTCTAGCTTAAACTCTTTATTATAAAAGGCTATAATAGTCTTAGGTTTTCCTTTCTTAAAGAGGTCTTTTTTTTTTAGGCATAATTTAAATCTCTATATATAGCCTGTTTTATTATAGTTAAAGCAATAATCTTCTTTTTTAAGCCGATCTTATTCTATTAGTAATCTGAACTTCTTTTTTTTTAGGGTTTAGTTAGCTCTGCGCGCTAGTTATTAGTCTCCTTCTTCTTTTGCCCTAGGGGGGAGTCCTTTAATATATTCTATATTAATCTACTCGCGTTTAGCGGAGTAAGTTAATTTATAGTCTTATTCTTCTTTTAGTTTATCTCCTAATTAGTAGCTAAAGATACTAATTAGTTAAGGTTTATTAGGAGATCTTAATAATTTAATAACTTTATTTAAATCTTAAGTTATAATTTTATATAGAAGATATAAGACTAGATAATTCTATTATTATTAAACCCTTTACCCTAATTTAACTTTACTTAAGCCTGCTTAAAATAGTGTAAAAAGGCTTAAGCGGTTTAATTAAAATATTAGATTAAGGTATAAAAACAGTTTATTACATTTTATTCTTAGTAATATAGATTATTAAGCAAATCTAGTAACTAACCCTTAAATCCTTCTTAGGTTAATATCTAGAAGTTAGGATCCTCTTGCTAGTAAATCTAAGACTAAGCTAATTCTCTATCTAGCAACACTGCAGTATAGGTAACTTTCTTAGCTTTATCTTTAAATAACAAAGTATTATAAGCTAAGTATTTATCTATATACTAGCATTACTAGTAATAGGCATTAAGTATAGTAGCTTTATACCTCTATAATTCTAGTAGCTTAAGCCTTAGCTGCTTATTAGTATAACTAGCAGTAAGGAGCTATAGGAGGTCTCTCTTTATTAATAATTTATTTTCTATTTGAGCTCGCTTTATCCCTAAGCCTATTAGAGTATCTTCTAGGGTTTATAAGCTAGCTTTAGCAATCGGTTACTGCAAGCTAGGTTTAGCGCTCTCCGAATCCTTTAAAATATATATTATAGGCTAAGTGCTAAGACCTTTATCCCCTAAATTATAGAATATATTAATACTGCTACTTATATTGCTAGGTTAAGCAATTTAAATTATAAGGAATAGGGGTTCCTAGAGATTGCTAATAAATTACTCCGCTAGCAATTATAGCGAGAGAAGTAATAGCTTTATATATTTAGCTTAAAGAAAGATCTACTAATAAAATAAAGGGTTAACTATTATAATAAAGGGTCTAACTAGTGTAGAGAAAAGTCTATACTAAAGGGTCCTAATAATAAAGAGTCTATATAAGTAAAGAAATAATAAGGTATATATTATATTAAAATAGATTGCTAGCTTCTAATAAGATAATAATCTAGAGCCTATTTATATTCTAAATCTTAAGCACTTCCTAGCTTTATCTTATATAAATCCTGAAAGCGAGGAGAGCGGGGTTTAACTAATTACCTCAGTATTATATTTAGATTTAGGGCTTCGCTACAGTCTTACGAGCTTATGCCTTAGTAAGAAGCTAGGGGCATAATATTACTTTAACTGCTTATTAAAAATAATATATTATAGACTAGTATTCTATTATTAGAGGAGTATATTTTTAATATATAGGTCTATTATAATATTTATAAGCTTTAATATCTTCTTATTATATATATTATTTAGAACTTCTTATAGAAGCTTTTTAATCCCCCGCTAATTACTTATAGATAATACTAATTAACTTAATTTACTAGAGAAAGGCCTATCTTTAGGTTTCTTTTTAAAATGCTTAAGAATAATCTATAGGTTAAATAGGTATAGACCGGTTGCTGCCTATTTATTATTAATATTTTTTATTATAAAAATAATATCTTAGCTAAAGAAGAAGAGATTAAAAAAATCTCTCTTCTTAAAGCAGCTAAGTCTTAGGCATTTATTTATTTATATATTTAATTAAGTATTATAGGCTCTAGCTAATAGGCTAAATAAAGAAATATTAAGTAACTATAATATATAGATAGAATAAGATAGAAATAATAATAATAAGATTCTATTATAATTATAATAATTAATAAAATATTTTATAATATAAGAGTTATAGCTATTAAGGATTAATAGCTAATAGCTTTTACTTACCTTTACCTTAGTCTTTTTATTAAAGATTTTAACTAGCTAGCAATATCTTATCTTATTATTAGTCTAGCTACTAAGAGAAAAGATAAAAAAATATTTATAAATTTTAGGATTAAATATTTAAAGCTATATATCTTATAATTTTTTTAGTATAGTTTTATAGATTAAAGCTAATAATAAAAATATTTTATTTATATAAATAGCAGCAAATACTATAATTTATTTCTTATTCTTATCTTAGATTAATTATTTAATATATCCTTATTTATAGTAATAATAAGAAAAGATTTTTTTAACTTTTTTTAAAACTCTAATTATAAAACCTTTTTTATCTATATTATAGATATTATATAGCTTAATCTTAAATTTCTAAAGCTTTTAATCTATAAACTTAAAATATAGGGAATATTTAAATATAAAATTAGCTTACTTATATAAGATATTTATAATAATATCCTAAGCTAATAAGAGGTCTTATTTATATCTTTTTATAAAATATAATAGCTATTGCTTTTTAAACTCTTTTTTAAAAATTTTTTTATAAAGTTTTATAATATTTTATATAAAAGAGATAAGTTATATTCTATAAGGCTATTAATCTATTTAATAAATATTTTTTCTTACTAGATATTTAGGAATTATTAGTTTTTATATTAGACTATTAACAGGCCCTAGATACCCTTATATTATTATGTTAAGATTATATAGTTTATACTATATTTTTTTGCAATTTTTATATAATTAGGTTTTTTGTCAGGCTCTAAAGACTTTAAATCTTTAAGAGCTAATAAAATAGGATCTATATTAGTAGTTTGGTGGGTGGTTGAATTAATTGGGGGAGTTTTAAAAAAAACAGTCGGCAGGTGGAAACGGTCGTCAGATGACTAAACACAGTAGCGCACGTGACCTGACGCGCTGCTCGTCGCGTTCTCGAAGAGATGCCTTTCATCAAAGGGGAAGACCATACATCTGCAGGCCGTCACTTGGCCACTTCACGTCTTCAGAAACAAGGAAACTCCATGGCTCCAATAGTCTCCCAGCAGCTGATTCAGTCACTGAGCCAGCAATGGCCTTGTCGCGAGCTCCAGATTCGGCAACTTGCAAGCCTACTTAGCGTAAGCTCTTTCCTGTGCGCTTAGCTACTCGAATCTGTCGATAAGATTGAATATTAGCTGACCCAATTTTTGGTATTTTGAGCAGCCTACGATACCTAGTCCAGCAACGTTGGTTGTCCACGGTATCTCTGCAACTTGCAAGTCGACAATCGTCCGCGCCGTGCTCTCATCTCTCGATGTACCCCATGCGATCGTGAAAAGCGCAGAGTGTATAACCGGACGACATTTGCTCACAAAGATCCTACTGACGGCCCTTGAGTCGTTAGGTCTTAAAGATGAGTGGGAGAAGTTTGGCAAGGGGAAATGCGAGCATGCCAGTTCATTGGCGGTGCTGCTGGCCAACGCTCTGGAATCGAAGATGGGGAAGGTCCAGAAGTTCGTAATAGTTTTGGACGGTATTGACAAGCAAAGAGAGGCGCCATATACTATGTTGTCGGCATTGGCGAGGTTGGGTGAAGTGGTCAGTATATGCCTCTGGTTTCATGTCTCGCGGCTGGCGACTGACTCTGCTAGATACCATCATTATCCGTTGTCCTCATAGTGGGATCTACACCGCGACCCCTCTTCCTACATTCAGCAGCAGTGCCTCATATCAGTTTCCCTCCTTACACTAGGACCGAAGCTATCACGATTCTCACTGCCGCAGAACCACCGCATGTGGACGGTCTCCCCGCAGAAGCTGCTTCGAAGCTCTATCCCCATTTTGTTTCTACCATCTATGATTCTTTGGTTGGGCCTACTGCTGGAACGATCCCAACTTTTCGGTCTATATGCGAGAGACTTTGGCCTCGTTTTGTCAGTCCCATCGTGAATGGGGAGAACCCCCCTGGAGGCAGCCGGGAATGGGACTTTCCGCGGCTGCTTGTGAAGAATCGATCGCTTTTCCGACAGCAGGGTGAATCTGCACTTGTTCATCGCATCGTTCCGGAAGGCTCGTCGACTGGGAAGGTTTCAGCCCCAGCACCCTCACCACTGCCTTCATTACCTTATTTCCCGACTTTAATCCTAACTTCCGCCTATGTGGCATCTCATACACCTCCTCGTCTAGATACTATCTTCTTCTCGAAATTCTCCTCGTCGTCTCTGTCCGCACGGAACAAACGGTCACACCACAGACGACGCTTGAAGCTGCTCTCCCAGGCGCGAGCGGAAGACAGCCGAGACGATTCCCAGGATCCTTCAACCCCTAGTAAAAAGGGGAAGCGTCAAAAGACGCGCATCACCAAATCGACACTTGAATCCGCGTTAGCTACATCATCCGCTACGACATCAGCTAGCAAAGGAATCACGGGGCCTTCTACCATTCTCACCGCTAGACCATTCCCTCTAGAACGACTTATCGCCGTCTACCGTGCCATTGACCCCAATCCTCCCGCTAATCCTATTCGCGCAGCATCAGTGGCGGACGCAATCTATGCAGAGCTCGCGACTTTGCGACGTTTACGGCTGGTGGTGCCCTCCTCAGGCGCGGCTAGCAGCAGTGGAGGAACCGCAGACACGGGAGAGAAGTGGTGCGTCAATTTCTCTGGAGACTGGATCGGCGATCTAGCGAAGGGAATCGGCGTCGAGGTCGGAGAATGGTTAGTTGGTGGTTTGGACTGATCGTGAGAATGTCGTATCGCCTGGTTGCGTTCTGGGGATCTAGCAGAGATTTGTACTATTATAATGTGCATTATTGCATTTATGAGACCAATGATAAAATCATTACAATATTCCATCCTGCGGATCACATTCCGCTGTTTCTGATTCCATTAACATTACCACGTCCACTCCTGCACCGTGGGCCCATCATTTACCAATAACCGCGGCGTGTGCGTTCCCAAAGCAGGCCAATCTCCCGACTCGAACAGTACAGCTCTCGTCTGGCCTCGCTGACGAGCTTCCTGAAGAGGCGACGGCACTATTTGCCCCGTTCTAAGGGAAAATAGTTCAGGTTTATGGTCCTCGATCACTTTAAAAGAGAGAAGAAGTTAGTTACTGTGATTTGGGTTTTGTTTATCTGGGTTTGGCGGGTGGGCAAGATGGAGAGAGATGTACCTGCGGCAAGGAGCCCAAGATCAGGACTAACATCAAAATCGCAGATAGTCTCGCTGGAGTATTCTGGAAAGGTGATGTATGGCTTTGTGGAAGAGTGACGATGGCTTGTGGGTTTGGGCCGAGTCTGGAGACCGTTGGCCGGGTAGCGGATGTCGTATATTTGGAGCTTTGATGCTTCATTTTTAGTGTATTATTCCCAGGTGAATCGACAAGGTAAAGGGGAAGGGAAGGAGAAGGTAAATGATTGAACATACCGACTGTCGTCCTGACACCGCAAGTCTGTATTCATCTACTTTTCGAATCTTGGCAACAGACCTGTTATGCTGTAATCTCGTCACTGTACCACGACTGCGGAGGTCATGGAAAAAGATAGAGGAATCTCGTAAGCCGGAAACGATGACTTCGGAAGTAAGCCATTCGACGGACATTACGCTGGCGTGTGAATGTTTCGGTCTGGGTGGGATTGCATCCAGGGGGGTATTTTCGGGATGTGGAAATGGTTTAGGGGATAAGGACCAGCCGTATCCGATGCCTTCTAGGGTGTGTAGGCCGTCTGAGGTTCCGACGGCGAAAAGTGGAATGTCTCCTGTTGGACATGGAGAAGAGCACCATAGGGATGAGGACCCTGGCATGCGTGTCGGATGGGTTACTGGGGGAGTTGTTAGCACTCGAACTGTAGATACAGGGTGTACTAAGCTAGTTACGTACAACCAGAGGGCCATATATACATGTCCTCTCTGTCTTCGGGGTTAGGTAGTCTTCTCGTTGCTAGAATTGAATCGCCTCTTGGTCCGCTATCCATTGTTGCTCTGTAGCATGTTAGTGAGTTTCTTGGCGGACGGACTCGGATGACTTACAGAAGGAATCCAGTATGACTGAGAGAGATTGAAGAGAGCTATGGCCAAGTTAGCAGGTGGTATCCGGTAACAAGGATGTTCTAATGTACCCTATATGGTTCTCTGTAGAGTGGTCGCTCTAATGAGTTGTTGTACGTCCAAGTCTCGCGATGAGATTCTGGAAAGCACATTCTGATATGGTCAACGCTGTCCGTCCTCTAGATCCTTGACAATTGATGACTTACGAGATTACCGACTCGCCTCCAATAAGGCTTCCTTCATAACGTAAGTACTTTTCCATATAAGCGGCATTATAAGAAAAGTTCTTACCTGCCACCATGAGCCCTGAGCGACTACTGCGCTGGAGGAACCACAGCTGATATTCTGGCGTATCTCTAATAGACCAAAACTTATGCAACTCCCTTCGTCGCACTTGGCTCACATATGCTCTTCCTTGCTGCTCGAACATGATGCCCCTAGATCGCGGCTCTGCATTCACTTCTCTTTCTACCCCGATGAGCGGGTGCCCAAGGGAACTTGATCTCTTGATTCTTTCCGTTGCAACTCTGCGTGCGCGGAAGATATCTTTCTTGCGTTTCTGCTGACTTGTAAGTACCATGACTAGGAATAGAAAAGGATAAGTTTGGGAGTGATAACCTTCTCATCTAGTCGTCTCTGCTTAATGGCCCTTTCAGAATATTGGGATCCCGATGGCGCGACATGGTTGGCTTGGATTTTGAAGTATTTGTTCTTTTCGGCGTCTAGTTCAAAAGTGAGTTAGTATCATGTAGGAGGAACCAGTATGATGACCAAATTACTTGGTATAGTATAGGAGATTTCAGGTTCTCAAATTGATAGAAACAATAAGACACTTCTTATTCCATGGATGTATTCTCGAGTACAAATGCGGGTGAACCGCGTCGAAGTTATTCAAACAAAATAGTTTCGACCAAGAGCAGAGAATCCGTAAAATACAAATCAAGTTATGCTAATTAACTCACCATAATAAAAGCCTGGGATATCCCTGGCCATCTTGCTTCTAGCTCAATATAAGCAAGAATCAGGAAGATAGGCTGAGGTCTGGACGCGCTAGCCAGTCACGCGTGGATACCGATCTCCCTCTGACCCTGGTTGTAGCTGATCCTGAGAGTGGTTTCATACAAAGATCTATAAAGACTCCATGGAGACAATGCCAGAGCGTAAGGAGAATCCAGATATGCACCGGAGTCGAAAATATGGTCTCCAGAGGTTCAGCAAGTGCGGGTAGAAAATAGTTGCCGCGAAGTCGATAAGATCCGCTGCGGCCACAGACTAAGTAGTTGTCTAAAGTAGCCAGGGTGATCTATTATGGCATTTAACGTGTAATATGTTTCTGCAGGCAATATTTATCTGACGCGATTCTCATGAAATTCTTTTCTGATCTTATCGCATCGCGAACAGTGACGTGCGTCCCGCCAACTGGCTTATGTAAGACTATCTCGACGGTTGGATGAAATGTGATTGGCCCATTGTGCTTCCACAGTGTATAAGGATTCGAATTCTCGTTTAAGGTAGGATTGAAAACGGTTATTATTGAGCTAAGAAAGGATATGGTCGCAACTATGGTGAGTTTCCAATGAGGTATTTCATACAAGATGCATACGCCGGTCGGTGTCTTGACACTTGTGGTCTGGTGGAAGGAAGTCGCCTTTTATTCGCCAAGGAAGACGGAATTCCAGATAATAATGAGCAACATCTGACAGAAAAGTCTCCTGGAGTCTCCTAGAAAGAGTCACAGATGTCAAGAAAATTGGGATATGCAGGGTATCTTCTTCCCTCTGTCTCTGTGTCCTGACTCGTGCTTCTTACATCCTATCACAGGAAACTGGAAGGGCTCGATACCTTTGCCAATGCCACAGGTGCATTCCTCCATATCAATATGGTCTACTGTAAGTGAGGTACTTTGATAATGGACGCCACGCCTACGTATTGTGTCGCTAGGGATTGACTTTGGCCATAGCTCGCAGCTCATACAGTGCCTACCGTGGACAATACGGTATGATATAACAGAGCAGGGTGTGAACTGAACGAACAAGAAATCATCAGAATTAATGTATATAGTACGAATTCTACGAGCCTTCTCGTCCTATAGCTAACAGCTATTTTTATCGCTGTCATAATGGTTGGAGTGTGTTTTCTGTACTGTGTTGCACACCTGCCTTCATTATTGTGGCCTGTCGCTGCTCCTGCTTAAACTCGGCCTCCTTCCTATCTCTGCTCCTCCACCCCTTCCTATTTTCGTCCTTTGTCTTCTTTTCTTACTTCCTTCTGCTGCTGTTCTGGAGTGAGTCTTTTCCTCCAGATTCACTCGTTTGTCTATCTAACTCATTTGCACGCTTTCTTTTACTAACTTGCTTATACTCGTAGTCTTTATATCATTGGTGTGATCATTATACTCGGTCATCAGGCTTTACATCATGGTAGAATCCAATGGCGCTGCCCCCTATGTGGGCTCAACCCGTTTGGGGGCTGAAGTGCCAGCGAGAGACTTCGACGGTGTCACGGAAAGGAAGCAGATCGAGCCCACGACAAATGAGAAACAGCTCCCACTGGACGACAACGATGAAGAAGACGAGGACATGGACGCGCTTATTGAGGAGCTCGAGTCACAAGATGGTCATATCGATCAGGAAGACGAAGCTGATAATGAACCTGGCGGTGCTCGTCCTGTCCCTGACGAATTGCTTCAGACAGATACTCGCATCGGTTTGACAGATGCTGAGGTTCTGCTGCGGCGTAAGAAGTACGGGCTCAATCAGATGAAAGAAGAGAAGGAAAACATGATGCTGAAGTTTCTCTCCTATTTCGTCGGACCGATCCAATTTGTCATGGAAGTAAGTGATAACCGAGTCTCCCACTCACACCTATATGTGATCTGGATTAGCACATCGAGCAAGAACTCTGGGAATATGCTAATTTGGATTTATTTCGAATAGGCTGCAGCAGTTCTTGCAGCAGGTCTCGAGGACTGGGTCGATTTCGGAGTCATCTGCGCTTTGCTGCTTCTCAACGCAGGCGTCGGTTTCATTCAGGAATTTCAAGCTGGCTCGATTGTCGAGGAACTGAAGAAAACGCTCGCACTCAAGGCAATCGTTCTTCGTAGCGGAAGACTGGTTGAAATCGAAGCACCTGGAGTCGTTCCCGGAGATATCTTGCAAGTTGAAGAGGTAAGCGGTGGCAGAGCATCTGGTTGCTGCATAACACTAATCAGCGCAGGGTACCATCGTTCCAGCTGATGGCCGTATCGTCACTGAAGATGCTTTTCTCCAAGTCGACCAGTCTTCCATCACCGGTGAGTCCTTGGCCGTCGACAAACACACGGGAGATACTTGCTATGCCTCGTCAGCAATCAAACGGGGAGAAGCCTTCCTCGTCGTCACTGCAACCGGAGATAATACCTTTGTGGGTCGTGCAGCTGCTCTAGTCAGCGCAGCATCAGCCGGCTCTGGTCACTTTACGGAGGTCCTCAATGGCATTGGTACTGTTTTGCTGATTTTGGTTATCCTGACCTTGCTCATTGTCTGGGTGTCTTCATTCTATCGGTCTAATGGCATCGTGACTATTCTCGAGTTTACCCTTGCCATCACCATCATCGGCGTCCCTGTCGGGCTTCCGGCTGTGGTCACGACTACCATGGCTGTTGGCGCTGCCTACCTTGCCAAGAAGCAGGCTATTGTCCAGAAGCTCTCTGCCATTGAGTCTTTAGCTGGAGTCGAGATTCTTTGCTCGGACAAGACGGGCACCTTGACGAAGAACAAGCTCTCTTTGGCCGAGCCTTACACCGTGGCTGGGGTTGATCCTGAGGATCTCATGCTCACAGCGTGCCTAGCTGCCTCGCGCAAGAAGAAAGGAATCGACGCCATTGACAAAGCCTTCTTGAAGTCTCTCAGATACTACCCACGAGCCAAAAGTGCACTCACTCAGTACAAGGTCATCGACTTCCATCCCTTCGACCCGGTTTCCAAAAAGGTTGTTGCCGTAGTCCAGTCTCCCCAGGGGGAACGAATCACCTGCGTCAAGGGTGCTCCTCTTTTTGTTCTGAAAACTGTCGAAGAGGACCACCAAATCCCTGAGGAGATTGACAATGCATATAAGAACAAGGTCGCCGAGTTTGCTACTCGCGGATTCCGCTCACTTGGAGTTGCTCGTAAGCGTGGAGAGGGCGCATGGGAGATTCTGGGAATCATGCCTTGCTCTGATCCACCTCGTCATGATACTGCAAAGACCATCCATGAGGCGAAGACTTTGGGTCTTTCGATCAAGATGTTAACCGGTGATGCTGTTGGTATCGCCCGAGAGACTTCGCGACAGCTCGGTCTAGGGACCAATGTATATAATGCGGAACGTCTCGGTTTGGGTGGTGGCGGCGACATGCCTGGTTCTGAGGTGTATGATTTTGTCGAAGCAGCAGATGGGTTTGCGGAAGTATTCCCTCAGCACAAATATAACGTTGTCGAGATTCTACAACAGCGTGGCTACCTGGTCGCCATGACGGGGGATGGCGTCAATGATGCTCCATCTCTCAAGAAAGCCGATACAGGAATCGCCGTCGAAGGTGCCTCAGATGCTGCACGCTCTGCTGCCGATATTGTGTTCCTCGCCCCAGGTCTATCTGCCATTATCGACGCTTTGAAGACTTCCCGCCAGATCTTCCACCGCATGTACGCGTATGTGGTGTACCGAATTGCGCTGTCACTGCATCTGGAGTTTTTCTTGGGCCTGTGGATTGCTATCCTTAACGAAAGTCTGAACCTTCAACTGGTTGTCTTCATCGCTATTTTCGCAGACATTGCGACTCTGGCTATTGCTTACGACAATGCACCGTATTCCAAGACACCAGTGAAATGGAATCTTCCTAAACTCTGGGGGATGTCCATTATCCTAGGCGTTGTTCTGGCTGTAGGCACGTGGATCGCCCTTACTACCATGTTTGCTGGCGGAGAGGACGGTGGTATTGTGCAGAATTTCGGACGACGTGATGAGGTCCTTTTCCTTGAGATCTCGTTGACTGAAAACTGGTTAATTTTCATCACCCGGGCCAATGGACCGTTCTGGTCCTCGATTCCATCGTGGCAGTTGACAGGAGCCATTCTGGTTGTTGATATTGTTGCAACCCTATTCTGCATATTCGGTTGGTTTGTCGGTGGCCAGACCTCGATCGTGGCTGTTGTCCGTATTTGGATCTTCTCATTTGGCGTCTTCTGTGTAATGGGCGGGCTCTATTATCTTCTCCAGGGGTCTGCCGGGTTTGATAATTTGATGCACGGGAAGAGTCCCAAGGGTAGCCAGAAACAGCGTTCCCTGGAAGATTTCGGTGAGTGTCTCGTACTGACTGCATCTGAGTTAGAATATCATATACTGATTCTATTTCTAGTTGTCTCGCTGCAACGAGTCTCCACGCAGCATGAGAAGAGTTCATGAGATCTGGTTGAGACCAGCTGAAGCAGCGGCGGTTCTCCCTCTTCTGGTGATTGGCCACGGCATACATGATATGCCCCCTTTCCGGTTCAATGACTGATCTCTGATGATGCGCTGAGCTCAGATCTTCCTGCATGTCCCATGCCTAGTAATGCCGCTAACGTATCCTTGTCTTTTGGTCCAACACTTGTGGCACCGTATTCTGACTGGTGTAATTTCTTTTATGGCGACTGTCCCTTCCACATGACTATAGCGTCTTCTGTGTTCGTTGCACTGTGGATATATACCTGTTTATGGAGAGCATGCCGGTGTGGAGTCGCGGTGGTATATAGCTTTCATTATTGTTTGCTAGGTACAATGGGCAGTACAGGAAATAGGAATAACAGGACTATTCTCATGCAGATCATAGCAGCCAGGATAGAATGGAAGTCCGACTGTCAATCAAGGTCATGTAGTAAAATCACAGATGTAAACACTACACGTAGCACCCGACAGCATGGGAGAGACTTATGGCAAAAATAAGAAATGACATCGCCAAAGTACGGACTACCTTGTACATGACAATCCCGTCTCCAATGTCCCGCGGGGATCGATTGATCGGCGGGGTGAATCTCGGAAAATAACCAGGAATGCGGGGAAGCCAGACGCGATCACCAGATCCGTTCAGCACCGTCATTCAATTGAGCCGAGAACAGCCCCATTCGCTTGGTTTTGCTCGGTAGAATATGAATCGGTACAGTGTATTTTGCGCAATGGCACGGTAGTATTGCTAGAAGAATCGGCTCATGCGCGGGCTGGGACTACCGGGTACCTGGATATATAAGAGACGTAGATAGTATCTCAACATGGAATTGCAGACTAGGTGTAGAGTCGGTTCTTTCTAGACGGATCGATACAGGACCAGATGAAGATAGAACAAAATGAAGCCGTTATTCGCAATCCTCACTGGTATCATAGCAGCAGCAGCAGCAGTGTCTGCGCAGTCCTTCGATCCCAATGGAGTCACATCAAACCAGGGCTTCGATCCAGCTAAGGTCGGAACGAACAAGACGACCAATGCGACGTATTCGAATCCCATCATGACTGCCAATGCGGCTGATCCGTAAGTGATGCTTTTCATTTGAAATTGGTGAGCTACAGACTAATTTTGGGATATACATATATAGATTCATGACACGATACGACGACTGGTATCTGTTGACGTATACAACGAACGATAATATCACGTTGAAGAGATCACATTCTCTAACAGATAACTGGGACGACGCAGAGACCCGTGTGGTCTTCAATCCAGATCCAAATAGCGGCGAGCCGTGGGCGACTGATGTTCGTTTTTCAGTTTTAACTCCTCATATAATAACTCTCTACTCTTGTTGATACTAATATACTAACCAACTCTTCCTTTCAAGCTCTGGGCCCCTGAAATCCACAACATCTCCGGAAAATGGTACATCATCTTCAGCGCAACCCCCGACGCTGACTCCCCCCACCCCCTCCAAGACGCAATGTGCCGATTCTCCTGCCCAGCCATCAACCACCGGATGTTCGTTCTCGAAAGCTCCGGCCCCGACCCCTGGACATCAACCTACAATCTAAAAGGCATGCTGAACACCTTCGACCAATTCGCCATCGACGGCACCTACTTCCACCACTCCAATAACCTCTACCATATCTATTCCTGCTGGGAAGACAAATATTCCGCCTGGCCGGCAAACCTATGCATCACGCGCCTCTCCTCCCCCTGGAACGTCAGCTCATCGTTACTCGAACGACGAATGATCTCCACTCCTTCTGAGCCATGGGAACAAGTACCCTACGGTCGAGCGGGGCGATTAGCTACAAACGAAGGACCGCAGCAATTAACGAATCCGAAAACAGGACAGGAGTTCATTGTGTATTCGGCTGCGAGGGTGAATACGCCGTTTTATTGTCTCGGGTTGTTGGAATTGGTGGGTGATGATCCGATGGAGTATCAGAGTTGGAGGAAGAGGAGGGATGGGTGTGTGTTTCATCAGAATGGGAAGGAAGGGGTGTTTGGGACGGGGCATGCGAGTTTTACGGTTAGTAGTAGTAGTAGTAGTAGTGAGGATGGGGTGGAAAGTTGGTTGGTTTATCATGCGCAGACGGAGGCGGATCCGAGTGGTGAGTTTTCGACCCTTTTTTTTTTCTTTCTTTTCTATATCGGATGTTTTGGGCTCAGAGAATACGCACCGGTATACCTGGTATATATATGGCTAACAGTATATATTTGTTCTAATTAAAAAAGCAAACCTCTACCGAACAATACGAACTCAGAAATTCACCTGGAATGAAGAAGACGGCACGCCTATTTTCCCTGCTGCTGCGAACGGGCCATTTCCTGTTCCGAAGGGGCAGGTCTCGTGAATCGAATCATTAATTGTGTGAGTCAATCTCAACTACTCAACCACTCAGTCGGTCAGTTATGATAGATGAAGATGAAAGATCAAGATCGGATTGGATTAGATTAGACTAGGGTGGGTTGGGGGTGGGGGTTTGTGTGTACTGTACTGTACCTGTGGGATTAATTATTATTGTCTGTTGTTCATATTCGTTCTCCTCTATATCTATTTCTGGCTGGGGATGGGTATTGTATTTTGGGAGATGGATGGTAGGAATTGATTTAATATATAGATGGGCCTTAGGAGGATATGATTAACCTGGGTAGGTTGTTTGCTATACTCTTAAGTTAAGTCGTACCGCGGAAGAGATTCTCAATTACATTAACTAACTACATATACATGGATTAAAAACTACCTTCTAGTAACTCTTATACAGTTGTAGACTCCTAACTTCTGCTTCTTATATAACACCCATACTCTGTACACTACAGCTCACAATTAGGAAATAATTAATTAGAGAAGGTAAAACGGCAATCTAGCTGAATATCCACACAAAATCCAGGACAGAAACTATTTGCCGCGCTTTGTCCCCCTTTTCTCCCATCCACTCACCATTGTGCTTGCGCATGGTCGTTGTACAGTAGGAGATCGAAGGCCCGGCTGGTCATAATCAACACAAATCATATGGTAATGGTAAAAGGGTCGGGGAATACAGATGCTAAAATTGGAGATACAAAAAAGAAAAGCGCAAACGAAGGATATATGCAAAATGCAATCAAGACTTGGACGTCAGGTAATCGGCGGCCTGGAACATGAGTCAGCGGTGGCTATCTCTAACTAATGCATGCTCCCAATGTCTAACTGACCTTATCAATGTTATAGTCAAACTTCTCCAATGCAGCAAGGGATTCCTCTCGTGGGTAACCCATGCCCGTCAGCCGCTGCAAGATTAAGTCGTCTTCGCCCGTGTCAGCTTCCAGAGCCCATCCCGGCTGACGCTTAGAGTTCGAAGACTGCGTCGACTCCTGCGCATTTCCGTTGCTCTCACCTTCCTTTGGTGCTCCAAGGGGCGCAAAGAGGGCATCCCAGTCATGATTCGTTGCGGAGCCATTGCCTGACGCCGGAGACTTGGATGCATCAGCAGAAGGGCCTGCGGTATCAAAGCTGAAAAAGTCTGACGAGCCCGCATTGTGAGCGGGGAATGCCGCCTTGGGAGAGTCAAACGACATGTCGAAGTCGGTCGGGTTCTTGTTCGCGTTCGGTGTCTCAAACTCGTCATCATCGTCATCGTCGTCATCCGTCTCCTTGGCCGGAGCCAGATCAAGACCAGCAAAGGCAGCCTCAAAATCAGGCTTGCCAGCAGGCTTCTGGTCAGCGGCAGCAGTACCCCCCGCGGCATCCTTCTGTGCCTGGCCAGAAACGATCGGCGCACCGCTTGACGATTCTACAGAATGAGGAGCATCCGGTGGCTGCGTGGGATCCCCACGCTTCGGCAAGAGACCATTGAACTCGCGAGGGAAGTCATCCTGGGACTGTTCGGTCTGGTTGTAATCGGGAGGCGACTTTTGAGAGTCCGCAGGCGGAGGTGAGATTGAGGCGGTGCTTGTGCCAGGCGCTGGGAATGCGTGTAGCTGTGAAGCGTCTACCCTTTCGTTCTTAGAGCCATCCTTGGTCTCTGGCGGGGAGGAAGGCGTGAAGTTATCATCGAACCCCATTGGAGCCTCGCTGTCGGTGCTATCATCATCGTCGTCATTGTCGAGTTCTTTAATCGGGGGGAACTCGCTCTCCGCGACCACAGGAGGAGCAGCACCTCCGTTTGTCTGGCCGGTATGCTGAGGCTTCATGGACGCAAAAGCTTCATCAAAGTCGTTCGCCTTCTGGGACTGCGATCTCTCCCGCGCCATACTTCCAAACAACTCGTCGAAACTTGGGTCCTTCTTGGCTTCGCCCTCTTGTTTAGCGGCGTCAGAAGAAGGGAAGTTTCCCGGCATCTCAGGGAATGGTGATGGCTTCAGCTCTTTATCCTGCGGCTCATCAAAAGGGGACTCTATCTTTTCCTCGGGCTGCGGCTCTGATGGTGCAGCAGCACTTCCCACTGTCGATGCCTCCGACGCCTCAGCTCCAAACCTGCTGGCAGGCGGAGAGACTCTGGTTGAGGACGTCACTGACTGTGCCTGGAGGTCATCTCTCCCAAGGGGCAGAAAGGACGGGGTCATTTGCCTCGACTGGGACAGGGCTGGGGCTTCGCCGGCCACGCCCGGTGGAGGAGGGGAGACAGAAGGGGTGGGCACTCCAGATGTGGTCGGTGACTTGGACAGACTTCTGGCTCCCTGGACTGCAGAAGGGGATGCTGCCCGGAAAGCTGTTGGAGGCGGCGGAGAAGAAGTCGTCGGGGCCGCAAAGGATGGACCGAACAGATTGTCAAATGCAGTCTGCCGGTCAGTAGCTACTGGAGGAGTCGTTTCGGACGAACCGGTCATCTGTCTCTTGAAAAAAGGGTTTGTGCCTTGGCTGGTAGTCGAAACAGCCGGGCTGGCGACGCGCGGTGTGCCGGTCACGGCACCGATGGCGGCGCTGTCTTCTGGTTCTTGCCTATCCCTCCCTATGGCATCGATCTCAGCCTGGATCTTGTCCCTTTCGCCCTCCACCGTCGCCAACTGCTTCTTGTTGATGGCCACGAGGCCCTTCTGCTGTCGGGCTTCAGAACGAGCCTTCTCCAGCGCCGGCTTGAGTTGGCTAACAGCAGCGTTCGCCGCCTTGATCTTCTCTTTCAGGCTCGCATTCTCACTCTGATCAGCGGCCAGTGCGGCGGAGACCTGGTTGTACTGGTTCTGGAGGTCTTGTCGGCTGCCTTCGATCAAGGCGTATTCTTGCTGTAGCCGCTTGGTTTCAGCTCGAGAGGTATTCAGCCGCTCCTCGAGGGCCTTGAAGTCCTTGACCTCCTTCTCGTACATCGCTCTGGCCTGTGCCAGTCGCGCTTCAAAGTCACGCTTCTGCTGAGAATTCTGTGTGAGTTCCTGCTCGCTGGCTGCACGCTTTCCCTGCACGTTCTGCATCTCCCTGGACAAGGAGCCGATTTGGTTGGACAGGTTAGCAAGTTCGGTCGTCTCCTGAGTGAGCTTGTTGCTCTCCTCCGGGTCATTGTCACCCAGCAGATCATCCGAAGGCGGCGGTGGTGATTTGATAGGCCGTGGAGGGCTTACAGGAGATGCACCGGTCAGCTGCGGGTTCAGACTCTGGCCAAAAGACGACGTCGGGACGAAGGGCCTAAAGGTAGAAGATGCACCCTGCGGAGAAGAAGCTCGCGCGGGGGATCCGGGAACCTGGAATGCCGTGTTTGATCCTCCCGTCATTTGAGGAATCTGGGATGGAGCGGCCGGCGGCGGCGGCGCAGCGATAGAATCCAGTCCGAATAGGTCATCGGCGGCAGATCTTGGAACTGGTGCTGGTGCTGGCGCAGGTACAGGAGCCGGCGCTGGTACCGGCCTCGCGAATTGACGACGCATGCTTGGAGGTATCAACGCAGGAGGGAGTACTTGAGGAAGAGGCTCCTTTCTAGCCCGCTGCCCGCGGACCAGATGCATGGCGACGGCGAATTCATCTGGGGTGAGCTGCCCGTCAGAGTCGATATCCGCCAGGTCCCATATTTGAGCCAGAACTTCCTCCGGCAGCTGTGCGTTAGTGAAGAAAGCGACGGCCTGGTCGCCGCTGATCGCGCCCGCCTTTGCGGTATCGACTGTTGTGAAGATGTTGTCATAGTGTGCCTTTTCTTGAGGCGTGATCAACCAGTCGTTACCGGTAGACTGCGCTGAAAGAGGAGATGCGTAGAGCTGTCTGTTGATGGGGCTCTGGGTCCGCTGGGGGCCGGTGAACTGCTTAGGGATGGCAGGGACTGGGGGGATGTCTGAGCCTTGCCGTGAGCCTGTAGATGTCCGGACCCCTCTGCGAGCAGCAGCCTCGAACAGTGCGGGGGGTAGAGTAGGGGGGATGGCTCTCATGGCACCGGTCTTGTAGGAAGTCAACAGGTGCATAGCAACTATGAACTCAGTCGCATCCAGAGCTCCGCGCTGTCTCGTATCCGCCAAATTCCATATCCGACCCAAGACCTCATTTGGTAGTCGAGCGCGCTCAAAGATCTGCTTTGCAGCCTCACCTACGCGACCATAGATATTAGCCCATGAACAACACCCCACAGCCGGTAGACGTACCTGAAAGAATACCCCCCTGGACATCAGACTTCTCGAACAAAGAGTAGAACTTGTTCACATCATCCGGATTCAATGGCGGGACCCGTGCAGGTCCGCCAGCAGAGGGCGGGGGACTGACGGCTCCGTCGGCAGTGCGCGGAGGGGGAACGGTGACATTCAGGCCTTCGAACTTGGGCAACGGACCGGCTGCATACACGATATAACCCGTTAGTACCGAGGTAGCCTTCTTGTGCAAATCGAAAATGCGCAGCCGAAAGTGTACTCACGCTGCAGTGCCAATTCCTCCGTCGGTACGCGACCAGCTTGCGCATGTCCAATCAATCTCAGCACGACGCTGAAACCCGACGGCGTCAGGAGGCCTCTGTTCTCTTTGTCCGCGAGTTGCCAGATCTATTGCCATCCCAGTAGAAATAATCAGCAATCAGGACTCTTGATGTGTGTTGATATTCCATACGCGACTGGTAATTGCACACGACGTACCAATCCGAGTGTATCCGGAGGGAGCTTGGTCTTCTCGAAGAACGGCACGGCAACCTCACCGGTGACGACACCGAGGTTGGTGGTATCTGCCGCCTGGAAGAGCTGGTAGAACACCCGCTTCTCCTCCGACGTGAGGTTGAGATTGGGATGAGTCGGTCCTGCGGCTTTGTAGATATTCCTGTCAGCTCCGCTGTAGTACATACACCCTGGGGCCCTCATCCCCTGCTATGCGCTCCAGCCAGCTCATGGTGTCTTCAAAAAAGGCCCGTACATAGGGAGCTTTTGGTACTCACCTGTCTCCGGCATGATTGCTGTTCAGGACCACGTGGACCTTCTCTTGCTTCCCAAGGTAGCTAGATGAGAGAGGGGGACGACGCCAGTCGCTCTAGTTAGCTAAGGGAGGCCAGCGGCATAGACGGCCCAACCGCCAGCTGAGAGGGGGGCAGCGAAGCAGGCAGAAAGGATAGATAATGCTGGAAACAATTGAGAACAGGCCCGGACCGTCAGCAGAGGGAGAGAACGGGGACAGCCCGTAGACTGGGAGGAGAGAATATCGACGGGGACAAGACAAGGTGCTTGCATCGAACGGGGTAAGATCATAGCTGGATGGAGTTGGGAGGTCAATTAATGCTAACTAACTAACTAGTGAGTTAATGCTTCCGGGGAGAGCTGCTTACGTGACCCCGTCACTCCCTCCTGGCCCCTCCAACTCCACGCCGAACAAAAGGGATAAATGGATGGATAAATCCAGGTGAATAAAAAAAAATAAAGACACAGACTGTTTTTCTTTATTTGTCTTGATGAGAGTGAAGATATCTCGTCAGGTCTGGTCTTGTCAGCATCTGCGTGGTCCGGGGGTAGCTATGGCATACTATGGCATACTATGACGGCACGACTACTCCTACTACAGTAGTAAGTAGAATAAGTAGTATACTACTATTACTGCAACCAACGGAACGAGTGGAAAATTCATTACTTTCTTAGGGATATTAAAATTGGTATAGCCCTCCAAAGAAACACAAGAAATGAGAGTCTGTCCTGGACGGCCGGAGCTAAACAAATTTTCTTTCTCCCATCGCGACCGAACAGTTACCCCGAGTCTCAGGAAAAAAAGACCCTTCTTTTTGCCTCTCCAGTGCGCGCAAAAAGAAAAAGATAAGGAAACATGGCTAGATGGCTAATGGCATGGGTATATTACGAGACTCGGCGCGTGGTAGCTTGGTGCAGGGTCGTCACGCCGTTGCTCTTCACCACCTAGCTCCCAGCTTCCTCTTCGACGCCTGCAGAGGGCCTTCTTCCGTCTAGTACTCGGCCTCGACCTCCTCCTCTTCCAGCGAGTCGCTGGCCACCTCCTCGTAGTCACGCTCCAGGGCAGCCAGGTCCTCACGGGCCTCGGAGAACTCACCTTCCTCCATACCTTCACCAACATACCAGTGGACGAACGCACGCTTGGAGTACATGAGGTCGAACTTGTGGTCGAGAGCGGACCAGGCCTCGGAGATGGCGGTGGTGTTGGACAGCATGCAGCTGTTTTCGTCATTAGCAATCTGACCCCATTTCGTTTTAGGCAAGGTAATACTTACACAGCACGGTTGACCTTGGCCAGATCGCCGTTGGGAACCATCTGTGGGGGCTCGTAGCAGATACCGATCTTGAAACCGGTAGGACACCAGTCGACGAACTGGATGGTGCGCTTGGTCTTGAGGGTCGCGACGGCGGCGTGGGTCTCCTTGGGGACGACGTCGCCACGGTACAGCAGACAGGTGGCCATGTACTTGCCATTGCGGGGGTCGCACTTGACCATCTGGTTGTTGGGCTCGAAGCAAGACATGGTGATCTCGTTGACCGAGTTGGACTCGTGGGAAGCCTTGGCAGCAGACACGACGGGGGCGTAGGCGACCAGAGGGAAGTGGATACGGGGGTAGGGGACCAGGTTGGTCTGGAACTCGTTCAGGTCGACGTTGAGGGATCCATCGAAGCGCAGAGAAGCGGTGATGGAGGAGACAACCTGGGCGATCAGACGGTTGAGGTTGTCGTAGCCGGGGCGCTCAATTCCGAGGTTGCGGCGGCAGATGTCGTAGATGGCCTCGTTGTCGACCATGAAGCTGCAGTCGGAGTGCTCGAGAGTGGTGTGGGTGGTGAGGATGGAGTTGTAGGGCTCGACCACCGAGGTAGCGTTCTGGGGAGCCGGGTAGACACAGAACTCGAGCTTGGACTTCTTGCCGTAGTCAACGGAGAGGCGCTCCATCAGGAGAGCACCGAAACCGGAACCAGTACCACCACCGAAAGAGTGGAAGACGAGGAAACCCTGCAGACCAGCGCAGTTGTCGGCCACGCGGCGGACCTTGTCGAGGACCTGGTCGATCATCTCCTTGCCGACGGTGTAGTGACCACGGGCGTAGTTGTTAGAGGCATCCTCCTTACCGGTGACCATCAACTCGGGGTGGAAGAGGGAGCGGTAGGGACCGGTGCGGACCTCGTCGACGACATTGGGCTCGAGGTCAGCGTAGATGGTACGGGGGACGTATTTGCCCTGGCCTGGCGGAGTGAAGATGGCGTTAGAAGGTGGGCGACAAGCATCAATTATTTAGATCTATATCATCATCACATACCCGTCTCGGAGAAGAAAGTGCTGAATCCATGGTCGGGATCGGCGGCTTTACGCTCCTCCGTCAGGTATCCATCGGGCTATGTGTATTTGTCAGTCACGAACATCCGGTGAGGGGAGGGGACTGTCCGTCTATGGCGGTGTCACCATGACGGCCACAGACAGGATCGAATGGCATACCTGAATACCGTGCTCGAGACAGTAGAGCTAGAGAGCAGTCGTGTCAGTAATCGCGGGATATCTTTTTCCGGGATTGAAAGATAGGAGGAGGAGGGGGGAAAAAGTGATCGTGCTCGTACCTCCCAGCAGGAGTTGGCGATCTGGCAACCAGCCTGACCGACTATAGACAGCAAATGAATATCAGCAGGGGTTCTTCTTGCAGCATGCAAGCAGTGGTGATAGGCCCAACGCACCGTTCAAACTGATAACTTCTCTCATCTTGTCGGGTTGACCTGCGCGATGCGGAGATCAATTGATAGGGGGCAGAGTGGGATGGCGGACGTGATGGAACGGAAAAGGCCACGGACGCGGGAGGAGGGAGAACCGCTAATCCACAGCAGAACGGGAGGAGAAGACCGTTGGAGGGGAAGGTAGAAGTGATTGATGGACAACGGGGAGGATGTAGAGATGGGAAGATCAGAGAGACTCGAGAGGCTCTGCGAGTGAAGCCAAGCGGTTCGTTTTTGTTGTGGAAGAGCCAGCAGAGCGCAGGAGCCACCGCCTGCGCTGTCATTTGAGCCAGTTCGCTGCCTTCGCCGCGCTGGTTCGTGTTTACTTCGCCCGATCCGGTAAGGCGCGTGACACGCGTGTCTTCATTGGTCAATCCTTGCCCCGTGACTCCCCCGTGATCCCGGCCGGCGGTGAGTAGGGGGGTGTGGTCATGTGATGTATCAGTCAGCAGGGTCCATGACGGCATTTAAGTTAGTTAACTTAACTGGATCATCATAATCGAGGAGATGGAAACTCGTTGCGAGCTGGCAATCCAAGGACCAGGCCAATGGCAAGTTCAATCAATCCAGGTTCTGCGTCAGAGATCAATTAATTATCCTGGTGCCTTCATATGGTTATACCGAATCTTCGCGTGACAGATAGAGTGGCCAAATCCTCGACTCGTCCAGTATGTATGTACTCCGTAGTCAGGATCATCCATGATGGCCGCCATGCGCATTTCTGAAACACCCCAGACTCCAGAATCCAGATAACCTACTCTAGTGCAGATCATCAATCATCCTAGTCAATTTCCTCTAGACGCGCTTAATTCAATCATCTTCATCTTTCTCAACCCCAGAAAAATAATCGGATGAAAAACACAATGCACCTCCTCAGCTCCCTCCTCCCCCTCCCCCTCCTATTATGCCTTCTATCCCTTCTCATCTCCCCCACCAACGCCAACACCGAAAAGACCATCTTCATCGCGCCCCAACCACTCCCGGTCCCCTCTCAGCAAGCGGCCATCGATGATCTCGGTCTGGAACGCTTATCGCCTGAAGCACCGGTGCTGCGCACGTATCTGAACGCGTCGTTCCCGACGGAAGAGGCGCCGTTGGGGTCCGAGTCGTGGTTCTTTCTCGAGGATCTCAACCCCGGTCAGAGGTATGAGGTCAGGGTCTGTTGGTTGGCTACGGTATGTATTTCTTTCTTCCTTCCTCTCCTCTCTTCTTCTTCTGATTTTCTTTTCTTCATACAATATTCAAAATGTGAAAATCAATGCTAACAAGAAACCTAAGCAACCAACCTCATTCCACCTAACAACATACACCCTCTCATCCATCCTCGAAGACGACCCGACTCTCCTCTCCTCCATCACCGCCTTCAGCTCCTCTCGTCTCTCTTCCCTCGAAGCTATCAAACCCTCCTCGCAGGACGACACTCTCGTCTCTTTCTCCGACCCCTCCCATGCGCCCCCATCCACCTCCTCCGCCTCACCCAAAGAATCCGTTCTCTTTCTACGCATCTACGCTGCGGCCGATTACTTCACTCTCGATGAGGGCCTGATGCGTTCCCCCCCGCCCGTGCTGGTCGATTTGATCCTCGATCCGTATTTACTAAATGTGTTTCCGAGATCGTTGGTCCCGACGGCGGGGTGGGTGATTGTTGTCGCGGGTGTGTCGTGGGTGGTGGGTGGGTTCGTGGTTAGGTTGGTGCAGGGGATTGCGAGGGAGGCGGAGAAGAATGAAGAAGAGGGGAAGAAGAGGCGGTGATTGTTGTTTTCGTTTTATTTTATTTTATTTCATTTGTTATTTTGCGTTACTTCTTAAGATCAGGTGTCTGGGCTGTGAGATTATGTCTTCCTTGTTTCCTGGTTTCCCATCAAGGTCAGGGTCATTATGTCCAAGTTGGATTGTATCATTACCATCACGGAGGATGTCAGGTAGTGCTGATTTCTGCATACACGCGTGGTTGGTCGTGTGTCTTGTATTATATATTGTACGAGTCAGAGTATTTGTGGTTTTAATCGGATAATAGAGATCACCGTTACTTTTAGAAGACAGAGTAAGTACTTGGCATAGTCAACTGAATCAATTATAAGCTACATTGATCAAAGTGGCCAGGCACTGGAAATAAATCCTATCCACCACAAGATGGTTGATTGATACAAGAACTTTTATAATTAATTCCTCCCATCCCTGACGCCAGAGGCTATGCCTTTGCTGCAATCAAGTACACCTCGTACAGTACATAACTGTCGAGTTTCTTTTTTATTTTAGCACAAGTATTTTCAACATTCCCATAACACCGGATCACCTTTTCCCAACCTCTCCCTTCCTAATAGTCCCGCAGGACCGCAACCATGTCATCCAGTCGAGCAACCTCACCCAGCAGGAGAGCCTCCTTGTCTCTCCACTGCTGCAGCGTCTGCAGCTCCGCCTCGGACAAATAGCGTTCTTCATTGCCCTTGACATCGCTTCGTTCGCACTTCTCCAGAAACTCCTTTAACCGGTCCCGTTCGACTGCGATCCGCTGCAGACAGCGGGACATCGCTTTGTAGATGTCCTGCACAATGTTGCGCCGCACCCGATCGGGGTCGTAAAACCACAGGTAGATCGTCTTTGACGGCTGACGCTGTGCGTCCCGAGGAACTTCCTGCAGATCCACGAATCCGCCCGCTTGCATGCTGGCAAGAACCTGTCTGAGGTCCTTTGGGGGCAAGAGACTGATTTCCTGCAGGCGCTTCTCATCAAGCTTCCCCTTCGAATGGAGTACTCGGGCAACACGCAGCGCTACATCGCCGTAGCGAGCCTCGATCATACGCTCCAACTCGAGATGGCGGAGCTTGCGGGCCAGATGCCGCCATTCGACCGTCCAGGTGATGATACCTGTCGTTGTGCGTCGAGAAGAAAAGTTATACGGTGGCTGAGCCAGAAGTGCCAGGTGCTGATCCACCTCGTAGGCGCGGCTACGGCCGCCAGGAGCTTCATTACCGGCAGCATTCCCACCGTCCTCCTCATCCAGAGGCCGTTTACCGCGTCTGCTGGCAGTCTGTGACGGGTCCGCAGGCCCGATAGAGCTTGCGAGATCGAGGTCCGGGTCGATCTCCTGAACTAATGCGTGCAACGGAATAGCCACCGAGTATTGTTCTCCTTCCTCTCCCTCATACGGGATTTCTGGCTCATCACGGCAGCGAGGGGTCTGGTATTCGATGCGACGGAGAAGAGTCTCATAAACCTGAGCGGTTGCGGCTGATGTCCCCTGTTCAGATAGTTCGACCAGGCGACGGTTCCTGAAAGCAACGTCTAGCTTCTCGTAGTTCACGCGAACAATCAGGCCAGACTAGACCAGTTAGCATCCGTTGATCCATTGCCAAGCCGGAGAATATTCACCTCCATCGGGGCGGTATCCTCAAATCCCCCCTCGTCGTCGGACCAGTCATTCTCTTCGTCATCATCCTCATAACCAGCCGAATCGTCCACCTTCTGCTTCTTATTGGGGCCGTCTACCGTTCCATTCGCATGTCGTCTCTTCGCACCTCGTGGAATTCCATTGAACATCAAGCCACGAGAGAGGTCGCCGTCTGTGCGCTCCTTGACCATCTCTACAGCACCCTCCGCGACGGCCTCCTCGAGTTTCTTTCCCTTCAGCATCTTGATGTCTGACCGGGCCTTCATTGCCCGTTCTGCGTAGAGCAGATTGTCTGCGGGGCTCTGGAATTGAGCCTCGCGGACACGGATGATGTAGCCGTGGGCAGCAAGTGCTTTGAGAGTTGGATGAAGTCTTCCAGCGCCCTCTTCCGCTGCGCGGTCACCATTGACGTCATTCGTGTGGTTTTCTGTTTGGCCGTTTTCATCATGTACACCATTTTCACCATCCTCAACGGCCAAATCCTCGTACGGCTCTCCCTCGTGCTCCCCATTGACGCCATTGGTCTCCGGCTGCGCTGAGTCGCCGCCCTGCAATTCCGGCAGAGTCTCGAGGTAACCGACCTGCGCGTGTCCCAGGAAAAGAATCGCAGACATCACTTTCGACGCATATTTTCCCAGCCGGTCTTCGATGAATTCGAGAATCTTGCCGGATCGGATCAGGTAGTATGCGGCCTGCATATTCGCCTCGTAGTACGTGAGTCCGTCATCATAGGAGGTGTAATGGAAGACGAGGTGATGCTGGATCATGGCAGAGAGGCCATAGCGTAGCTGCCGGTCTGACAGACCCGAGTAGAATCGAAGACGGGGGAGTGGGAGTCGATCGTAACGGCGCAGCGTGGAGAAGATCCGCTGCAGGAAGGTCAGTACATGATTCACCGCGAAGAAATAATAATACCTCTCGGGCAAACCCTGAACAGGGACCAGGGCATTGAGCATCAGGACAGACATACCGCAAACAGCTCCCCGAAATTGTCTTCGATCAGGAGCGTACACAGCTCCGTGGCATACTGTCGCAACGATTAGCGGCAGAAAGCTATGCGGCGGGGTGCAGGACATACTTGAGACATGGTGGCAGGACCTCTAGAGAAATGCCAGCGCCTCCAGAAGGGTGGTCAAGGGGTCACCGGCGGCGGCGCAGGAGCATCGTGCGAGGAGCAGCGCCGGGGAGGAAGAAGAAGACGATCTTGATTGTCTCTATCATCATAATAAATTATTATATTCTGACTTTCTTCTTTCGCAGCTGCTGCCCGCGCACGTGACAAGGTCACCTGACGTCACCTGACGAATTGCCGGTTCCGCCCGCCCTCGTCACCGCAGCCAATCAGCGGGCGCGTAATCGGGCGCTGCTGGGAGACTCGGGATCTTGAAGCTTTTCAAACGTGCTCGACAACCTCCATCCTCCCTCCGCTTCTCCTGGGTAGTCCCAATTGCCCTCAACAACAACCCCCGTCGTCTCCCCCATTCCTCTCTCCTCTTCGTTCTTCGGCACATGCGATGATGCTGTCGCGGTCTGCCCTCGGCCGAAATGCGCCGCGTGCGCTCCGGAAGCAGTGTGCTGCCAACACCCGCCGTGGCCTTGCTACGCCCTCGACCCCCAACTTCTCGTACGATGTCTCTGAGACGGCCGGTGTGAAGCTGGCCAACCGTGAAGTCGGCGGTGCGACGACCACTCTCGCGCTGGTCGCTAAGGCTGGTTCCCGTTACCAGCCGTTCCCTGGCTTCTCGACCGCTCTCGAACAGTTCGCCTTCAAGGTGCGTGAGAATCGCAGGCATTGAACCGCCAAACCGTGCCGGATGCTTGAGGAATGTTGTCAGGCTGATCATACATGCAATTGGTAGTCCACGCTCAAGCGGTCGGCGTTGCGGATCACTCGGGAGACTGAGCTGCTGGGTGGTGAAGTTTCCTCTTCTCACTCGCGAGAGAACCTCGTCCTCAAGGCCAAGTTCCTGTCTGGCGACCTTCCCTACTTCGCAGAGCTCCTCGCTGAGGTTGCTTCTCAGACCAAGTACCCGAGTAAGTTGCCTTGGGGTCCATGAACATAGTTTGGGGGGACCAGGGAGGTTTCTAACCGGATTGGCAGCTTATGAGCTCAACGAGCTTGTCATCAACCTCGTCAAATACAAGCAGAAGACTCTTCTCGAGAACCCCGAGGCTCTGGCCATCGACACCGTCCACGCCCTGGCTTTCCACCGTGGCCTCGGTGAGAACATCACTCCCACCACCGCCGCGCCTTACGAGCAGTACCTGACCGCGGAGGCTGTTGCTGAGTTCGCCAAGGGCGCCTACGCGAAGCCCAACGTCGCCGTTGTCGCCAGCGGCCCTAACTCCACCGAGCTGTCCAAGTGGGTGAACGAATTCTTCGGCCAGCTGCCTTCCAGCGTCCCCTCCAACCAGTTCCAGCCCCGTAGCACCGCTCCCTCCAAGTACTTCGGTGGTGAGCAGCGTGTCCCCGGCAAGAACGGCAACGCCGTCGTCATTGCTTTCCCCGGCTCCAGCGCCTATGGCACCGCCGGCTACAAGGCTGAGGCTGCTGTCCTGACTGCCCTCCTGGGCGGTGAGTCTACCATCAAGTGGGCTCCTGGCTTCTCCCTGCTGGGCAAGGCCACCGCCGGATTCTCTCAGGCCAAGGTCTCGACCAAGAACTTCTCCTACTCCGACGCCGGTCTCCTCACCATCTCCGTCACCGGCAAGGCCGACCAGGTCGCTTCCGCCAGCAAGAACGTCGTCGACACCATCAAAAAGGTTGCCGCCGGCGAGGTTGCCAGCGAGGACATCAAGAAGGCCGCCGCTCTGGCCAAGTTCCGTGCGTTCGAGGCTGGCCAGAACCTCGAGACCGGTCTGGAGATCACCGGATCTGGTCTGATCCACGGCAACAAGGCCTACCAGCTTGGAGAGGTCGCCGAGGCCATTGACAAGGTCACCGAGCAGCAGGTTAAGGATGTACGTGCTCCAACTCTCTTATTGTTTCTGATTTCTGATCAATATGCTAACTGATCGCAGCTCGCCAAGGAATACCTGTCCAACAATGCCTCCGTCGCCGCCGTCGGAGACCTTTTCCAGATTCCCTACGCCGAGGACCTTGGTCTGACCGTTTAGATATATACGCAGTAGGCCACCACTGCTGACTCTTTCACACGTCACCGTCATGTATCCTGATCAACTCGTTATTTCCTTTGTTCGATGTGGTTGTGCTTGTGTGTGACTGTAATTGTAACCGTAAGGAAATAAATTAGACATGCAATCACCCTTTTACTTTGGTCTGTAGCAGCTGGCTCTAGTCCGAGCCTGTACATTGTCACCATACAGCAATGCAGCATGAGGTTGCAGTTCAAGTAAATAGCTTTGTATCCATGGTCTGATCCCCACTGCAAAGTCCTGCATCTTCAGTAAAGGTAGTAGTATCCTGTCTGCAGTCCATATCCATGTATCTGTACTTCCATCGTCAGCTTCCTAATAACTTATCTAGCCAGTTTCACTCTGAGCAATTAGCAAACAATTTGTAAATAAGTAATTGATAACTAATAGATTAGCAATCAGTCATTATAGACTAAAGTGAGATAAGCTAGCTATAGTAGTTATTGTATGGTAAGGGCTATAGGAATAGAAGAGCTAGGATAACTTGAGAAATCCAGTCTGTATTCCAAGGTTAATTTCGCTAGACAAACTCAGCCAAAAAGGAGATTTCTCCTTTTTGGTCTCCCCTGGGTCTGATAGTGTTTTCGGGATTTAAGGAGCAGATCAATATTACGCACACCAACAACCCATCATGTACGATTACGTTGGCGAACGACAGATTCGAGGGGTATCTGAGATATTTACCCTTCAAGACAAACCCCGGGCAGAACATAAGTATCAAGCTACCGAATCCCGACTCACTCTTTCAGAATATATTCAATGTGAGTAGAAATGGACTAACAAATCGATGGCCATATATAAAAGAACTTACTTGCTTTGCGGAGGATGGATCTAACAATGTGAATCGGCTTCTTGCTCTTCGACTTGTACCAGCGTCTCTTTGTAAATGCTTTTGGAAGTCCATAACAGCCATGGTGTTGTTTGTCTAACGGTCAGGGGCGATTGATATTCAATAAATAATATGAGGCCCTGTTATGCTTCTTTCTTAAGCATTAGCTTTCTCACTTAGAATGAACTCTGTTGTTGGTTCTTTGGGTTACTTTTTTTTCTCCCTCCATGTGCTTGCTCTATGTCTTTTTTTATCCGCACTTGAAGTTTTATACGTCCAAAAAATGCCATTATTGTACTTATCCGCAACTTCTATTACCATTATGTCCTATGGGCCAATCCTGGCCGTCTTCTGTTTGATTAAACCCCAAATCAACAATTCATGGGATATCATCCATCGATATTCCCACCAATAACGTTCTTGGATGTCCATACCTCGGCAAATTCCGAACTTGGAAACCTTCTTCTTTCAGTATAGATCTATTACTGGGGGGATGGAGTTGGGATCAATGAGGGGAAGTTATGGAAGTATCTAGCTAGTTGTGCTTTTGCAAAGGCGGAATGTACAGTACATCTATTTTTCGATGTGGTTATTGGGATTCACTTTGGTGATGAGACGAATGACGTATAATACTTGATATCCGACATGTGTACTCTAGAAGTATAGCTAGAATTGATTATCTCGTCATCCGATTCGTATTCATCATGATTATCCATATATGCATAATATCATCGAAAGTGCATTGGTGATGGTAAAAAGCAAGGAGTATGTATCTCATAGAATCAAAACCACCTAGACATCAACCTTCGATCCCACAGGAACAGTCTCATGATGCATAGCTCCGCCTTTCACATCTTTGATTTCGATGTGCTTCTCTTTCGCTTCCTCGATGAGGGCGTCCAGTTTCGAGCCACCAGGCTTGGTCTGCCATGGTCGTGGACCGCCTTTGCTGAACATCTCTTCGATCTCTTCTAGAGTCTTTCCGCATGTTTCAGGGTATCTTGACAGAAAGCAGATGTGTTAGATATGGTTTTGCCGGTGGCAAGATGGTAGACACTTACGTGAAGAAGACTTGAATAGCGGCGCCAACACAGAGAACGCCAAAGACGATGAAGAGCTTCCATGTGATGTTGGCGAAGCCTGGGGGTACGAATAGACCGAGAGCAAAGTTGAAGAGCCAGTTTCCGACGGCGGAAATTCCCTATATAATAAGATGTATTAGCGCAGGTTCTCATGTTGGATAGATATATAGAGTATAGACTGGAGATGATTACCATTCCTGTAGCGCGAGTCTCTAGCGACCAGACCTCTGCGGCGTAGACCCAAGCGACAGGAGCCAGAGTCAGAGCATAGACAATGATGAGGAGATACGAAAAGGCAATGACGGTGTGCGCCTTCCCTCCCATCACTTTGATGAGGACGTTCAGATTTCCGTCGACGCCGTTGGGGACGTATTCGCCTGATGAGAGCACTCCGCCTACGACAAAGTGGCAGGCGGCCATTCCCAGGGCGCCGTACATGAGAAGACCACGGCGGCTAGTCTTGTCGATGTAGAAGAATATGACGGATGTGAAGACGATGAACAGAGCGTACTGAATTCCGGACGACACCAGGAGGACGTTTCCGCTCAAACTGTTTTCTTAGAGTTAGATATCACTTATATCGGGGCTTGGGAGTAAGTAGTAAAGGCACTTACCTCGCCATTTGAAACACATATATTACGTAGTATGTGATCATATTTGCACCGCTCAACTGCTGCCACGCCTGAACGGTGAAGCCAGCGATGGTTCGACGCCACATGCCATTCTGGACGAACTTGCGCCATCCGGGGGCCGCTGTACGTTCTGCAGCCAAGACAGTGGTGATTTCCTCCCACTCTGCAACGACCAGCGGATCGTTTACGTTGCCTCCAGCCTGGATTCGAGCCAAGGTAGTGACAGCTTCCTCAGTGCGGTCTACCTTCGCCAGCCAACGTGGCGATCGAGGCAGGAAAGGGAGGCCGATCATCAATAGAACGCAGGGAACGAGCTGCAACGCCCATGCAGTGCGGAATGATGCCGGGCCAGCGATGAAGGAACATCCATAGCCAACAAAGAACATGATGAAGATACCCCATTCGATGGCCAACTGCTGGATGACAATGATCGAGCCGCGCTTCTCCTTCTTGGCAATCTCTGCTAGATACACAGGCACCTGAGAGGAAGTGATTCCAACGCAGACACCATTAAGGAGACGACCGGCCATCAGCATCCCGAAACCGTTGACTCCTGCCTGGATGGCAGTGCCCACAAGCCACCACAGACAAGCAAACATGATAGAATCGCGACGACCAAGCTTGTCGGAGATTGGGCCTGCAATGATAGATCCCACGACAGAACCAGCTGCCAACACGGAACCTATGGCTCCCTGGCGCACGCCATGAGGATTGTCGAAGAAATCAATGTATTGATCCGTAGCAACAATTGCTGACATGGACGAGATATCGAATCCAAAGAGCATTCCACCTACCGTCGCGATAATCGCGACAAAGTAGGTGTTATAGATCTTCGGGAACGTGGGTAACTTCATGATGGGGCACACTTCGACACAGAAAAACAGCACACACCTAGCCCTGAATTGATTGACAGGATAACAGCACCACTGCCAGCCTCCTGCGACTGCTGCTGCCATCCCATCATGCGCGCGTGAACCGTCATCTTTATACTCGCGGCAACGCACCGACTCGACAACCGTTAGGATGGTACAAACTTGCCGTCTGGCACGCGAGAGCCCTCATGGTCTGGCTGCATCTTAAGCTTGTCCTCCAATCGCCGGGAGTTTCTTGTTAGCGTTGAGATGGCGCTGCGCCGTTGTCTAAGGAATCCGGAGAACTAGCCCAAGACATACCTGGGGCCCCGCGTTGTGGCGCACGGAACGCTTCGTTGTTGGAGGGAGAAACAGCAACAGGCAAGCTCGATGCTTAAGAACTTCTGGCTCTTCCCGGCGGGGTTAACTTTCTCCTCGTTTAATATTTCTCGTGGACGGTTAAAAGGAAGAATCAAAGCGAGAAACGTCTGGAGGCTCCGGTGGGGGAAGAATCGAAGTAGTCGGGGATAGATGCCCATCCCCAGAATCTACGACGATAACCATAGTCCTCTTGCTCCATTCTCTCGGGGATGCGATCCACATAGACGATAGACTGGACCGGGATAGAGACCTTAGTACGTCTACTATTACAATGGATATTGTCATTGGGGCCAAGACACGACTACTAGTGGCGATAACATGCTGGCGTAACAAGAGATTCCACACAGTTTGCGTTCAACAAGCCGTTAAATTAACCGATCTATGGAAAGTACTTTGGCAGGCACTAAAAGAGATAGGCAGTACTTCTGCTATTTACCGACAGAAAAAGTACTCTATCTAGCTATAGTCAACCATGCCGACATCGTAACGAGGATGTGCAGATATACACATGCCACAACATTAAACAGTTCCTAGGCGCCATCAGGCCTTCTCCTCGCGGACAGCCTTGGAGACTTCGATACCATCCTGTAATTCCTACGTTAGCAAACAGTCCGCAAGTCCAGAAACAGTCAACAGGCAAAACCCTGTACATACCGATCTCCCATCATGCAAGGTCGCCTCCAGCAACTTGGTCTCATATACCAAGTTCGGATTTCCAGCAAACTCAAACTCCTCCTTCTGAGCCTTCTGCTCAACCTCCTTGGCCGCCTTCCTCTTCTCCTCGACGCTGCTCCGCACATAAGCCAGATACTGCGGCGCGCCAGGGCTAATCACGTTGTCAGCCGTGAGCACCGATCCGGGCGCCACAAGACCATAATGCTCGCATAGCTTCAGATCCACCGTATAAAGCGGCTTAAAGTGATCGAGAAATAGCAATGGAATCTGCTTGATTTCTCCAGTCGTCGCCCACTTCTGGAGCGTCTTCGAGCTCGATCCAACGATAATAGTCACGAAATCGCGCAGCCCAGCCAATTCGACAATCATGTTCGTGACGGCTGCGAATTCGGGACTTTTCTCTAGACCGATATAGCGCTTTCCACCGGCGCGACGGACGGCGTCTGCGAACAAGACAGCAGAGTATCCGACATAACTGCCTAGCTCGACCATGAATTCGGGCTTGAGATCCGCGATGACATCGGTAACGTATTTGCCTTTCTGGGGGCCCACGTTCGGAAGTGATTTCACTTTGGTGTCGAATTCATCGATGGCGGCGAGGACTTTGGATGGGTTGCCGCGGATCTCGTCGATGTCGGGGCGCTTGTAGATGTAATGGAGGAGATCGAGATGGCGGGAGTCCTGCAGACGTGTCAATCGAGGGCATACAAAAGAGATTTGAATATCGGTTTATAAGACTGTTTACAATGCGGGGGGCCACATACTTGAAATGGGTTCACGCGACCTGACGGGTTGGTTTGGGCGGCGCTCATTTTGACGAGGGTAATAGAAGGATTAGAAATGAAGACTTTACTGCGTGATATCTATCGTGGGTATCTGAGATGTGGAAGAGAATGAACTGATGAAGAGTGAATGGATGGAGCATATAATACATTGATAAGGTGGCTTTAAATACTGCGTACTTCTATAGCTATTCGGCCATAATTACCCGGAATAGGAGCATCCTCTCGGCGTTACGCCCGAAGACTTCGCTCGGCCCCGATGGCCGAGTTTCATGAGTTTCACGAAGCTCGAGGTCCCGCCATTGCAGATAATAATAAGATTAATCGCGTCGGATCGGAAATACTTCTGTAGAATCTAGATATGCCCGAAATAGCACCTGGATTCATCGGGGTTCACGTTTCATCGCCGTCTCGGTGAATGCGATATCGCTTCGGAGATTAGATTATCTTACACTCAAAAAATAGGCCGGCGCCTTTCACTGCCCCACGATACGATGATCATACACCGTCCTTGTCGAAGTACAATATGGATCTTCGTTGAGACGGCATGGATCATTGCATACCATGTAACCATAGTCGCGTCGGCTCAACGAGTCCCCACGAACTGCCAGACCGAGCAATTGGGTATACCCCTCCCTGCACTTCTTGTCCGATCGTATAGTGGCCATCTTCGCAGCAACTGGCTGAAGGCAGTCTGGTCTAGTAACTAGCACAATGCCACCAAATAGCGACAAAGGTGAAACAACCAGTAGATATCCCCGCAGATAGACATGCCAAGGTAACTGCGTATTTATGATTCCACTCTCCTGGGACAGACTCCGGCCTGTACAATACCCACGGTAACAGATATATACATTGGTCTGGCCATGGCGTGGACTGCTAATGACAGAATTTCTGACTCTGCAGGTACATACCTACTTTACTGTACTCTCGACAGCGATTGGTGCCTGACGTCGGATACTGTTGTATCCCTGATGCATTGTGGCATGGCTGCGTTCCCTCGTTGGCGGAGCGTCTCAACTACCACAACTTCTCTGGTGGTACCTGTCCAACTCAGTGGCATAGCGATATCCATTTGTCGACAACATCCTCCATGTCGTGTGCTATTCCCCACTGCGAGGCCAAGCAGCGGAATAACTTCTGCATCGAGTTCAGCTCGTACAGCAGATTTCGTGTTGTCCCACCAGTGGTCGGACCACGAAGTTCCCCTCGGATATAGCGGCTGGTTTCAGAACCAGACATCATATCCCCGACCACCAAGTCATCGTCTCCCTGAGATAAGAGCACCTCTCGCCAGACTGGCATCCGTGGAAGACACACGGAGGCCAGTCCCGCAAGTGAAAATAAAGTATAGATAATCGCGGCAGCAAACAGAGAGCTGGGCATGTGGATAACATGCGCCCTGCCCCTGGGGAGCTGCTCTACGATGTCTTGAATCGCAACAGCGTGCAGTAATGCTCGACGGGCGTCCCGGCTGTTCGCCCATTTGGCCAGATCCAACCTAGCCTTTGGTGCCTTATTCCCTCCACAGAGATGTTGGGTGATCCCATAGATGGAGCAGACCTGGCTGCAAAGTAACGAGGAGTTCGTGACAGTATCCAGGCAGATAGTATGCCATCGTAGAAATATCTCTAGCTTCTCGGAACTAGACAGATGAGTGTTGATCCCAATGCCTTCGTGCAGTTGGGCTAATGCCTTTCTCACGTCAGATCTCGCCGGGACACCAACAGTAGCCACGTTGTTTTCATCACAGTCTAGTATCAATGACTGGAATCCTTCCAAGATCACTCTGAGCGACAGGACGCTGAATGTGAGATCTAGAGGATAGGAGCTACTAGACGGCGAGAACAGAGAGCGGAAGATCAGTCGGAACGATGGCTGCTCCGTTTTCCGAGATCGCATCAGCACAATCCACTCGTCAGCTGTACTGGCGTTGAAAATGGCATCGTCACATGAGAGAGTGAGCGGATTAGCAACATGACGGACTGAAGTGCTGTCTCCAGACATCTGAGCCACAATACCATCGAGGATGTAATATGCCAAGATCGCACGCTGTTGAATCTCTCTGGCAGCCCAGGTCCGCCAGTGATGTTCCTTCTCGGCATTGGAAGCGTTTAAGGAGGGGAGGTTCTCGACATTCCACGGCTCGCTGTCAAACATCCCACAATGTCTGGCCCAGAAGAATCCAAGCGCCCGAAATACCTGGCTCGTAGTACGAATTGCTTGATTCTACTGTCTGTCAGAAAATATCCACTATGGCTTCAGTCAACATACCTTGGACAAAGCCCCGTACACTTGGCCCAGTAGGGCTGTAATCACGAGTTGGACGCCTTTGCATACATCATATGGACCACGATGTGTAATTAATGATTGCCACTACGCCATGTCAGTAACCAGTACGCGTCTTTGAAAGCAATCAACTCACCGAAGTTGCGACAGCTGTGTGGGCCAGACGCCATAGAGCCTCTCCCTGGAAGCAGTGAGAAAATGCCTGCATGGACGATTTTGGAAATAGTTTTGGCAGGATACACACCTTGCCAGCTGCATTCTTGGGTCCCAAGTATAGTGACCCGATAGCAATAGCATTGAGAAGTAACGGATGCGTGCACTCTCTAAAGACAAAGGTTGCTCGATGCAGAATGGGAAATGTAGGGATGAAGCGGACAAAGAACATATGCAAACATTCATCAAGGAAAACAGATGTGATTGACGTTGCTTTTACGGCAGCAGTAACGCTAGAGGACTAGCCACATATCAGTCTCCCTGTTAGTTTCAAAATAAGCTGGAAAAGACTCACGGAGCTGGTAACCATCTCTGTCACATCGTGCACCGCTTGATGTCCTTCCCCAGAAGGTATCGCACCTACCGAAGAACCTCTATCATCAAACGAGCCTGGAGAGTCGAGGTTGAAACCGCTCGGTGGTGGCACTGTTGGTGGGAATGGCAAGGTCCCCAGCGGGATCTGCCATTGGTCAGTAGTATCAGAGGACATGATCGTTTGGAATAGTTCTTCTGCGTCGGGCCAAATTAGTCCGAAATCCAATTCTGTTCCTACTGTGCCATGATGCAGGCCGGATACATCTTCAGATTGGGATCCTATCCATGTCTGGTCTTGTGTTGCTGGAGTTTGCATCGCAGCAGCGGCAGTCCGGTCATGACCATGGACACTCCCATCTTGCCATGGAGACACCGAGTCTGCCCTTGTAGGCTCAGAAGTAGATGGTGATAATGGTGTAGTATTCTTATTGCTGCTGCGGCGGGTGTGAAGCCTTTCATGGCGTATTAAGGCATCCTGACGAGCAAAGGGCCTTCTGCAGTCTTTGCAGACAAATGGTTTGGAGCCGGTGTCTTTAAGCATAGAAGTCCTTTGTTAGTTCGCGTGGACCGTTTACCCTGCTTGACTTGTGGTTCTTACGACTGCGTTCATGTCTCTGCCCAATGGTCAGCTTACTGATGAGGATGTCTCGAAACAGGACAGATCTCTACCCTTAGATGTTCTGCCTTGGAGAAAGCTTTCTGGCAGACCTTGCACACTGACTTTCTTGTGCCATCTGCCATCGATCCGGTAGCTGTCATCTTTGGGGGTTTGTCTTGTACAGTCGCAAGTCGCCGGCCGGATGAGCGTGGAGAAGACGACAACGTGTGGGGCAAAGCGGAGGCCGGGCGATCTTCTGGTTCTTGAACTGTTTCAACCGCCAGCCTACTACTACAGCCAAGGCAAGGCATCAGGAGTCGAGACCCCAAGTGCAAAGGAGGATGATTATCGCATCGTTTTTCCTTCCTATCAGCAGTGCAGGGTATCTTTCTGGCCGGGGACCACATGCAAGAAGCCGCGTGGAGACGAAGACCGCTATATACATAGTTCGCTATCCCGAACGCCTCCCCCATATTCGATCGGCTACCAAGCTTCGCTGACGTTTCCCCATAGTCACACGGATCTGATCCCACGGATCTTTTCCTCAATCGCGCACGGCTTGCATGGCTTTTGGAACCGTTTGGGCGCCGTCCGCCACATGCGGAGATTGTCTCTCCGCTTCGTCATATCATGTCGCCGAGTATCGGCTAAGCCTGATGCTTAGCGTGTCGATTCCTTCTATTTGGCTGCGACATGGATACTGCATTGGTAGTTCCAGCTTTGCCGTCGGATGAAAATGGGATATGATAGTCCGTGACTAGTAAACATCGTCCATACATATTGCATTATGTGACAGGATCGCTCCCCACGAAGATGTCCCTCGTTCGTACGGGCGTTGTCCTGGGAGCAGTTATAAGCCCCGGGGTTAGGACTTCTTCACAATACGGCTTGTCCCTCGTGTTTCTTCCAGTACTTAGTCGTTTCCATCCAATAGGGGAAGCATGTCGTCCACGAGAGAAGGCGACAAGGTATCGCCAGAATCACAAAAAGATGACGCCCCGGGTTCCATTAAGCAGGAGGACATCGATCTTATAGAGCAGGCCTCTCTTGGATCTCATGCTAGCCGGGCAAAGACTGCCATCGATGAACTCTCCCCAGCACACAAGGAGTTCCTCCTTCAAAGACATGGCAGTTTGGATCTGGATCCGGTGCCTTCATTTAGCGGTGCTGACCCATACAACTGGCCGACATGGAAGGTATTCAACCCAAAGCCTTTATAAATGGGATAAACCTCTAATCTCAGCTTGAACTATACAGAAAAATATTAATCTCATCCTCGTGGCCTTTCACGCCATGATGGCGACGTTTACTGCCGGATCAATCATCCCAGCATATGAAGACATCGCCCAAGACTTCGGGGTCAGCATCCAGCGTGCATCGTACCTTACATCCCTCCAGATCGCGATTTTAGGCGGTGCTCCTCTTATATGGAGGCCGCTGTCCAATCGCTTTGGGCGTCGCCCAATCTTCCTCCTGTCGACGATCTGCAGCCTAGCAGGCAATATTGGCTGCGCCAAGAGTCCAGACTATGCATCGATGGCAGCATGTAGGGCCATCGTGGCCTTCTTTATTTCCCCAGCGGCGGCGCTGGGAAGTGCCGTGGTTATGGAGACTTATTTTAAGAAGCAGCGTGCGCGTTACATGGGAATATGGACAGTGATGGTGACGCTAGGAGTTCCTGTTGGGCCATTGATATTTGGATTCGTCGCCTTTCGCGTAGGATACCGATGGATCTTCTGGATACTGGCCATAGTAAGGATATAAATCCAGCATCTACGGGGAAGACACTTATTAATTACCGTTTGCTGCAGGTCAATGGTGTCCAATTCATCCTCTACATCTTCTTCGGGCCAGAAACACGCTTCCTCGGGGATGACATCGACAGTCAAGCTTCCGAGTTCAGAAACCAGTATATTTCGCTCCGACGCATTGATACCAAGCCACTCAGCCTCTGGGGATTCATCCGGCCATTGACTCTGGCGAAGAATCTGACCGTACTCATCCCGGCTGTCGCCTACGCGATGGTCTTCCTGTTCGGCAGCATCTTGATCACAGTGGAGATTCCCCAGCTTCTCCAGACGAAATTCAATCTCAACACAGAACAGGTGGGAATGCAATTCATCGGTGTTATCATCGGGTCTATCCTCGGTGAACAGCTAGGAGGATCCATGTCTGACGCGTGGATGGCCCAACGCGCAAAACGAATCCGAACTCGACCTGAGCCCGAATTTCGACTTTGGCTGAGCTACATCGGTTTCGTATTGACCATTGTCGGTCTGATTGTCTTCCTGGTTACAACTGAACAGGCGCCCAAGGGTCATTGGGTAGTGTCCCCTGTTGTTGGAGCTGCAATCGCCGCTTTTGGGAACCAAGTCGTGACCACGGTATTGGTCACCTATGCCGTGGACAGCCTACCACATGAAGCAGCCAGTGTTGGTGTATTTATCACTTTCGTCCGACAGATCTGGGGATTCATCGGGCCGTTCTGGTAAGTGTATAACCGTCGTAGACATAATTCTACTCCCTCATTTCGTGAGTATCATAGCTAACATAACCAGGTTCCCTGATATGTTCGAGAACGTTGGCACAGCAGCTAGTGCAGGTGTCACGACTGCTCTCATGGTGGGCGTAAGTGCCATCCCAACAATCCTATTGCACTGGCAAGGAAAGAAATGGCGATTTAGAGAAACCGAGTCCGCCCTGAAATGATTTTCATCGTATTGTATAGCATGTATCGCTCATTGTATGTTGTCATTTGCGCATATGGGAATAAGAATGGAAAATGGAGAGTGAACACGAACGCTAATGCGAAAGCGCATGCTATTCATGATAATCTTTGCATCTGGTTCAGACTTTCTTTTCTCAAAATTGATATGGTTCTCTATGAATCATCCAAATGGAACTTTTGAACACCTATTTATATGGATAAGACCTTTCCACCTGCTCTGCTTCAAGCAATCTCAAGTGGGATGACACGGAAAACAGATAAAGACCTGCACGAGTCCGCATCGACCGGCGTCGTATGATGTCTTTGATCCTGGTTTTCTTACCATCCTCCCTAGTCAGAACTGGATAGTTGGTCAGATCAACCCCTGCTCTTGCTATAGTTCTTATCCGACCGTCTCAGAATGAGTGTGTACTAGACATTGTTAGCACGTGCTACGAGATTTAGTCTGCAGGCTATCATGGTCTATTACATCCGACGGTGAGTGTTTCGTTGCGAGAGATCGGAACGTAGGTATTGTCGTGTCATTCGGATCCCTCGCTGGATGCAGGACAAGCGGCCTTCTCGATGGAAGGGAAGGGGGCCAGCCTGAGAACCCAACGAAAAGCCAGTCGCCTGTTCTCAAGCCTCTCAGCTTTCATCACCTGCACATTCGATTATGCTTCGAAAAGCTTTGTTCGGCAATTTCCTTCGGTATAAGAAATACCGAGAGCAAGCACAAACAATCCAATAATGACGACTGGATCCAGAGGGCATTATCCGACGAGAGAAACACACTTCCTCCCCGACAGCCGTCTCTACATGCCGACCACAAGTGTACGTTACTTCTCCTCATTAAGAGCAGGGATGATTTCCTTGGCCTCGTATCAAGCTTCACAAGTCGTCGCAGTAGAGTGTACCAATCCCATTTGGGAAAGTCAAGAGGGGAGCAAATATTGTGGGGATGTCTGTGCTGTGGGGATCGTGGAGACGATATCTTGTGGGAACGCTTTGAGATACATCCCCACACATATCAGATATCCCTCTTCGGGTATTTCGGCGGCTGTCAATTACCGACTAGATAGTCTAGCTCAGTTCCCACCCCCGCATAATGATCACCAAGCCAAGCTTGCTGCGGGAAAAGACTTTCCAAGCGCTGCAGATCTGTGTATGAGGATGATGTATGAGGATGGTGAATGCTATTACCAAGCGAAGACATATCAGACGCGGCTATTCAGTAAGGGGGAGAATGTAGATTCCGAAGGGTAGAATGTAATACTTACCAGCTAGCTATACATATATATATATATCTATATAACGCGATTGTTAATAGAAAATCCCATTCGAGTCCGAGTCTTTGTAATTCTAACTCCAAGTGACGACTAAGGAGACAAGGTAAGTAACCTGACTTGCCTTAATTCCTAGATCTAGTTTATCGTGGAGTTGCTGGTCGATCCATAATATTCCGGGCACCAATAATGCCCTGTTGATTTCACAACTCTCTCTCGCGCTCTCTATCTGCCTTTCCTCAGACAGCACCCAGCGTCGAAGTAGCCATATAGCAAGAGACGAAAGTCAAAATGGCTACGGCTACGCAAACAATGACGAAACTCGAGAAGGCATCTGCCGCCTTTCGCAAGCACCTACCTGATCTCAACACGCCGCGTTTCCAGGAAGCGAAGCAGCAAGATGCCTATTCGTACGCAGAAGCGTTTCAGAAAAACCATGTTCCGCCGTGGTTGTATAATTTGACTAAGGCGTGGGAGAAGTTGTATGAGGAGCCGTATAAGGGCGTTACGAGCGATGGTTGGTGTCATTGCTAATTTTTTGTGTTTTTGATGTCGTAGACAAAGGGCAAATGCTGATAATGTGTTCAATCTACAGGAAACATCATTCCTGATCTGTTTAAGATCCAAGATGAGGGAGTAGACACTGGAAAGATCGTCCAGGCCACAGAAAATCTGTTATCGAAGCTCTCTCCCGAGCAGAAATCCAAGCTGCAGTATCCCGTCAACGCCCATGAATGGCGAGCATGGTCGAACCCAGAGTTTCTACTCAGACCATTCGGTCTCCGACTCGAGGAGCAGGACGAAAGTGTCGCCCGTGCGATCCTCGCTGTCATAGAAGCCTCACTTTCCCCAGAAGGCTACCAAAAGGCGCTGGGCGCTATGCGGATTAACCATTTCCTGGGTGAAGTGTGTGAAGTTCCCAAGATCATGAACAAGTACTCGTACAATTTCCTGCTCTTTGGCACTCCCTCGACCACGGAAGCCTGGGGATGGAACATGTACGGACATCATCTGTGTCTGAACGTGTTCCTGAAGGGAAGTCAGATTGTGATTTCTCCAACTTTCACCGGTGCAGAGCCTAATGTTGTGGACGATGGCGAGTTCTACGGCACACAGATCCTTCACCCAGAAGGTGATCTCGGTCTGAAGCTCATGCAGAGTCTGTCTGAATCTCAGCAGAAGCGAGCACAGATCTTCAAGAAGTTGCGCGACCCGGGCATGAAGCAGACAGGCGACTTGACCGTTGATCGATGGAATCGTGATGACCAGCGCCATCTCTGCGGTGCCTTCCGTGACAATCGCATTGTTCCATATGAAGGGGTCCGTGTTTCCGAGTTTACTTCAGAACAGAAGAACCTCATTCTCGATATCGCGGAGCAATTCCTACTCTACCACCCGAAGAAAGCACGAGAGATCCGCAAGGCCCAGATCAAGGAACATTTCGATAACGCCTATTTTTCTTGGATTGGCGAATACGGCGATGACGATCCATTCTATTTCCGGATCCAGTGTCCTATCATCATCTTTGAGTTCGACCACCATTCTGGTGTATTTTTGACGAATGAGGAGCCAGCAAAATTCCACATTCATACGATTGTGAGGACGCCAAATGGGGGCGATTATGGAAATGCGTTGAGGAACCCGGCGGAGAAGCTATAATCAGTTATTCCTGTTGTCTGTATTGACGTACTTTGACCGTGAAACATAATATGAGTGAAAGATATAAAGTTGAAAAATATGGTCTTGTAGGGCTTTGATTTCAGTATTGCGTTAGGATGATCAGCCATAGTCGCCTTTGTATATCTGAGTTGACTGTAAAGGATCCGAAGTCCTCGTCTCTATCAAGACAACTATAGAATCTCTTTACACGCTGAATTTATGGCTCATAGAACGAATTAGTACAATTACACTACTTGATGGCCTAGGGTATATAGTACACTCTTAATATCGACCAAGCCGGTGTGGGGAAACGCCTGACGGGAGCTCTGTCTACATGCAGGGAACTCCAACAAGAAAACGCAGAAGACAATCCATGTAAACTTACGCATTCGATGATAGCTGAGAATTTCATTTTTATATCCGTCCCTGAATATGGATATCTATAACAACTGTCTCTATAAAACAGACTTCCTGAAAATCCCCCAAGGATCCTCCCTCACTCATTGACGAACTTGGTAATCAAAGTCCCCACATGAGGGAGCAACTCAACAGCAAATTCATCACCCGCCTTTAGGAAGTTCTTCGAAGCTGCGCCAACTCCAGGTGGTGTTCCTGTTAAAATGACAGTTCCTGCTGGTAAAGTTGTTCCTTGTGAGAGGAAGCTGATTAGTTGGGGAACGGTGAAAATCATATCTCTGTTTTCGATTGTGACACGTTAGTATTGAGATGTTTACGTTGGAAGAAAATAGTTATGGTTGTGCTTACTCTAGTCCGCAGTCTTGTACGGGGTTTCCGTTCTTCAGGCCCCGAATACGGAGCTTAGACGCGTCTGGGATCAATGAGGCCGAAGCCAGGACGGGTCCTGTTTGGCATGAACATCAGTATATAGCTCCTTCTTCATCTATCATGATGAGACATACCCAAAGGACACGAGGTATCAAAACCCTTTGAGAAACACCACTGACTCTGCGCCATCTGTGACGTCCTACTGGAGATGTCGTTGGCGGCAGTATATCCGAGGACATAATCCAAAGCATCAGCTTCGCTAACGTTCTTCGCATCGCGGCCAATTACAATGGCCATTTCAGACTCATAATCGCCCGTATTATCGAGCTGGGTGATCTTTGGCAGAATCGAGTTTGCCGGCCATGGATCCGCAAGTGATGTGGCAGGCTTGAGGAATAGCGGTGGTACCGCGGGGAGCGCCATGTTCATCTCCTTAGCATGAGAGACATACTGCCGTTGATACCCTTGTCAATCATCATCTATGAAACTTCCATGTAGGGAAACTCACGTTCAGGCCAATACATCTAATCGTGCCTACTTCCTGTTTCGTCAACGGGGAGAGAACCCTCCCGATCGTCTCGACAGTATCTGTCTTCTCTCCCGGCTGCAGCACCGATGTACCGGAGAAAAGGCGAACTTCTACATCCTGATTGCGGTATGTTGCCAATCCAACATCGATGCTGGCGTCGACTGGTTCTCCCAAGAGGATCTTTGACGCGTCTGACTTGGGAATAAAACGCACGAGACCTGTGGATTTATCAGAAGAAAATCTTTTGGCTGATCTGGTTCAATTGGAGGTTCTACTTACGCGAAAAACGCGATGCGATTGTTGCCATTTTGGAAGCTATAACCAACCTATCGTAAAAAAATAATCAATGTACGATATGCGTCCTTTGTTAAAAGGTATGAGTTTACTCCATCAAGAAATTTTTGGGGATCCCGGATTTAGCCCCTCTCAATCGCTATCAACGGCCGGTGTCGACATAAAGCACATTATCCACACATATTTGACCGGTACAACTCCGTGATACGTGATACAGCAACCACGGAGATGAGGAGGTGAAAATGCCGGCAGAATCTATACCCCGTGCCTAAGTGACAGTTGACTCTCCTCTAAATATCGCTCCCCACACCAGGGAGGGGCAGCGTGGGGAGGGGCATTCGGATTTCCCACCGACGCAACGATCGCATCGCCGAGCTTTCAATAAATCGTAGAAAATATCATAAGGAATTCAATTTATTGCTGCCTGGATCATCGGAGAGAACAAAAGAATTGCAAGAATATACCTGGTCAAAATGTCTGAGTCTGGCCCTAAAGGACCTTACACGCTGGTCACCGTCAACACGGCGCCGGAACGAGCAAAGAGGCTCATTGGGCGCATGGTCGAGGCACTAAAGGACCGTTACACCATTATCTATGCTGCAAACTGCGAGAGTGTGTTCACTTTCCTATACTTACTTGACTTTCTGGCCCTTTACTGATGTCTACGACAGCGATCGAGGAGGTAGCTCCTAAAGTCAAGGAATTTCAGCCTGACGTATTGGTAAGAGGAAGCAGCATTGAACATAATGCAGTATTTTGGATATGTCGAACCTGTGCTGACAATGAAGATAGTTCTGTGCTTCAATGTGGACAGCCGAGCAAGCTGAAGAGATCCAAAACATCGGCAGGTCGCTCAGACCAGGTCTCAAGACACATGCCATCCCACACGGTCTGCAAGTCGAGCGCGGTCCCGATGCTATCGTGGAACATCTACTAGAGGTCGTTCCTCCGCTGTTGGAAAGCTGAGGAAAGTAAGATCGCCAACGAGCGAGGGCCTGTTTTGAGAAATGGACGAAGAGCTGATGTCAAGACAGTGTATTGCTGCATTAGACATTGTTGCCAGAGCTTTGTCCAGTGCTTCGTCTGGGGAGAACTAGACATATTCTTCAAAAATTATAACTCTTAACCTCATGAGACCATGTAGCATGATTAGAGAGGATTCTTGTATATACTGCACCAAGATAGACTATTCACTATAACATACCCAGGACATAGAACGACAGGGCTCGAATTGATCGTAGCGTCTCATATCAAGTCTGGAACGTCTCGTAGGGAATCAGAATCGGACAGGGCAAAAAGAAATACCCCGTAACTATAAATGTATCCGGGAATAATAGAAAGAGTGATAAAGTGATCTTATCTCATGGGCTCCTTGTTGGCCAGCTTGATCTCTAAGCTTAGTTAACTCTACCCTAGGTTGCTTGAAAGCGGCCCATTCTCCAAACCTGGGGAATGCTTTCCTCTATGCCGACTGATGCTTTCGCTGGGACCTCCATTTTGCGTGACTTGAGTATAGATTAGATGGTGTCGATTTAAAGTGATGAAAGGACCAAGTGGTTGTAGATGATTTGTACTCGTTGACCAATAACTAACATGCTGATATAATCGCAAATGGGTTTACGCCGTCACGTGATGCTCTATTGCCATGGCTTCCAACCGGCAGTCTGGATAGGTAATCTCTCCTTCGTTAACGTATACATTTCCAACCACAAGGCTGACCATGCTACCTTTCAGACCATTGAGAAGCCCCTCGCTCCGTCGAGCATTCTCGACATCGAGACGGCTCAATTTCGAACTTTCACATCAGATCTTCACGCCAGATTCAAAAGCAAACCATGCACAGAAGGGAGGAGACCCGATCATATTCATGCACGGCCTGTTCGGATCGAAGATGAATAATCGGAGTATGAGTAAGTATGTATATACTCACAAACTAAACCATTCACGAATCTTAGTCGATCCAATTTCTGGTTTTTATGCATGTTTTAGCTCTAATACATTGACAATAGGGTCTTGACACGTGACTTGAACCGGGAGGTGTTCATAGTGGTTCGTTGTGAGATGCATATTCTATGATAGGCGGAATGTCCGTTGAATTGGGATATTTAGCTCACTTGATGTTCTTGTGACTTGGTAGGATCTTCGAAATCATGGACATTCCCCCCATGCTCCGGAACATAACTATACTATCATGGCCGATGATGTTGAGAACTTCCTCCATCGACATCGCATCAGCAAGGCTGTTTTGATTGGTCATTCCATGTATGTTTTCGATGTTATCTGAATAGTCCACATTGGAATTAAACAGGGGCATACCGAAGGAAGCTAATGCTGAGAAAACAGGGGTGCCAAAGTAGCCATGACAGTCGCATTGCGCTCACCTAATTTGGTGTCTGCTCTTGTCCCCGTGGACAACTCCCCCGTCAAAGCTCCTTTGCAGAGCGACTTTAGGAAATACGTCAACGGGATGCTAGAGATCGAGGCCGCTAAGGTGACCAAACAGAGCGAGGCCGATAAGATCCTACAGCCATATGAACAGGTAAGTCCAGAACTATACACTACCGTAGTAGAAATCCTCCTATAGATTTCTCATGCTCGTTCTGTCCATCTTATATAATGGAAACAGTCTCTCCCCATCCGCCAATTTCTCCTCACGAATCTCATCCGCACCGACGACGGCCATCTGAAGTTCCGTGTCCCGCTCAACGTCCTCTCCAAGTCTCTGGACGAAATGGCCGATTTCCCCTGGCACGAGCCCGGCGAGGTACAGTACGACGGACCGACCTTGTTTGTACGCGGTACCAAGAGCCGTTATGTCACCGATGCAATGATCCCTGCGATCAAGAAGTTCTTCCCGAACGCGGAAATCGCTGATATCGATGCGGGTCACTGGCTCATTTCGGAGAAGCCGGAGGATTTTAGACATGGTATGTTCTTAACTCTTGCTTTAGTAACTGTACTTGCTGACTTCCGGTCTCTAGCTGTTGTCAATTTCTTGAAGAAAAATGCGTAGGATTGCATCGGATCAGCATATAGACGTGGATGTAATAGACCCTGTGTTATCTTCTGTTTGTATTATTGTTCACACACCGTACCTAATATAGCACGTTGGCATCTTCTCGAAAAATAGGACTTATTACATTGGTATCTATAACAGCAAAGTTCCCTCCGAAATCGATGGTTTTAACCAAGAAATGCCGCGCAAAGTAGAGATCGATCCGATAATTGTTTCCTCCATTTGAAATATATGCATAAAAGCTATCGCCCGTTACCGGAGTTGACAGTTCCCTCCTCTATCTGCCGCTTCTTTCTTTTCTTCTTCTTTCTTGCCGAGCTAGGATCCGTCTCGAGACTCGGGCTGGATTTGGAGGACGAATGGACCTCTGAGACACTTGTTGGAATACTGGAGCTTTGCTCTTCGTCTGAGGATGCAGTGGGCTTCCTCCGCTTCCGATGCTCATCTCTAGGTTGCGTGTCCATCTTTGGCTGACCTAGACCAATTTCAGCAAGCCTGTCGAGAGGCAAGCTCGCCAGCTCTTCTTTGACCTTCTCAAGAGCCTCTAGCCGACCGACAGCGTCAGAGATGTCTCTCTTTGCCAACTGGGCCGTCTCCTCGAATTTTCGGGTGAGAGCCTTGATCTCTTCCGTAGTAGCCTTTTCAGACTCATGGATGCGGCCAAGTAGAGATGTCACGGTCACGCCATTTGTTTCCCGGATTTTATTATCTATGCCTTTGATCTTCTCCGCTAGATCTTTGACAGAATTGTCGACAGATTTGATCTCGTCGTTCAATCGGTCCCGCTCCTGCTGCATGTCTCGGAGGAATGATTGCCTCTCCATCTCTCTGTTCGTGATGTCATGCTGGACCTTTTCCGTATGTTCGTAGAGCCTGCTAGTTAACGATTGAAGCTGATCCCGCAAAGGCGTCATTTCACGAATATTTGGCTGTACTTCGTTCTGCATATGCGCCCATAGAGCCGATTGTTGATAGTTAAGGGCAGCTATTTTCTCGGTCATCTGCTTGTTGTTCATTTTCAGTGTCCCCTGGTTCTTCTCATAGTGGTCTTCCAGTGCCGTTAACCGCTGTCCCATTCTTTCCAGCTGGGCTTGCTGCATAGCAGTGTTTGACGCTTTCAACTGATCCATCTGCGTCTTCAAAAGACCGAGCTGTTCCATCAGTGCAGGCAATGATAAAGGGTAAAACTCTTGTATCACTGTGATAATATTCTTCGCCAGTGTCTCGGTGGACAGGTTGTTATAGCGTTCCTCCAGGGAACGGAGACCGACGTCAGCTATAGTCTGCCGCTTCTCGATATCTCGCGCTAGGGTCTGAAGTGATGCTGAAAGCTCACCGACCGTCTCATGAACTCTCTGGTCCGCTTTCAGCTTCTCTAGGACGTTTGTGTGCTCAGCCAGCCGTTTCCCGAGCGACTCCATCTCTTGGAACTGCAAGTCATCCTTGGCCTTGAGCACATTTTGCAATGCTGAGAGTTGCTGTGAGAGCTGTTCCACGGTGATTCTAAGATCGATTTGATCGCGATCATTTGTGCTGGTTTGCGCTGGCTGCTGTCCTTGGGCCTGTCCTACCTGCTGCACTTGGGACTGGAGTTCTTTAAACGCTTCAGAGAGAGTCTTTATTTCTTCTTTGACGCTATCGTTTTCTTTCCTCGAAGTAGCGCTATCATTTGCCCATGAAGCATTCTCCAGGCTAGAAAGACGTTTGCTGATATCATCCAATTGACTTCGAGTATGATTCGTCAGGTCCATAACGCCATCGAGCTTTTGTATGGTAGAAGAGGTGTCGGAAGAGTTTTGTAGAGCAGATAACTGCTCTTCGAGCTTAGGGATATTTTCAAGAGCAGCTTTATATGCTTCACCGGCGGTCTTCAACCGGTGAATTTCCTCTTTGATATACCTCTGGTCATCTTGGCCACTGGAGATCGAACGAAGTCGGGATTTTATCGAGGTAAGGTTCTGTTCCATATCTCGTATCCTCTCGTGGAGACTTGATGATCTCTCCTCTCTGGTTTCCACATCAGTCTTGCGGGCTAGGGCTTCAGATGTGCTTGCAAACTGATTCCGACACTCCTGAATATCTTTCGTGTGACGAGAAAGAAATGTAGAGTGAGCCTTGGTAGCGGTATCGAGAATATCAACTCTTGACTGTAAATACTGGAGTCTCTCTTCCAACGCTTTATCGGTCTCTTTCCGTCCCTTCAAGGTTTCGATTTCTTTGTGAGCATTCGAAGCTATCAACTGTGCCTCAAGTGCCGACTTTTTCGCGCTTGCAGCCTCAGTTTTTGCGTCACGTAATTTTATCTCTATTTCGGAGTCATGTCTATGTGACGTGCTCGAGCTGACGAGAGACCCGACGCTACGCTCCAACTCATCCCGACGAAGCTTATTCTCGCGCAGCTTCTCTTCGACGCGCCCTAGATCATCATTGTCGTCCCTCCTCAGCTGTTGAAGATAGGAAATTGTTGACGGGAAGTTGAAATGTTTCTTTGTTTTCGTGAAGCTACCTTCAGTAGCTTCAAGCCTTTTCTTTAGGTTAGCCTGTTCGGCTGCAGATTGTGAGAGAGCAATGATATTTTCTGCCAGGCCGCTGAATGATCGTGCAAATGTTTCACTAGAAGGAGTACCTGGTCCTTCTGACACTGGCTGATCCTTAGATGGCACGGTGGCCTGGTCAGTGGTGGCCGGGCTAATGAGTGCAGAAGGCTCATTATGAGATTGGCCTTTGGCTGCCCCAACTTTGAGCGTAATCGGACGGATACGGGGATCACGCGGAGGTGCGTATGGGGCATTTTCATCATTTGCTCGATTCTGCTCCATTTTTCTCGATTTCTCTTCCTAATCCGAGTAGGGACCCGAAAGAGATCATCAACTATAAAAATGCACAGACGGGATAGAACATGGCGGAAGCGAGCTCCAGAAGCAACGATGAGCTATCCCCGTAGCCCAAACATAGGACAGATAAGGGACGCGAGAAGTAGAAATCAAAATATCAGGCGTTGATCGTGAGGTTGCGGTGAAGGCATGGAGTGGGGCTATAGACACGGTAATAGAAGTGACACAAGACTAAGAGCAACTTGATAATACCGAATGAGATGAAAAAATAGGAATCAGATGAATCGATTTAACAAGAGGATAGATGCCTCGAAAGTCATCAACAAGAGAATGCCATAGCTTTTAGTCTAGTGCTGCGGCATTATCACATCAGGAGACCCCGAGATAAAATGTTGGATTCTGCCGGGCGGTGGAGAAGACGGTGTGCAGCCAGACATCTCGTCCTCACCTGAGAGCTCTGAACAAACGAATCTCCCCGATTAAGCCAGTGCCTCGTCACAACGCGCGCTTTCGACTGTGGTTAGAAAAGAAACGAGGTCCCCTGGCTATTGCGACCTATAATCCACCATGGCTGCTGTGAGTTATTACTCTGGAGTCCCTCCTAACCCTGCCATCACTAACATTGAATCAAGCCAATCTCCACCGTCGCAGAGAGCAAGGAGCTCAGAGGGCTCAATCTCGTCGCCGCTCACTCCCATATCAGAGGTCTCGGTGTCGATGCAGACACTCTTCAGCCGCGATCATCGTCTCAGGGACTTGTCGGTCAAGAAAAGGCGCGAAAGGCGGCCGCCGTGATCTTGCAGATGGTCAAGGAAGGAAAGATCGCCGGTCGTGCACTTTTGATCGCTGGCCCTCCTAGCACCGGAAAGACCGCCATCGCCATGGGCATGGCGCAATCTCTCGGATCCGACGTCCCCTTCACCATGCTAGCCTCATCTGAAATCTTCTCGCTGGAGATGTCGAAAACCGAGGCGCTTACGCAGGCATTCCGGAAGTCTATCGGAGTGAGGATCAAGGAGGAAAGCGAGATCATCGAGGGAGAAGTGGTTGAGATCCAGATTGACAGGAGTGTTACAGGGGTGCGCCAACCACTATATTGGGTAGTTCTAGTGACAATATTCATCATTACTGACCGCAAGCGATGTAGGGCAACAAACAAGGAAAACTCACGATCAAGACGACGGACATGGAGACGATTTACGATATGGGGACCAAGATGATTGATTCCATGACCAAGGAGCGTGTGATGGCCGGAGATGTTATTTCTATTGACAAATCCTCGGGGAAGATTACCAAGCTCGGTCGTTCTTATGCTCGCTCGCGCGACTACGACGCCATGGGACCTGATACCAAGTTCGTGCAGTGCCCTGATGGCGAACTGCAGGTTCGCAAAGAAATCGTTCATACCGTCAGCCTGCATGAGATCGATGTGATAAACTCTCGCACTCAAGGTTTCCTCGCCCTCTTCTCCGGTGACACTGGCGAGATTAGAAGCGAGGTCCGGGATCAGATCAATACGAAGGTGGCGGAATGGAAAGAGGAGGGCAAGGCGGAGATCATCCCTGGCGTCTTGTTCATCGATGAAGTCCACATGCTGGATATTGAGTGTTTTGCATACATCAACCGGGCTCTCGAGGCGGAATTGGCGCCCATTGTTATCATGGCCAGCAACCGTGGAATCACCCGTATCCGGGGAACCAACTACCGCTCGCCACATGGGCTTCCCCTTGACTTTTTGGATCGCGTCGTTATAGTTAGCACACAGCCATACGCCAGCGATGAGATCAGACAGATTTTGGCCATCCGTGCCCAGGAAGAAGAGATTGATCTCTCTCCCGATGCCCTTGCCCTCCTGACAAAGATCGGACAGGAATCTGGCCTCCGATATGCCAGCAACATCATTACCACGTCGCATCTGCTGAGCCAGAAGCGAAAGGCTAAGGAGGTCAGCGTCGACGATGTTCAGCGCAGCTACCAGTTGTTCTATGACCCCAATCGCAGTGTCAAGTTCGTCAACGACTTCGAGAAGCGGTTTATTGGCGAAGAGGGCGGCGTCAGCTTCTCCTACGCCAACGGTGACGCCATGGAGATTTCGTAACGCTCTGGGGTATTCCCTCTTCATTTTCCCTACTAGGGTCTATTCTTTCATGGAGAATTGGGATGGATGTTGTCCGGACATGGAAAAAGTAGCACTATCTGTTTTGTTTTCATACCACGTTATGTACGATAAGGCCGGCGCTTGTTCAGGGCTCGTCAGCAGGGTAATTTGATTCAGTTTTTTAGATTTCCCATGATATACACATCAATTAGTTCGGGAGAACCGAATACAGTAACAACCGTACATGCAATTAGGGTCTCCACGATATCAATGGAACAGTAGTAAGAAAAAGTTCATGAAGAACGTATACAAGCATGACTTGCATGGAGAAATATGTCCATACAGGACACGCGGTTCAATGTCTATGAGAAATCAACGACACGACTCCAAGGGCCAGAGTCACCTGCTTTTCGGAACTCGACTTCTTGTCCAAAATAACCGGCCTCGCTCCACGAGCGCATCATAGCAGTGTCGTAAGGCCCATGCGGTTCTCCGCCATCGCGGGCGTCCGACCAGCGGTACTCCCACATCGTCGGACCTGTCTGGGCTCCGTCATTCGCAGACAGTTGCTCTGACGAATCAATCCAGTCCTCTCCAGTCTCTCGTCGAAATTGCCTGGTCAGAAGCTCACGTTCCGCATCGTAGATCTCGGTCTGGCCTCGCGTGAGCAGCATGTCTGCTGCACCGGTTACAGCTTCAATGGTCTGTTTCAGCGCCGCCTCTGCTGGGTTTTCTTCTGACATTTCGACATCTTCAGAGGCTCCACCATTTCGTTTCAAACGGTTCTTGTTCTTGTTTTTATTCTGCCACTTTGGTTTCTTCTGGACACCCTTTCCTAGCCGCGCGAGAGCTTCTAGCACCGTCTCTCCTCGTTGCATATTCGTGATGAGTGTTCGAAGTAGATCGGCCGTCAAGACACTGTCATCTGCTCTCTCCCTCGCTTTGCGCTCTGCATCTCGCTTCTCAGCAGCATCCTTCGCCTTCCTGATATCCTTCTTGGAGACCCCATCTAGCCAGTTATCGTAAATTGCGTCCGGGTCGACAGCTTTTCGCACGTAGTTCCCTTGTTCATCAAAGCGACCTTCTTCCTGCTCTGCGCGCATGTTGAACGCATCCAAGAGAGGCGCATGCGTCTTCTTAGCACCAGCCCCAAGTTCCTCGTCCATGTCTTCGGTGAGCTTCGCTCGCTCTTCGTCTGGAACGTCGCTTTCTTCCGAACTGACCTCCTCCACATCGACAGCATCTGCACCCTTCCTAAGATCAACATTTAGTCTGCCTCCTCCCTTTGACGATGTGACCTGGCCCTCGATCTCATCGTCTCGCAGAAATCGAACATTCTTCTTGTTCTTCCGAAGCGCCTCGTCCGCATCGATGTCCTCCGCGCCAAAATCCTCCTGTAGCTCTGCGAACATGTCATCGTCATCTGCGTCATGCTTAGCTCTGCTGCGCTTGGCTTTTGCTTCAATCCGCGCTGAGAATCCCTCGTTTTCACTATCTGAATCGTATCCATCAATGTTGACAGCTCCGCGGCGCACTTGCTGACCGCGATGGCCGATCTCGTCTGCATCTAGAACAGCATCGTCTTCCAGCTCGTCAGGCGCAAGCGCGGACGGATTCCGGGGATCGAAACGCGGCTTTTTCGAGTTGATGTGAACGTCTGGATCCTCAGGGTCATGTGCGTGAGTGCGGGAGAAGTCCTCGCCCGCCCGCTTGGGGCGCCCGAGAGAGGCGGCCATTGGGTTATGTGGCCAAGAGAGTAAATATGAGGCAGGTTTCCTATGTGATAAGAGATAGGATATCCTCTTCAGCACAGTAGGCTGTCAGTAATCTGTTTAAGCTTCTTTGTCGTTCGGTTGTCGCAGGTTGTCGCAAATGGTCTGAGTCTGGGGTCGGCCCGGAAAATCGTAGGCGGATAGACTTGCGTCACTTCGCAGTTCAACGACAACCAGCTGTCCAAACCACTTGCTGGGCGACGCTTTTTGACGCATCGAGATAATCCGGCGTTCTTTCTCAGGACTATTTCATATCTCACAGGGAAGACTGTATCCAACGGTTCATAGTTTTTCAGGTCACATCGGAACCTAATACAAGCTCCCCGCCATACGGAGAGCGGCCATCGGCTTCTTGATACATTCACCAAAATGGTAAGAGTACAGCATCAAATAGCTCCATCGGGGCGTATCACTAATGTTACTCTCTAGTTCCGTTCAGAATTCTGGGAGGACGACCCTATGGAGGGAGTCATGGGCTCCTCCATGTTCCATCGCGGCGGTGCCTCTCGCCGCTTCGACGAGTACTACCGTTGCTATCCTGTAGCAATGATGCCTGGACCAGAGAGAGAGAATGTGAACCACGGTGGCAAGGTTATCATGCCGCCCAGTGCCCTGGATAAGCTGACTCGGCTTCACATCACTTATCCTATGCTTTTCGAGCTGCACAATGGAGCAAAGGAGAGGATGACACATGCTGGTGTGCTGGAGTTTATCGCGGAGGAAGGGAAGATTTATCTACCATTCTGGGTTAGTTCACAGATTTTAGACCCTCTGCATTCCACTCTGTGCATAATGCTGATAATTATTCGGGGTGAAAGATCATGCAGACGCTCCTTCTTGAGCCGGGCGATCTCCTCCAGATCAAATCAACAGACCTGCCTTCTGGCCAGTTTATCAAACTGCAAGCTCAGTCGACATCCTTCCTCGATATTAGCGATCCCAAAGCCGTTCTAGAAAACGTCTTCCGTAACTTCTCATGTCTCACGAAAGGCGATGTGTTTACGTTCCATTACAATGATCAGGTGTACGAAATGGCGGTTTTGGAAACTAAGCCGGCCAACGAGAAGAACGCCATCTCCGTCCTGGAGACAGATTTGGAAGTCGACTTTGCAGCCCCCGTAGGCTACGAAGAGCCCAAAGTTCCTAGCGGGACGAGTACTCCTCTGAGCATGCCTGGTGGAAAGATCCCACCTGGTGGCATGCTTCATCCTCACGGCACTATGGCTCAGGCTATCAACTACGCCGCCATTGCTCCAGAGTCCACAGATGCGAACAAAGGTGCCAAGGCCGCGTCGTCGAATTTCCTCCTGGGTGGCCAGCGGTTGAATGCGAAGAAAGGAAGTAAAGCTCCAACACCTCAGCCTACCACACCTGCTCCGGGAACAGCCAAGACACAGCTTCCACCTCCTACACGGAGGACGAACGGACCAATGCCGCTACGACTGCCTCCGAATCAACTATTCTTCGGCTACGCTATCAAGCCCGTGAAGAAACGCGATGAGCAGGGCAGAGTCGCTGATGAAGAGGAGAAGCCGAAGTTCCAGGGTGCTGGACAGACCCTCCGGCAGAAGAAGAAAGGCGTTAGTGGAGCAGGCACCCCTGCATCGGGCAGTGATGCTGAAGGTTCCAAGGGAAAGGATTCGAAAGGCAAGGACACCGGCCGTTCTCTTGGGAGCTCCCGAACCCTCCGGTAAAGGCGTCTTGATCTGGATATCTATAGTCGCGTTATCCTTACGACTGTAGCTCTATTCTTCGAACGATATTAATCGGCTGGCGCTCTATGTGTTTCTGGTGCATAGCGGTTTGGGTTGGCGCTTAATGGTACTGTGACTTCTTCTGAAATAGAAATATACGTGGGTTTTCTGCCAGACCGCCACAATGAAACGACTTGTAAGTCATACCAGCAAAGCATAAGCACCGTATTCTGGTCACTCACTGTAGCTATAAAAATCTCCACACTCAGCAGTCAGTATAGAGCACTCTAGCCTAGCTCAGTTCCCTCTTAGCTTCATCCAAAACATCATCCACCCAATTAACGCAGTTCCGCGCTGGCGGGTCAGGCTTTGTCTCCGTCAACACCCTTGGATCGTATGGCGGGGGATGTTTTGCCGCAATCTCTTCAAAACGATGCAGCATCGATTTCGGAAGCTGAAATTGGAACGTCGAGTCCTTGTAACCGTCTATAGCACCAAATCTATGGCCTGGCTTTCGTTCGTAGTCCATCCCCATACCGACGGTTCCTTTAACGTGGTAGAATCGTCCAGCTAGCTGGTCACTGTTCTGAGCGGGCACCAACGCGATGCCTTCGTGGTCGGGGTTGCCTCGTTGTGTGAACCGGACTCGGTAGACGTTGTATGTTGTAGTTTCGAGAGACATGATGGGGGTTAGATGGCTAATCGTGGTATAATAGTATCGAAACGCTTATAGTCTTTGTATTGTGTGAAGCGAGATCAGATCTGCCTCTGGCAAGGTGACAACACGTCAACTCTTACCTATTTCAGCTTCAGCTTTTCATGCCCTTGTTTCGTCGGACAGTCATTACAGAATCGGAGAGCGGCATCTCGCGCAAAAGGCTAATGGCAAAGTACAGTATAATGTCGAATCCACGATCTTCCTCTAAGGAGTTCTCCTTTTTGGTCGAATCAGTTAGGATCCTTCGACATATAACGGGAACCGCCTCCAACTATACGGGTTGGGGCTCTTTCCATCCAGATCAGCGAATATATATATCCGCGGAAATAGGAGTTGTATACGGCGATAGATGTAGTTCAGACATTGGTGCATTTCTTAATTCAAGGTAAGTTCAATCGCATCGTACTGCACATGCTAGTGGCTTCATTACACAAATAAACGAGGGGAGGCACTTCTGGAAGACTTGAAGACACCATGTGCCAGCATTACGTCCAAACAAACAAGTTGATAATTTTGGGGACCCTAGTGTGCTCCAGGCCTAGAGACTTCCCTTATCTTCCGGGTCAACTAGTGGACTGCACTGTGCAGCAGAGTCACGGATTTAGATGGCTTGTTTCAGGGCAGCTAGATCGTACCACAATGAAGTAGTTCTGAGAATAATTCAATTATGGTACCATTCAGAAGTCTCCCGGTTGGTTTCCCAAATCGCATGTAGCCTGGGTATTAACTCCTAGAATGCAAAATACCGCTTTGAAATGAACAATGGCAAATGATTCAATCAAATATTCGAAATTAGAACGAGGCGTAAGTATAGACAAGAATGGAAACAGCGAAAAGAGTCAGGAAGACGGGGTCGCAACTTTGATTTTCCCCTCTGCTATTGCGACTTTCAGTAGATATCTGACATCTCGTCGTAGCTTCAGCAGGTGGGTCTCTGAATCCTTGACCTTCTGGAATTCGAATGATATAGTCCCAGCTAGATCGGTCACGTCGTTTGAAGCATCCTCTGAAGCATCCATGATATTCTGGCTGATAAGATCGGTTTCCTCACTTATCAGCGCTGCAATCCGATCCTTAAAAGCCTCCATCTCCCGTCGTTGTTGCAATTGCATTTCTTTTAATAACTTTTTCGTGCTGTCAAGGATATTCTCAGCAACTCGGTCAATTTTGTCGCTGATTTCCTTGAGATCTTTATGAGAAACGGGCCGCGCAGATGTCGTTTCAGGAGGCGATGTATTGACTCTGCTCACCACGCCGTGCGCTGGATCCACGGCAGGAAGTCTGCTCTCATCCACAAAAGTTTCTGGATCAGTCGAAGTATTCATCCAGTTATCCATACGCTCCTGCCACGCGTTGAGCTTTGCTTGCTCCTCCTGCTCCTCGTCTTGCTGGGGTTGCTGTCTTGGTGTCGCCTCCAAAGCATCAAGTGGTGGTTTTTTGTCCTCGCATGGTCTTTTTTCTGCTTCTGTTCTCCTAGCCCGTCTCAAAAGTTGTCTGTTCCGTTCCGAATGCCATATCCACTGGCGCACAAACTCGGAGGCAGGAGTAAGAAGTTGCGCATCGTTATACTGACTGGGCTCGGAGTTCATAGCGATTCGAGTCCTCTCCTTCTTAATGCTCTCCTTGAATCGCCTTTGACACGACTGCCATGAAAACGTCCTTCTGGCTCGCTTTTGAAACTCTTCACTGATCTTAATCCAGTCTTTGCACTGATAATCTGCGTCCCATCTATCACCAAAGGTTTCTTGGCATATTTGCAGGAGGATCAACTCCTGGTGAGCTGTGAGTCGCCCCCGAGTTGTCGCGATGGGGGTGACCCCTCCTAGCGATCCATTTAACCCATGCATCCCGGTAGGTGTACTGCGGGTAGTAGGAGGAGTAGGATTGTCCGCGAGGCCGTTCATATTTAGGCTTATCGGTGAGAGATGGAGATGTCAATCGCGGTGGTCAGAATCCAGACATATGGTTAATAGAAGATATTCCTAAAGAAGAACAAAGGGGAAAATCTGAGCTGACTGGAAATTGAATCTCGAATAAAATCGTATGATGGTTATCGTGAACTCCCCTGACTAGTGAGCGGTAAGACGCGCGCGACGCGACCTCTCCACGCGATCAGTACGAAGGTTCTCCACCGAGAGGGACCAAGAACTGACGATGATCCTGCGAGAGCTCTTACAAGAGCCCTTAAAGAGACCTTTGATAGATATTGTCATGTAATTACTAGGTATTCTACCTTTTTCCTATCAGAATCAATTGAGAAATTATCTACAAGGTTATGTTTCTGCCGGCAGTATTGGGCAAATATCTACTGGATTGGGTAACTTTCGTCAGGCGGTGTACGAACAGACGCGTCTAACCGCGTGTTTGTCGCGATGGCGGTGAAGATCACGAGACCCGGGCCGAGGATGAGAAAGAATGCCTCGTTTGCCATGATGAAGCAGCTGTCATGATAACTGCCTCGAGGGTTGATATACGCAAGATACGATACAGGTTGCAGCATCGAGCAAGGAATCTATATCCTAGTCAACCTACGATGTCACATTATTACACAAAGGAATCGATCTAGAATTACTATGTGAGTAAACACCGTGGGAGTGACCTTCTGATTCAAATGAGCCTGAACAGCTATCAGCGCTAAAGATGAGGGCCACATTGTGTAAATAATTGTGGTTTCTATGCCCGAGAACCCACAGAACAAACTACCATTTCCCAGGAATCCATCAGTTTTCGTGTTCTTTTATTCTGCACGGAACTCTCGTTGCAGCTCTGAATCTACCATAGCCTAGACGACTTCGTGGTAAAAGCCCTCGTCGAGATCAGGATATTCAGCCTGATTTGCACCGGTGAAGTAGCTTGCCATGAATGATCCATCGAAAGCAGTAGTATCAGTCGCAGCAAAAGCTGCTGCAGAGTCGGCATAGCCGTTGGTCTGGCTATTGATTCTCTCCTGCTTTGGGTCCAACAGACTATCAGCCGTTTGAGGGAGCTGCTTGTCTTTGTCATCTCTCGCATTCTCGATGCTACTGAGAACGCTGGTTTCGGTCTTGTATTCATCCGTGAACGAACTGCCAGACTCGACTTTCTCAGACTTAATCTGAACGGGGGTCTTGATGTTCAACATGCTGATGTCAGAGTCGTCGTCGAGGTTGATGGCGTCGACAACGCTTTGGCCGCGCTTGCCCAAACCGCCCTTCTTGGATGGGGTCGATAGAATCTTTGCGTCGAGATTGCTGCGGTGACTTTTCCCGCTCGACGGGGTGGATTTGGTGACACCATTTCTTGGTCCTCGAGGACCACGAGGAGTCCGGGGTGTGCCTCCGTTTCCACGGCCACGGGGAGGGACAGAGACTCCGTTCGCGGCGGCTTCCGACTTGAGTTGTTCGGCCTGGCGACGGTATTTACGGAACTGGCCTTCGATCGAATCATAACTTGCAGAGCGACCATACATGGCTGCCATTCCGTTGTAATCGAGCTGCGCATAGTCAGATATAAGAGCGATGATAAAAGCCCCGGAGGAGTAGCTCACTGACCTTAAGGCTAGGGTGAGCTGCGATCAAAGCACTGATGAGGCGTTCAGTGGCATCGGCACTCTTCCAGTTGACCATTTTTGTAGCTTTCAACGCTTCAGAATGCTACTTAGTTCTTCTATAAATGCATGTCAGTCTTTCTCATCGAGTATGATAAGATATGGAAGACATACAGATTCCGCCTCTGGGTTAAGGTATGGTGTGGTGTAAAGGATTTGGTGTGTAAAGTGGACAAGAGATGATGTAGAGACAAGGATACCAATGTGTTCCTCTTCCAGATGGGTGGCGTGAAAGGCAGAAGTAAATCTTGGGCACCCTCAAAGTTTGTTAAGTTGTAGTACAAGTGAAGCTCAAGGAACACAGTAGCCAAGGGTCGGTGAGAGAACCACTGAGAGCAATAAAGTAGTCATGTACACGAAGACATAAGTCCAAGTATACTGAGGTGCGCGCTTTTATAAGTGCCAGACTCTAAACTGACGTTCATCTGTGGCCTTTCTGTTTTCAGCTCGCGGAACATATGTCAAGATCTTGGAGACAAAAGGATTTTTTTACACGTAGGGCTCTAATCGCAGAGATTGTGGAGGGGCATACTCTCAGTTCTGGCGGGGTTAGCCGCTTGAAGTAGCGAAATCAATAGATATGCACTCGCTGATAAAAGATCCCTCTGTGAATTCATCCAACATTAAGGTCCAACGCGACAGGTTTGTGGACACTGATACGACCCATAATGACACGATACAAGGAGCGATCAGCATGGCCATCCCTGTGGGATACGGTTTGAATGTATACGCTATCACATTAATGCTGTCTCTAGACTTGAACCGGTTCTTTTTTTATGCAGGGATTTATCTGATCTGTTTGCTGGAATTAACTGGAACCAGGGCGAATGCAGTCTACTTTTTGTGATTTATCCAGTCAGAAATATAGATAAGTAGTTAAGGGACGGCTAGAGATGGATGCATGGAAATACATATGACTACGTATAGTGGCGGAAATTGGATTTTAATTTCTACTGCTGCATGTAGCATAGCGATTTGTTCGAATATGCTTTCTTTTAAGATACGAATATTCTCATGACTCCCTTTTCTGTGCCGGTCTTCAATGACTGGAAATCAGATAGCATCGTAAGCTGTGCTCCCCATCACAGCTATTGGAGGGCGAGTGCTAGCATCGCGTGTCGGGACCTGACTAATAGACAAGAGCCAGGACGTCAAGATTCGAACCCAAGAACGTGGGAATTGGAGCTATCAGGACACTTGCTCCAATCCGATGATTTCCAACAATGCGGCGCCATCAAGAGGGATATGCAGGAATCGTCTCGAGATAACACACTAACAAACATTATTATCCCAGCCTCACATGTCCTGCGGCTAGGCAGAAGCCGTTATGCAGTCCTACTGCCCGGGGATGTTAGCAGAAGAGTTACCCAGGCGATTCGGAATCTCGAAATGGCTTTCCGAAAGACATAGGTCCCTTTCTACCCCTACACCGCCTCAGACGATGCCGTGATTCGAGCAGCAGAAGCTCCGTTCCTGCGCATATCGCGCGTCATTCACAGGGTCAAAGACGGCAGAGAGAGGGGTAGAGCTGCGTTTTCCGACAGACTGGACTCGAGGTATACGGAAGTACAGAGGGGAACAGGTGTCGTTGGCGTAAGGTTTGCTGGGTCGTCCGTAAGCGAGCACGGATCGTCGCGCCTTGTTTGCGTTCTCCACGAGGCGCATCCACCATCATCCACCGGCTGGGATGTCGGCCACGCTGATCCTGTAGAGAGGCCGTTATAGACTCGAAAAGGGACCCAGGGACAGTTTCTTGTTGGAACTTGGGAGCTGTCACGCATGAGAGATAGATTCTTGCGGGAAAGCTGTTGTTATCCTGCTGCAGGCTTGCTATCTTCTGAGGTGCCTGTACTTCTTTACGCTTCTTCACAGACGACACAGCTACTGATAGAATACACGACTGATCTTTAACTTCTACATTGGTCGCGGATGAACGCGGAATCGATACTTGATGGGCCTGAAAAGTGTAGTAATCTGTTAACAGATAACTAACTACGGCAATAAAGCCATCTTTTCAGACATAATTTCTCAAGTGAACGCAATCTATTCTCAAAAGTGACGGCTGGCTCCCTGGGAGGAGCCGATACTTCTCTCATAACACATTCTTCATTGTGTGCTTGCTCTTTGTTTTAAAACTCACCTCGTCCTCGACCCTCTCTCCCTCTTCTTCCACCACTCTCATCTCTCACACTGCATCCTATCACCCACTACTCTCTGAATACTAGCAGCTACAAACCAAGGCATAGCGTTCTTAAGCTTACCACGATGCCTATGAGGTGGACTCCCGAGACGGACCAGCTTGTGAGCTTTTCCCACGCTTGTGCTCCATGAACATGCACAATTTGTGTTTTCATTCGAGTCCATCCCTCACGCCACCCTTGACCACAGACTGACATGAACACTGCTATAGTTGCTGCTGAAGATCCTCGAGACTCATAATCTCTCTGTCGACTCAAAGAAGGTCGCAGACGCATGGCGTAAGCCCATTTCCTCCCCATGCATAACTCCAATATTAACCCAACCAGCCGGAACTGAAGCTGGCTCTAAGCCCACTCCCCGCGCCATCACTGAACGTCTCGTTCGCATGCGCGCTCAGGTTAGAGCAAGCGGAACTGGAAATTTCAGCATCGGCAGCAGCAAAGGCTCTGCAGCTTCCACTCCTCGCAAGCCGCGCGCTAAGTCTGCAGCAACCACTCCTGGCTCTGGGAAGCGCAAGCGCTCCGATGCCAATGCGAACGAGTCTGTCAATGGTGACGGCGATGAAGAGATGCAAGCCGATACTCCGTCAAAGAAGCAGCAGAAGCCAAAGCGTGGTCATGTCAAGAAGGAGTCGACCAGCTCTGAAATAACCATCCCGGACCTCGACACCATTGCCGCTACTCCCGCCAAGCGTACCCGCACTCCTGCTGTCCATCCTTCGGATATGGTAGTCTACCAGAGTGAGGGTGAGAACAAATCCATCGACAGCTCCGCGTCCGAGTATGTCCCCGAGGAAACAGTCGGACAGGAGAACACGTACCTCAAGGATATCGATGACGAGATGGATGTGCAGGCTTGGGCCTAGATTGGACCACCTGTCTACTCTCACCTCGTGTCTCATCGCCAGTGCTCGTTTCATTGAGAAAGTTTTATGGTTTTCAGCTGTATGGAGCAAAGGGAGAGGAACTTTCAGAAACGCCAGCTTGGGGGGAAATTGGTTTTTGACCACCGGATGCCATGTATGTAGATAGATTAGCATGCTAGTCCGTCGGAAATGGCCTACCTTTATGGGATCTACACTTCAGGAGAATATAAGCGGTAGTCTTCCTGTGTACTATTAAGATACTGTAGTGCCTAATAAGAGTGGATCTCATTGCTGTTCGCACACAACTATGCGATATGAAGTATTCTTTTTGAATTAGCCGACCTGCGGAATATATATTTACGAGTACTGCACGAAACGAGCTAAATACTGAACAGACAATCTACGCGGAACGTATAAGTGTCATATGTCTAGTTCGAGGCTTCTGTCACACGAAGAACTTCTTATTGTATAATTGGACAGAATACAGAGCGCGCGAGAGGGATCTTGAACTATTTTATTCGCAAACTTTCCATAACAGCGCCTTCGATCTCTGTAGAAAAAGGAGCTTGATATTTCTGTTATTCCTCAATAGACACCTCCCATAGGAAAATTCATCACGACCAACGACCAGGATACAGAAATAGTGACTAATCTCCAGGGGTTCGAGCTCAAAAATGGTCATGCGCAGACAGAACATAGGTTCCGTCACCAGAGCTACAAATCCATGTCCCCTAAAAACAACACCCTGTCTCATGACAACGCACGACGAAACCCAAGTCATAGCGCATGAAGACGTGCATGCTCAGAGACAATAACGAGGAACCTCTTAGATAGTCTCATTGGTCACATTATCGTATTCTTCGATTGGCTCGGCCTTGATCTTCTTCGGAGTAATGGGATCGGCCGCTTCGCTCTCCTCGTCGTTGTCTGTCTTTGCGTTGCTTCTCTTCTTACGCTTGGACGGAGTGTTCGGGGTAGAACCAGATGCTTTTCCGTTTGCTTTGTCTTTGAGCTTTCTGATCCGGTGCTGAATGGCATACACGGTACAATCTGATATTATTGGCGTTAGAAGTCAAGGTAGTAAGTAAAAGCGGTTGTGGAACTCACCGCCACCCATGTACTCCGAGAGCTTGTCATAATCCATCTTCACGTTACCAACAGCTATGATGGCGACCAGGAGCTAGTATTGAAGTTAGTAGTCTGTGGTAGTAAGAGTAGTTGGAGATTTGGTGATATAATGGGAACTTACGCGCGCATCTGCCTCCGCGTTCCAGCTCATAGGCATCCTGGGAGAGAGATTTGAACAGTATTGTTGTAGAGGTGCGTAGATACTTTCAAGGTAAAGATAGAAAGTTACACTGCTCTAGGATGATGATGAGATGATAGGAGTTGAGAGAGAAATGCCCTGTAGCGTGAGAACTGAGAGGCAGAGTCAGACGTAAAGAGACGTTGAAGTGTTGCTTGTGGAGTGCAAGAAGTGAGGGCTTATCTGGACTCGGAGCTGCCCGCGCACTCTTTGTTTTCATAGATACAAGTAATCATAAAGGCTTTGTTCCCAACCTCGCTAGACTAGAAGGGCCCCAGTCTCTCGCTTGCAACACTCATCCACTGTCAACAGTATTTAATCTCTCAAATATCACCTCGTCCTTCTCCTAACATCTTTCATCTACAACTACCACCATCAGATAGCCCTCTACGCGTACGGAAGTGCCTACACTTATCTCTCAGTCAAACAGCCTCGCCATCCTCTACACCTTTCAATACCATCAATTCTCCAACCAACCACGATGGCTCCGTGGACCGATTCCAACGACCGCAAGTTGCTTCTCACCTTGATCGATCTCAAGTCGAAGAAGGACTGGGCCCGCAGCGCTGAACTGATGGGTCCCGAGTTCACTGCTGAAGCTTGTCGGTAAGTACCTAATCTTCTGATCCATACTGTCATGCATAGATTCTATGTCAAATACCTGTGTGCTATAATTGGACAGTGACCAGTGTTCATAGTCTACCAGCATTCATGATAATATAGCGACTGTGATTATTTCTGACCACAAAGCCTGCTCACTGATTGTCTACCTCACATGTCACGTGGTCTATAGTTCTCCCTTTCGTCGGATATTGTCCTAGTCTGGCACAGCTGGCTTGAGCTTATCTTGACCTTTGTGTACCCATGTTATTTGATATCTTGCTCTGAGAAATACCTCACACTTGGATATATGCTGACCAAATAATAGCCAGCACTTTCGCAAATTCAAAGATGAGGTCGATGAGATAATCGCAGCCGCCGAGGGCAAGAAAAATACCTCTACCACCGCTGATCCTACGGCCGATACTCCTAAAGGACGCAAGCGCAAGGCCCAAGCCACTTCTTCCGTCTCTCCTAAGAAGCGTGGCCGCCGCGCTGCAGCCGCTAAAGTCAAGACCGAAAGCGCTACTGAGGATGAGGAGAGCTCCTAGGCTGTTTTGGAGGTACGGACGCCCGGATATGTTCTGCCTCTTATCGCGAATCTTGGAGAATAGAACTAATGAATTTGTATTCTTATAGAGATTAGATGACCGCCTTATGCGTTTCCAGCATCTGGCTGATGGATCTTTTGCCGGGTTTAGGACGGTTTGAATGTTCACTTGGGATGTACGCTCTAAAGTAGAGATAGTATCAATCGCAGAGATCTTCGTCGCGTATATTTCAGATTATCGTAGAGTCGTACATAAATGTCTCCGTTAGAAAACGCGCTTTCACTTTTTAAACGAGTATTTATATCTCATTCTCCATTACAATACGACTAGAAAGCACGCAGACAGTTCGATAATGATAGCCCGATGACAAGACTGCCATCGAAATGTTGCTGTGCTTACTCATGGTAGTTTCTGATTGATTCCACGCTACATAGTAGAAAATAGCATCATGCCTTGGACAAGGGCCAACATACAATCTTCCTTGATCGAGGAACACAACCGAAGTCTCAGGTGAAGAAAAGCAAATATATTAAACATCTTGCATGATAATATCAGACTAATTGACCTATTGAGAGAAGGCATTATTAAGACCAGCGTTTGAATTTCCAGTATTATTCTTTATCCTCATAGAACTGGACAGAATAACCCTCAAATTTGAGAGCCTCATGGAAAAGGATTGGTTGAAGACTACGGGTCATGATGGATATAAGCAGTTCAAGTGGATGCGGAACAATTACCTTTAAAGGAGGGTTAAAGAAGCAATTAGTAACTGTGGTTGATATGACTGGATATCACCCTTCAGAATGGACTCAGTCTACAGGAAGCGACTTCTGTGACAAAAAGATAAAAAAGATAAACATTGATGATATTAACCATATCCTATCTAGAAACGCCCGAAGCCACCATGGGCAACAGATAAAGTACACATATGTCAAGTGCTGGAGGACATGTCCATGTTGACTTTGTATCTGATATTATTCCCCTGCATCTCACCCCTCGTGTGCGGCTTACCCTCGTCATTCTTAGTCTGAGGTTTCGATTATCGGCTTGGGGATGAATATTGATCTCCACGTCCTTGTTTTCGAGGTTGTGGTCGTGGCCGTGATTTCCTTCTAATCGATTTGCTTGCACCCCTTCGATTAGCGGGACTGCGACCGCGCTGATCGGCTTGAGTCCTGTTTGAGAAGGGAGTGGGAATCTGCACCGATTTGAATCTCCCGGTTTCAGGTGGTGAATATGCCCCGTTACTTGTCTCAGTACCTGGGCTTGCAGTACTATTGTTCGGCGAGGTCCTTCCTGGTGTATCGTATCTGGCAGCGCGGGCAGATCGATGGTCCTGGCGAGAGCGTTTTTGTCTATTCTTGTTTCCGTATGTTCTCTTTTTGCGTTTCTCATGAGACACTGCTACGTATCTTAGGATTCTGGCTTATCACTAACCTGGTATGTCCGCTTTCTCGATTGTGGTGTAGCAGGAGCTGGAGACGACGATTCAGAGCACATGTCACTCTCTTCCTCTGATTCCTCTCCTGAACCTTCCTCAAGATCGTCGGGGATGAACCGTTCACTGGTTTGCCGTCTCTCATCCAGCACTGCTCTTGCACGTTTATAAATCTCAGGCAATTTCTTTCTGCGAGGGGTTATATTAGGTACACTCATGTTCCATATCGGCCTCTTGGGTAACATACCGAAGTGTATCCGCTGAAACGATACTAGTCCCCAATTCTTCTGCGACGGCCCTGAAGTCGGGCTTCAATGGACTCATCTCGAGCGCCACTGCTAGAAACAGATGCTCCTGTCGGAGATCCCATTTAATCGGTCGTCGACGATTTATACCGCATGGAGATCTCGGCTCGTGGTCCACTCGGTTCTCTGTCGTATCGCGCTGGCGATTATTTATCTTCGTCTTCGCCATCGTTGTTCTTGGGAGGTTCTGTTCAACGAAAAGCACCGGGTCACATAAGGCAGAGATCGGTGAGTATGCAAGAATTCTCTCTGCTCAGAGACAGAGGACAGACAGTTCAAAGCAATTCTACATGGTGCTAAATACTAAGAGACGGTGAAGCTAAAACGCGAATCAGACACGAAAGCGCGATTACATTTGGTACTTTTGACAGGCATCGCGACGCAATGGTACATGCTTGGATTAGTTCAGTCAACGGAAAGATAATCGCTAAGGTAGTGAGAGTCCAAGGATCTAAGAGGTTAGTATTGATTCAAATTTGAGAGATAAGTCCCAAAATTATAGGAGATAATCCTCTGTAAAGTGCTTTTTGTGGGTCTAGTTTGGCCCTGCTCGTCCGTCGGATATCACTAGTTTCGAAAGATGCGCAGACATGTCTCAGTCGCGTCTGCAATGGACATTACACGGTGAGATAGATACGCGACCAAGGCCAAGTCGCGAAGGAATTGCTATCCACTTAGATGTTCTTAGATGTAGGAATCGTTGGGAGTAAATATGTACCAATGAGTAGTATAACCGTCGATTGCGAGAGAGATATGACAACCACTAGTTCAGCAGTTTATGAATACAATAGATTCAATTACGACTTTGATCACAGTCATCTAGGTAGCGGATTATATGCCTCCTTGTCAGGTAGCATATCCACAAGTGAGATGGCAAGATTTTCTGTTCTATTATCTCTCAAGACATTGTCCGAACCTTCCGCGAAAATCGCCATTGCGCTGTCCACATCGAGAACCGTGCACGTAGACGACGCGTGTTGCCGTCGCGGGCTCTGTCTTTTGCATCTTCAGGATTCCTTGCCTTCGAGGATCAAAAAATGGAACAAACATCTGTTGGAGATAAGCTTCCTCCCCGGTGGCTTCAAAGCATTGCCCATTCCGCTGGGCTACACCATCTCGATGGCTTATGGTCAGCAGCACAAACAAGTGGTAGCATATCTTCACAGCTGGTCTGGATCTCAATGCCTAGTGCTCCTTACCACGTGAGCTGCTCCGACGTAAGTAGTATATCGGACTCTTTAGACTGCTCAACCAAGAAGGAGAAATCTCCCCTTGGGCGCCCTGAATCAGACTTTGCATACATGTTTAACCTTCCCAATCCTGCCACTGGTTAATTACATCATAAAGCCTCTCAATCACCTGTTTAGTGGTTCCTCTGTGGGTACGGTAATCCCTGAAACCTCGTTTTCTTTGTACATATCTTGGGACCTGCGCTTTGTTAGATACCGATAAAGCTGATAACAGGTAACTGGATATGTGGGAGATAACTGGTCTTTGCAATCGAACAAGGATAACTAGTGGGAAATGCAGTAAATGGCAAGCGTCTACCCGTAGGAATTATTTTTCTCTCTGGAATATACACAGTTTGATGACTATTCGGAACAACAACCCATGGAAAAATGTATCGGTCTATTGTAAAGAAATGGCAAAGAAGAAATACAATCCGGAGAGTATCAGTTTAATAAAGAGGAGATCAGACTGCTTATCCACCGTCTGGACTCTTTTGAACCTGAAGGTGGTATGTGTAGAATTCACCCTCTTTAGGGTCTTTGAGAGACCCTTTCGACCAATGGCTAATAAAGGCACCGTGAGACATAGGAATGGACAGGGAGGATAAACTTTGCTTCCATATAGGCAACATCTAGCTCTTTCAGGCAAGTTTATAACGCTCCCCTTAGCGTTTGGCCCTGGAAGCCAATCAAAGAAGGGATCCCAAATCGTAAACCTTCCAGAATAAAGCTTGAACTGACTTCCAGGCTGCTGTATCATACAGATGAAACATGGTTCCAAATGTTAACGTGTATGTGATCTTTGTTCTCTGGAGGATTTTCTTTGTCGATCCGGATACTTGCATGTTTATCCGCCATGAGCAAGTCCTTGGCCCCCCAGCAATATTTATTCCTGACTTCCGTGCAGTAAGCTGATATCCGATCCATCATTCTCAGAAACCATATGTGCATTTCTGATAATCTCGGTGAGATTGGCCCCAATTAGACTCATCCTTGCACCCAAGTCTTCTTCACAGACCACTATCCACACATATCACTCGTAGCAATGGCTACCGGTCTGCGGCGCAGCAAGACCATGCCGGCCGATGGCCAGACGGCCAAGTTCCTCTACACGATCATAAAGCAGCTGGATCTGAAATCGGTAAGTTGGACGGCCTCTCCCCTCTCCGGGACCGGGATAAGGACCTTCGGATTTGAGACTGATCGTGGGAACACCGCTCCACAGATCGACTGGAACCTGGTAGCATCGCAACTGGAAATCTCCAATGGACATGCTGCACGCATGCGCTTCTCTCGGTTCAAGCAACACATGGAAGGCATTCCGACGAATCCACGAAACCCGAGACCGAAGAAGACTCCGAACAAGAAACCCGCGAAGGGCGGTCTCAAGGGAGGATCCGGGAAAGAGACCACTCCGCCGCAGATTCAACCGAAAGAAGAGCATCCGGATGTTCCGTTCAACCTGTCGAATCCGTACAACGTCAAGAGTGAGCCAGCCCCTGAGTCAGCACTCTCGCTTGTTCCGCCGGCCATGTCGTCCATAGCGCCTGCAACAGCGCCAATGCAGGCTGCGGCGTCCCAGAACGTCTCGTATCCCTTTCTGACGGTAGCGCCAGCAGACCTGACCTTGCATCATCCTGTGCCTACTCATCCTTCGAACTTTTAGCCCCAGTCTCATTTCTATCACGGGCAGCATCTATGGGCTCCTGTCAAGACGGAGCAGCAGGATGATGTGCGTATGAGCGATGTATTCGTCAAGGTGGAGCCACAAGGGAACTGACAGGATATTCTTCATTGGATTGTGGCCAAAGCACATGAATGTGTCCTTTCTGTATGAATATGTTAGCTTCTCTAGAGTCTCGCAGTGTTATCCCATGTGTAAACCTCGAATACCATATTGAACCAAAGTCGGAATGTTCTATTCCTCTTGCTATAGATATTCCATTATCAGCTTAATATCCCGTAGATATTCTAAGCTCTTTAATATCCATATAGTACTTCAGCATTCAGTATCAATATCTTCATGATTTGTACCAACACTTTCGAGACGTCTGGATAACCTGTGCTCTTGTCTTTGTAGAGGTAGGACACTTGATGAGAATCATGGAAGTTCGCCAGCCAAAGAACAAAAAGACCACGCTATGTGGTCGTCAAAAGGGTAGGTCGTAAAAGGCACAATTAGAGCACCTGGATATGTTACAGCATTGGTTGTTCACTGTGCAGAGCGGCTTGTCCCGTTTATAGTAACTTGTGCTCACTATCTTGTAGATACGATCTATTACAGAACGCCGAGAACCCCATGCCATGAAGGAAAACAGAACATGATAAACAGGATAACCTATATTAAGCATATTAGGAGTCTATATCATATCCTCATCAGAGAGTATAAACTATAATGTAGTTCACTATCTATATCTATGTCTTGATCATAGCAATAATCACTACTATGGCCATGTAACCACACAAAGATACATTCTGGTCAATCATACATAGTGCTAGGTCAGCGTAACGTTATTTTCGCGGACGTAACGCCGCAGTGAATTTGACCCACGAACACTTCCTATGAGCTGTTTTTCTCTCACAATCGTGTGAGGTTCACGTCAACATTGATCCAACACACAGAGTTCTTCTCACCTCCTCACATCCTCCTCCTTTCCATCCTTCATCCTCATTGATATCAAGACTCGGATAGTACACCCTGAACCATATCGAGGCTCGGGGTTCATTATTCATATCAGGATCAGGTCTGTATATCATATCTTTACTATCCTCGTTGATATATTATGATTCAACTCACTTTTCACGGTGAGAGATCAAGCTAATGTCCCATCCATCTATAGAAAAATCAAATTCAGCATCAAGAATCGAAGACAAAATCGATCATCATGGCTACCAAGACTGCTAACATCGACTCTGTCCTTTCCAAAGAGGGCGCCGCTCCCCGGGACGATTTCGGGTTCGCTCTCGAATGCATGAAGAGTCTCGATGACAACCACAATGTAATAGAATTTCCTTTCCTTTTCATTTCTGTGCCTCCATGTTGTATATGGAAATGATCATTTATACTAATCAGGGAGCACACAGGTCGATCTTACCAAGGTTGCCAATGCTTTGAACTACACAAACGTTCAGTCTGTCGGTAATAGATACCGTGTCTTCCGCAAGAAGTACGGTATTAACCTGAACTGCGTGACTGGTTCTGGCGTTGTCACCACCAAGGCCGGCGATGGCGACGAGATCGACAGTCCCAGCCCTGTCAAGACACCTAGGAAGCCTCGTGCTCGCAAGGGCGCGAAGGTCTCCTCTGAGCCTATCCCGGCTACTGCTGATGACAATTCAAACGATGCTGGCGAAGCTGTTGCCAAGCCGAAGACTCCGCGCCGCCGCAGGACGGTCAAGGAGACCGTCCAGGATACAGATGTGGACACCCTTCAGGCTGCTATCGACGACGCGGTCGAGAATGTCAAGAAGCGCAACAACACCAAGGTCGTCAAGAAGGAATCTGAGGATGAGACTACTGCGGACTCCGAGTAGATGTCGTCAGACTTATTCTGACCAATACGAACGGTACGTTTTGTAGATTGCTATTATATCATCACCGGCAATGGATCATAACTGACGTGTCTACTTGACAGGACAGTATCCGAGATCTGATTATGTTGGAACTTGGAAATCTGTATCTGTATGCTTGAGGGTCACCACTCACTTTGGGGAAGCTGTAAACATTGAAAATTACGTTTTGTCCACCAGCGGGAGGAGATCTTGATATTGGCTCGATGCCAAGGGAGAGATAGTCCATGTAGACAGTCTCCGATGCAGCTGTATCTTCGAACAGTAGCACCTAGGTCATTTGTGATAGCTAGTCGATCTCACTCACCAATAAATTGATATCATACTCATCTTCCTCTGTACAAAAGTATATATCAACATGGCAACTTTAACAGCATCTAGCAGGTTGAGACTGCGAAGATCCTAAAAGACTCAGGATGTCGTCTTGAACCCAAGTCTCATTTCTCTTGGAATGTCAATTTGCTATCCGATTGGTCTCGTTCATTCACCGCTATCCTTTGTCTGCCATCTCTGTATTCACTGTCCCCCAGGTCAAAGCGAGAGTGAGCTAAAGACAACACAACCGCATTACGGCAAATAATTAATGCCACCTGACGCACAATATATCTGAACTCTTCCTCATCATCTGTCTTCTTCTGTCGGTCACTTTTACACTCTGGACATTCCAGTGCAGTCTCTGACACAGCTTGATCAAAATACCAAGGTAATCAGTTCTGTCTTCATACTTCAGTCTGGTATATTTACTGAGATCCACATTTTGTGCTAGGTCTATCTATAGCAAGAAAACGCAACAAAAAAAACATCAACATGTCTCGTACCAACAGCGATGAGCAGCTCCAGTTCCTGCTCAGTTGTATCAGGTACTCGAACAATGGAAAGGTCAGTTCTAGTTTTCATCTTACATCAGTTCTGCAGCTGTATTTCATTCCTCATGCATATAACAACGCTGACACATAACAGGTTGACTTCACTGAAGTCGCGAAAGAATGCAAAATCGTCTCCAAGGGCGCGGCGTAAGTTGCTTCCGTCCCATAATCTGCTATCTAGAGTTGAATGGAGTTCATACTAACTTGCATAACAAGCGCCAAACGCTACGAGCGCATGATGAAAGCGAACGGCATCAATCCTAACGGTGGACCGTGTCCTCCTTCGGCTTCTCCCGACTCCAAAACCAATACCCCGACCAAGGGTGCCACTGTGGGAAAAGCCACTAAGCGCAAGTCGAACGGAGGCAGTCCTGAGTCCAAGAAGGCGAAGATCAAGAAAGCTGCGATCGAGAATGCGGAGAAGCTTGTTGTTCCGAAGGAGGAACCATCTGACAATGAAAGCAAAGATACCCCTTCTCACACTGCGTATCTCAGCCAGGGAGCGATGGCGGACGAGGACACTGACAAGGACTTGTTTGATCAGTTCTGCAACACTGGCGAGGATGATTCTCAGGAGGAGGAGCTCTTCGCGTAGCCGTGTGGCTGTTCTGCTAACAATGTGTTTGTTTGGCATGACTTGCGAGTTTTGTTGTGGGGATCGACCACGATATCGTTGGATGCCTGTAAAGACAAATTGTTGCAACTTACAATCATTGGGTTTGAGAGAGTCTAAACTGGCTTTGGCTCTGTCGTTTGTGACTTGGAGCATATTGTATTGTTTAGCAATTTTGCCCGAGGATGCTTTCCTGGTTGGCGGTAGCCGATAAGGACTCTAGCCCAATGCACTCTTTCTTAGCATCTCAACTTCTTTAGTTAAGTCAATTTTGGGCACATGCGCAGTGGCATTTGCCGCTAGACATTCCCAGCGAGTCTCTTGGTAGTATTCCCCTCTGGCTATGTTTGATGGGGTAAAAATGCGATCGCTCCGCCATGATTCTGTACGACTAAAGGCTAAAAGGGAATATGCGATGTGATTCGGGAAATACGATTACGATAAGTGAGTTCCATAGCACACTAGTAAGTGAATATGATTCCCTGTAAGGAAAAGAAATAGTACATCATACACAAGATTCCTCCCTGTCGTACCACCCGCAAAGACCTAACTCGAAGATCCTCCCTCCTTATAACGCCATAATCATACCAACGTATCTGCCATGGTGTTCCTGATCCCGCCTGAATGTCACATATCGCCCATGACCGCTTGCAGAATATTTCGTTTATATTGCCCGAGAGCTTGGTCTTTCTTTCTCATTTGTTTCTTCAGCTTCAAATAACGCTGCTTCCAAGTCGACTCGGACGTGGAGCTTGTGATTTCGTCATCGTCAATGTCATCATGAGAGAGGTCATCAATGGTCGTAGTATCATTCAGATCGTCGGGGAACACCGTATCTTTTATTGTGGTCGTGGCACCGGTACTGTCATAAATTGTATCCATCACAATTCCCGGGGCAGGAGAGTACTCGTACGATATGATATAGTGCCAGTTCCTGAGAACATTCATAGTGCTGCTTTGCGGCTCAGTAGTTGATGTGTTCGGCTGCATCTTCACTGTCAACGGCCCACATGAGCCATAGTTCATACATTGGCCTCCAATTCCAAGGTGCACAGCACACAACAGTGACATGGAGTCTGGGTTAATTCCAAAAAAAGAAGAACTTAATTTCTTAACCACAGATTCGGCCATATCGGTGGCCTCTTCGCTAGTTAGGGGAGCGGAGCGACCAACAAGTTTGCCGTGAAGCAGGCGACGGCTGAAGAGCTTGACCAAGCTGTCTATGTATACTCTCCGTGATGGCTGCTCGCCATCCGTTTCAGCGTCTGATTTACTTCGAACTGTCCCATAACGTGGTGTGCTTGCAACGGAGCCATTAGTGCTATATTTGTCGGCGGCGGGACTACCCGATGCACTGTCCACCCCATTTATCAAGAGGGTGGGAGGCGTTGCAAGTCGAACAGGGCCGCTTGGGAGCTGGGGAACTTGTAACTGGAGCTTTGTTGCCTTTGAAATCGGCTGCTGGGGAAGGGGTTGTCTCTGGGGCGGGCTGGAGGATCTGCCTGTGTCATTCCCATTCTGCGGGGCTAGAGCCGGTGACGAACGAGCGACTGGAGTCTCAGCAAAGGAGGAAACAATCGGCCCAGTGTCGACTTGGAAGGAAGAGAACTGTCCAGATGATGTGGTCGCTTTATTTGGTGGCCTGCCACGAGTTTTCCTTGGAGAATTCCCATGAGTTGACCATGCCGAGGAAATTGCAGGTCCATGTCGCCTTCGCGTGTGGTTCCTCTCTGCCGATGCAGGTATCACGGCTGATCGAGGTTCCACCGCCATGAACTCCTCCGATGCATGGCGGTTAGCTGGAAGTATAGCCGAATGTGGATAGGCGGCAGGAGACGTATGCCGTTCAAATGGCCTCCACCGGAAGTCTTGGCTCTGGTCTATTGCCAGGCCGGTATTCGAACGATGATGAGGAAATGGTGATGCCACTACCCATGGATCTGTCGCATCGATGTCCCCTGGGAAAGCGCTGAATGGGATAGCACTATGCGGGAAATTTGCAGCATGACTGGAAATGTCAACGCTATGCAATCCAGCCATGGAAGTGTCCAACATCGGTCTTTTAGGCGTCCTTGAGCCCTCACTATCTTCTGCCTTCCTTCTACCGCGTTTAGGTTTCCACTCAGGCAGAAGAGACGTCAAGGCCAGATCTTCCTCTAAGGGAACGCCATCTCGACTTTCACTGGGCATTCTGTCGGAAGGAATCTGAGTGTAATAGCTGTGGGGGTGACCAAGACAGTATTCAAAAAACGCATCAATGTGCATTGCTCGCATCCATCGCTATTCGAAATTAATCATAGCTCGCTGACAATTTACTTGGATGGACGTACCTTTAGCCGGACCGCATACTGCTGTACCTTTTGAGTACTCTGCTTCTTTTCCGCGGAAGGTGGCTCCACTCCCAACTCAGTGGCCAACTGAATCCACGTCTTCAGCTCTTTCTTATCCAGCTTCACAATGAGTTCCCATAACGTAAAGACGCTGAAACTCTTTCCGTCACTCCGTGGTGGTGATCGAAAGACCCGACGCAGTTCAGATGTGTCCACCGATGACGGGACACTGGGATTGCAATACAGAATAAATGCAATATATGCATCGTCCATGGTTTGATCACTGAATTCGGGAGATGGCAGAAGTCGAGAATTGTCGGATCGCAATGACTCATTTGCGTGGTTGGGACGAGATGTGCCGTCGAATAGAGGTGGAGACATGGAAGGACCTGATTCTCGAATGGGGGTGACAGCCTGTAACAAATTTGTTCTTGGGGGTGATTGAAAGTGTGGTGGGATATTTCTAGGTTGTATAGATGGAGAAATAGAAACTCTCGATCTGCTGCGAGCGCCAGACGGTGAGACACTCCGTACAGATGAATCGAAACTCAAGGAATACCTGGCGTATTGGTCGAATGGCGCCTGGCTTCGCGGTGGCCCTCCATGTTCTGCTGTATTATGAGCAGAATCAGGATACTGACTTTCCATGCCCGGCGAGTCTTGGGATGTTAATGATGGTAGTTAATGATGGCGGGCGCCGGGACTTGCACAACAGCAATGGCTATCCGGAAACCGTTTCAGCGTGCATCACAAGCATTTCATTATCGTCCACATCAAATCGTTATAATAGCAGACAAAATAAATCCACAATATAGAGCAGAATATGAGTGGGTCACTGGGAATAGCAGTAACTTTGCGACATGTAGACAGGCCTGAAGCTAACGGGTGAGCGCCAAATGAATTTGATTGATAAATGTGGAGCAAAATAATCGAAGAGCATTTCTCATCGTTTGGATTCGGTATTCGAATGATGAAGGCACAAGGAGTTCTCCAGCTCCATCGCATAGCCAAAGACTAAGTGCAGCTGAAGCTGTTGGCAGCTCCTGAGATGCAAGAGGGGTAGCTGCTCGTGTTGCTATTTTAGGACATGAGCGATGCCTTCTTGGGTCAACAGGGCTCGGTCCGCGGGCTGGCAAATCATCAGGCGCCCACGCAGAGTATTATTATTATTGATATTATTGAAACCGGACGGTTCATAAGGCCAAAATGTCATGTAACAATATCTGCTGCTCCTTGGTGCGATAACAAAAAAGGCTAATATTTTCAATAGTGTATATCATCCAGCCTGATCTTGGATAGCCATTGCTAGTTACTCTAAGCTCTGACAAACACACACCATCGGCTAAGGTTTGTAAAAGCGTTTCGATATGTAACTTAACTATATACTGTTCTATATGTCTGTTACAGTGGCCTTCTTTTATCATATCTTCCATTGTGTTTTTAGAAATTATCAAGAATACCTCTATCCTGTTCGGCCCGTTGCCTCTTCTTATTCACGTCCCACCACCAACTATACAAAATCGCATTGGATTCTTCCCATGCCTGTCTCATACCGGTACTTTCACTTCCTCTTAGACTTGCGGGTTGATTTTTCCATGGCTTGTCTGCAAAGATGTAATGCACGACCTTGACTTCATCATCCCGCCAAATAGTATCATGCACGTTCTTCCATCGAAGGGTCTTAAGTGCATTATACGTGTACGGCAGTGCCACCCATCTTCCCGTGAAGATATCGGCTAGTAGATCTTGGTCAGGGAAGTCATACTTACATGTCAATTCCGGCGTGTCGATCGCCTTCGTTATCTTGCTATATGTTCCCATCGATGGATTGATCACCAACAGGCCGCCATTTAGCATCCCGAGACCAGAGGAAATGGGGGGCCCTTCTATCTGTGCCTTTTCTGGTGTTTGATGTTGCATGGTAAATGCGCAATTACTCGGTATCCTGACGATCAATTAGCTTATCGGATTGTCATAGTGACTAGGATCCATACCAGTCCGGAGGATAATGCTCTTTCTTGAGTGGGTTACAGCAGCATGCATGGCTGGCAGCAAAGACGCGTTGACCATCTCCGCCGAGTGAAGGGGGATCCAGATCCAAAATTATAAGTTCATCCAGATTGCGACGGACTAGCATGTCACTGTCCAACAAAACAACCCGATCAAAGTCAACCAATGAAAATGCAGAGAGTTTCGTCCAGGTATCCATGAAACGAGCATCGTTCTTGAACTCTTTGCTTCCTGAAGGCTTTAGAAGCGGCACCTTTCGCCGTGCGATCTTGCGCGCATCTAATGCGGCTAATACTGTTTCCGGGACCGTATCTGTATACAACGCGAGCAGTGGATATTTACTCCCCGCGAGCTGAAGGGAGTAGTCCAGCGTCAAAAGACCAGGCAGGTATTCCTCATGAGTGATCAAACTGGCCCATACTGAACAATGGTCAGTAACAACATCGCTATATGGAGATTCGGACAAATAATCAAGGTACCCCTTTTCGACTCCTGGTTAGCATCGGAGGTCATCGCTCCACGATTGGATGAGTCATTTTGGTAGCCAGACCATATCCCTCCCATTTCCTTCTAGGAAATATATATTGGCTTGTGAATGTGAGCAGAAACAAGGAACAGCCGCCTGGACTCCCAATGGGCTGCTATTGCACCCATCCACCTCGAACTAGTCGTGCTGCACACAGAACGGTCTTGTATAAGCCCGATAAGCGGAAGGCAACTACAGTATCTATATTCTGGAATTTAGGGATAATAATTACCTACTGTGGGTTTTCAGACTGTGTACAAGACCCACAGGGCTTCGTCTCCACAACCCAGCCAGCCACGAAAATAATAATACTTATCATTATGACCTTCGAGAAAAGGGCCATTTTGAGTTTCGACCCGAGCTTCAACTACACAGATCAACAAACTATCTTACTAGTTATTCCGCTGAGCGCAGCAAAGCAAAATGAAGAGCGCTGTGAACGCTGCTACGAGCCAATTAATCTTTCAATTCACCAGTGCGCTGTAGTGACAAATGAGCCACGTGGTAGTGCATGAAGTTACTACACTGGCAAAGGTGAAGAGTCGTGTAAAGTAGGCACCGATTCTCCTCGTTAAGATGGTTGAAAGTGATTATAACATGATACCACCCCGTTGACTCTCCCATATCCATGAACCTGTCATCCCAATGACTTTGTCGAATCCTGAAGGCACGAAAGCACGGTCATATTTGAATCAACCTAGCTGACGGACCCATGCTGTTTTATTCCTCGTTGGTCCCGTCATGCGGCTTCCATGGCCCGTTCAGGGATGAATATGCTGATGTGGCAGATGCCTTCACTAGATGCTTGAAGCAATAATTTCCGATGCTTCTATTCTCATTCACGATATCTTTATTCTTGCATCTTGTATTGGTGCCCTTCCGACCCTCACATTGGATCTGTTCGGTATTTTTTCTGCAGCCGCACGTATACACAAGGATTATCTGTTTGCACCTAAACGGAGCATTTCCATTAGTAAAAGCCCATCTCACATACTCGGGATATCAGGATACGTACGTCGTGTATACCATTATTGGACTTCTATTGGAGTTGTTGAACTTGGCATTGTATACGTAGTCAAGAGTAAAAGAGAGTAGTGTCAATGGCGTGCCTTCAGAATTAAAATAACCTTTTATTAATTTATTTACACAGTTCGCGTATGACGCGATTCATGTGATGTTACGGTAATTGAATCTCTTTTGAAAACTGCTTCCATCTGCCAATAGCAATAGCTTAGAACTGTGCATTCTACTTCGAAATGAAAATATTGAAGGATAGGCACGTATCTCAATGCAGGAGTAAGTATGAATAATATGTCCCGTATTAGTTACCCGCCCACGTTCAAATTTGTCGGGGTACGTCCAGGTGATCCTGTCATATCATCCGTTTGCCGCAGGTTTCTTGATATTCGATTTCGATCCATAGGATAGAACCTACTAGATCAATAGGATCTAAATTGTTTGGATGCTACAGGAGACAAACATGGGTTCAACTCCCCTTAGTACTGGAGTCAAGCAAGGACATATACGACGAGCGTCCGTTTCTTGCTCCCGCTTACAGTTTCGATGATCCACTACGGATAACAGACAGATGAGAAAGAGATTGTTCCCATATGGGAGAAAACAAGAATTATTTCGAATCCTAAAGAGCACGGAAGCAGGATCTGAATTGCTTGCTTGACTCTAGATCTAGGGGGATTTGATCCCATATTTATCTCTAGCATACAAAGAATCTAGATCCTAGTGATTTAGTAATCAAGTAGTAATCCAGTGTAATCAGGATTCAAAGAATCTGCCGCAAACGGATGATTAACAGATCACCTGGCGTTTGCTTTGTACGCCAAAAAATTATCCAATTAGTTTACCTTGACATATATATTAACTTCGGCTTTATATAGGAGCATCTTTCTTAAACGTGCCGTCAGCCTGCACGAGAAATGGATCACCCTTTATTGGTGGGGGTGCAGGGGACCAGCACCTGTAGCATCGGCGCCTGTCCCATACCTTAGCTGCTTCGCATTCGAGGAAATGCTGGGGTAGCTGCTCGATTGTATATGCACGAAGTATGGCCCTGTGCTTTTGCTTGCTAGAAGAATAGAATGAGCCGGGGACAAATGAACATGCCGAGCAATAGAGACCCTTCTGGATCACTCTCTTGCTGGGATCCCAAACTGGGAAATGCGCTGAAGCCATAAAGGCAGGGTAGTCGCTATTCCCACTCTCCAAAGAAGGCACTTTTAATTCTCTCGGGAAACGAGGTCTTCTGCTATGCTGTCTGCAATTCTCGAGCTCATCAATTGCAGTTGAGGTTTCGCCGGCATTTTGTTTTTGCCAATCAGCCACAGCATCAAAGTGCCATCTCGACAAGTCATCGCGATATGTTGAAGCAGCTTCAATGCTCTCTTCAATACTTCCGTGGATCTTTGTGGCTAAAGTCAGGATATCCTGTAGCCTAACAAGACGCCGTCGCTGCCTGACGTCTCTCGCATTGCCATACCTTCCCGGAATAGTATATATAGTGACAAGCTCTTTTGTATCGCTCACAGACAGACAATATTGTACGGATGCATCGAAAAGCGATACCAGTATGTAACTCTCTCTGAACTTCAGACAATAAACGCAACATCGGGTAAAGTCCATGAGAAAAACACAAGGTCCGAAATCGCCACATGTGCGGCAGTATGGCTGGCAAAATTCATCGAATATGCGATAAATGTTGAAGAAGCGCGCTGTCCGTGTCATGTGCATGATCTGGAGCACTTCAGAAGCATGTTCTCGAAGAATCTTATATGCAGGAAGATTGGTCGCTACCGAAAAGTATGTCCTGTTGAGTTGACGTACGGCACGAAGTGCATCCAGGTCGAGAAACATCAAAACTTCATCGAGGATCTCTCTTGGGAAGGCCTTCAGATTTCCAAGTGATGCTTTTCGTTGCCTGTTAGGAGACAAAACAACTCCATGTACAATGTCCGTGCCATAGCTCCTGTTTCGTGTATCTATCATTTCTGACCAGGCAGACAGATTCAGCATCCATGCATCCTCTTCGTCGATGCAATACGCAAGGCCTGAGGCCATTGTTTCTGCAATTCATGAACAATATTTAAGCTGTTATAAGAATTACGATGCTGAAGCTATATACTTCACAGTTACTTCTTGATACAACTCATGTACGTCATTATAATGAGCACTGTTCCTAGGCAACAATCCAAAAACCTAATCCGACCCCCAGCATTTATCGGCGGATGATATATAGGGAGACGTAGTTCAGTAATCCACTCAATAGAGGAGATATCTGAAGAGTGAATGACATTATTATCGTATTCTTTGGGAATTTTATGTAATCTAGTTCCTTAGTAGATTGGCCATCAGGTCCTGCATCTCCGTTTTTACCAAAAGTAGACGTCTGAAAATGGATTCCTCCTTGATTAATCACAATTCTGCGTAAGCTTCACTGACGGTCTCGATGAACTTGGGCAAGCTCGTATTAGGGTAGTGCCTCCCAGAGATAGACCGATTCTGTCTCAGGAAACAGTAAACCGCGTTGTACGAACTATGGAAGGCACGTTTAATGCTTCCATTCCATTAAAAGGCGTACTACTGTCAACGTCTCTCCTTGTAGTTCAGTATTCACACGTACAGCACCAGGTAAGTTCAGTGGCCCTGATACGGTTGTTTAATGTCCGCCGCGGAGCTAATTAAATATCGATGGTTCTCGCCACAGGAAAGTCAAAACAAGATGTACGTATTACAGGATCTGATAAATATGGATTATAACACCTGCTAATGGAAGTGTTATATCTATATAGGTGCAAACGAATACAGCTCGTCTACACCTGCGGGTGTAGAAAAGAAGGGGATCAGATACAGTGTGATGATCGGCGGGGGACGAATACCAGATGCGAAGACAAAAAAATTGCAACCGAAAATAGGGATGTTGGCAATTATTGTTTTAAACATCTTGTCAAGGACGGCACCCAGATCACATACGACCGTGGGGAAGGCAACGGCAATAATAAAGGTAAGCGGCCTGCATCCGCGACCTCGGCGGCCCCCAAGGCCAAAAAGCCACGGGTGGAGGTGGATGAGGAGGACGAAGAGGATGAGGTAAGTTTGAATATTAATTATTGCGTTTTGCTATGCAGAAGATCAGGCTTACTGTTTTGGAAATAGTTGAACTTCTTGGCGTAATCTTCGCCAAGAAGGGCTATTACCGTGTATAAATTACCGTGTATAAATTACCGTGTATAAATTACCGTGTATAAATTACCGTGTATAAATTACCGTGTATAAATTACCGTTGTATTATTCATCTTACATAATCATCTTCCTTATCGATAACCAACCTCACCACACCACATCGAACAAGTGAGTGACGCAGTCCCCGATTCTCTTTCGTACTCGATTATATCCTCCTTCAACTGGCCTTCTTCTTACAAGTGATTTACAAGGCTACCTTCTGGACACCTTCTGTTTGAGTCCGTGACTGCCGAGACCCAGCGGTACCATGTCGCTGTCAGCCCCTCTACCCTCGACTTTCTGATCACAGGGCGCCCGCTATGGCACCTTCTCTGCACTCTCCACCAGCACGCCGCTCCTCGAGATCATCGCGCCCTCTTAGGTCGAGTCGCATGCGCGTGCAGACTTATCAGGAGAGCAGTTCGAATTCGGATGACAACGACAACTCATCATCGTCATATGAGGACCAAGAGTTCCCGGGCAACTCGTCTCTCTCACTGCGCCCGCGACGTCCAGACCGGGTGCCACGCACGTACCGGGAATCAAGCACGGAACAAAGCCACGATGAAGATGGGGAATCTGAAGAAACAGTCACCGTCGAAGCGACCACAAATGGCCATGCACCCTCCCGTCCTCGACGCAGTGCGCCTAGGACCCGCAGTTCCAACACCAGGTCATCGAAGACATCGTCGAGCAGGAAAAGAAAACGGATAGGAGACCCTCTGAAGAAGCGCAAGAAGACGGAGATAGAAGAGTTTCCCTTTGTCGGATCTGGCACGATACCTCCTTGGCAGACCTTGCCCTACCACATCCTCTTTGACATCTTCTACTACGCGTCCTATCCACTGGTGGATAAGCAGACTGCAACTCGAAACAGCTCCGTATCATGGCTGGCTGCGGTGGCTCGTCTATGTCGTGCTTTCCATGAGCCTGCACTAGCTGCGCTATATCATTCGCCTGCTCTTCTGCCCGCTGCGAAGAGCCATGGTTTATTGAGCCTGTTGTGGGAGCCTCAGGAATCGCTGTCCACGAACTACGTTTCCAAGGTCAAGGAGTTGCATGTAGATGCGGAAAGTCTTCTTGTTTACAAGAGTGGTCCGGCTTTGGGCTATTTTGATCTGACGAGTCTCATCCAAAGGACGCCTCAGCTGAGAAAACTGCAGCTGTACCACAAGGATGACTGTCTGGTCGGACTTCCACCCTGGCAGATCCCGGCGTCAAAATGGACATATCCAGGCAATCTCTTTGTGACCCTGAACCAGTCCGGGATACATCTTCGGAGCTGGGACTGGAACGCACGCTTCATGGAGTCCGACCGCCTGGTGCCGCTCATATTGGGAAACCATCGAGAACCCGCTTTTCATAGCCTGCGCGAAGTCAGGATGTTGCATCTCAGTTACTCTGAGGACGAGGATCCGTCAAACTCGAGGGAAATGGTCCTGGCTACAGCCTTGAAAGAACTTCCTGAACTGCGGCGCCTTGAGTTCGTTGAATGTTCTATCGTCAATGAGATCCTTCTGTCCAATCTACCGTCGACACTGACATCCTTGACCATTGATAACTGCGACGATGTGGCAACATCGAATTTCATCCCGTTCCTTGCGACCCATGGCCACAATCTTCGTGAATTAACACTGAGCCACAATCGCCATCTCAACATGTCCTTTGCCGTCAACCTAGCCCAGTACTGCAAACAGCTGGTGAGATTCAAGATGGATCTCTCCATTCATGACTGGTCGAGCTACCACGACAACGAGCCCCATTTCAAGCAGCTCCTTGGCCCTTCGGAGATTCCCACTTGGCCACCAACTCTGCAGGAGATCGAACTGATCCATCTCCGCAAGTGGGATGATTTCATAGCAGAAGCTTTCTTCACTTCCCTTATCGAATCCGCTCCTGACCTGAAGGATTTGAGAAAGCTGGTAATCAGTGCCATCTTAAAAATAGGCTGGCGCGACCGGGCCAACTTCCGTGAGAGATGGATCGGAAAACTTGAGAGCGTCTTTCTCAGAAGAAGCCCTCCTCCTGATCCTGCCCTCCGGACACTGGCCAAATCAACAACTACTGCAGAGGACCAGCACCGGCAATCTGACACTCACGACGGGAACGAGACTTCGCCACAGGACTTCCCTCCGACTCCATCCAAGCGCAAGAGTGCTCGGATCGCTCAGCAGCACATTGCTGAAACGGAGCACGACACGGATGGGTCGCAGGTGTCGAACTCCGCTTGCGCACCTGCTCGTGATGGAAGAGAGAAAGACCCGCCGATAAAGCATGTCCAGGGCATGTGCGATGTTGTCATGATCCGCATTGACAACAGCCGTCCGGCCGAGACCCAATTTAACGAGGACGACTTCCTCGATGACGAGTTAAGTGGGGATGAAGATTGGGATGGCAACGATCCTGACCCTGATGGCGGCGGCCATGCGTGGTAATCACCTTGTTTCCGAGTCCTTTTGTTCTCTTTCTTTTTTGTTCTCATCTTATTGAGCTGCGAATGTTGTCATGGAGTTTACGGACAGCATTCCTTCTGTTTATGGTTAGACTCATGGTATGATTTGTGGAATACGCGGAGTTCTGGCTCTTGGAGTGTTGCGAGGATTATACCGGTTGGGCACGGAGGCGTTCTGCTCGAGTCACAAGGCAATTATTATTGAGGGGTGGTGTTTCCTGGTGGTATATTAATAGGTTAGCATCGGCCGGTGGCTCTATTTGAATGCGTTTTGTCATGGTGATCGCTGGACCGGGTTCTCTTTTCGATTACTGAACTCATAACCCGTCGCGGTTCTTTAGTTAGATAGTTATCGTTTAATATGGATGGCCATCACCTCTCTTGACTGTTTCTTTCAGATTCTTTTTCCAATTTTTAGTTAAAACAGGGACAAGGTGAATGAATTGCTAGAGTTGTATATTAAACCCACAAGAACAATCTCATTTTGTCAGCTTTTCGACGTGGCTGTCTTAAAGTAGTGTATACCTATATTTTTAACCGCGCCCAGAACTCCACAAAGGCCATGTTCATCCCACGCTAAGATCGATAAGCGCAGATAAGGATGGCTGGGCACAAATTGTGCTTTGGGGAGAACCGTATTGATCCAGAGATCGCCTCATTTGGAACGCTTTTCTTCGCCTGCCCCGTGCCTCTGAGTTGGTCTCTGGTGCCTGCACGGTAACTTCTCGCTATACAACTCACCGCCGGCGGACAAGTCGCATCTAAGTACTTAACAACGTTGGGCGTCGACGCATCGCTTTGCTGACCCCACCGACAACTTCCCAGCAGCCCGACCTCTTCAGATAGTCTGGACACCGAGTTCGCCGCTTCTTCAACTCTGGAAGTCATAGTCTGAACGGCAATTCTGTCCTCTCGTTTCTTCTTCACGAAAAGACGCAGAAATTCGCGGAGACTCAGCGGTGGCTTGACCTTCTTTTCTGTCCTTGTCTTATCGCTGTAGATGGCGAAAGACGGCCCCCTCGACAGCGAAGGGCCGTCGTCCCCACCACCGCCGTTGCCAGATGGTTGGTGAGTCGCTCCGCCTTCTCCGTGTTTTCTCCAGTTATTCTGCTTCTTGCGTTCCACGGTTCAAGCTGGCGATTCTAATGCTGATACAAAAAATTCGTCCGCTTCAGGCTTGCCCAGTGGGAAGGGGTCGAACGCAAGTGGTACTTTGTCCAGAGAGCTACCGGAAAGGCACAATGGGAGATCCCCACAGAGCCAGTGATCCTCACGCCGTCCACGACGCCGACGTCTACGGGAACAGGGCCTTCGCGGGCACCGTCGTCGAGGCCTCAGACAAATAGCCCTCCTACTGGCATGGGCGCAAGAGGATTTGGGGCGGAGGGCGTCTACGGCGGAGCCGACAGGGCTGGATATTCCGTATGCGGATGCGCTCGTTATTTTTATGTGCCGTGCAGGCGAATGAATGAAGCTGATATTCTGTAGAGCTTCTTTGGCTCCCCCGGGGGCGCTCATCAGACTGGATTGTCGCAAATGGCCATGGGGATGCTGGGGCGGATGCCGAACTATGGCCCCCAGGACAAAGTTGGTGGACAGCCGGGTCTACCTGGTTATCTCGCACAACATCAGGTATGAGGAGATGGATGAACAATATGTTTTCAGCTTTGACTAAGGGTGATATAGAATCCTCAGCAGAATCCCTATGGCTACATGTCGACGGGGCAAACTGGCCCGTACACTGGGAGTCCGTCGCAGTATCAAAGTGGCGGTCATGTACAATCGGCCGCGGGAATGTTTCCTCATCCCCAGTCAGGCAGCCCTGGTCAATTCGCAGGCATGCAGGGCGCATCTAGACTTGGTTTCCAGCAACACTTCGGGGTTGACGCTCAAGGAAGCTTGTCGTCCCCGTTCACACAAGTTCCGACGCAGACGCAGGATCAAATGGCAGCTGCAGTAACATCCTCTGGCGGACCAAGCCCGTTTCAGGCAGGAGCTGCTACCACTCAAGCGCAGGGGGGAAGTCCCTTTGCTTTGCAATCTCCGGAGCAGCAAGTGACGCAGACACGCTCGCAACCAGGACTTGAATCCTCTAATCCCGCCTTGGCTGAAAATGGGAGTGCAAACGACCTTAGCGGATATTCACAGGGGCAGCAGAATTTATCTGTCTTGAGTTCACAAGCCCCTTCAATCAGTCCCAATCAAGCATTGTCCTCCGCAGGGTTCTCAGTGTCACAATATGCCGCCACCCAAGCTTTGGGGCCATTCCCGCAAACTACGATGGCCCCTCCTGGCCTGGGACCGTTTCCGCAGAATGCGCCTCCTGGTTTTCCAAACGCACCGCAACAGGCTCAGTATGGACAGAGCGCCTTCGGGCAATTTGGGCAACTGCCGGGTCAGAACCCGTATGGCCAATATCCACCAGGCCCTTATGGACTTTCTGACCAGGGAAGCCCGTACAATGTAGGTCGTCCCGGTGTGACCGGTCCGCCTGTGACCGTGCCTCCTTATGGTGCTCAATTCCCAACAGCTGGACCCTTCGGTCTACAAGGCGCACCGGGAGCGTCACAGCTTGACCAGTTCGGTCCCCAATTTGATCCTCGACAATACCCACGCCCTGCAAGCGACCAGATGGGTCGTGTCCCTGGATACAACATGCCGCCTGGATCTGTGAACCCGCAAGGGTCCTTCCAACAATATTCACGCCCGCCATACACCGCTGCAGGCCAGTGGTCAGGACCAGATCCAGCGCAGTCGCGCTCCGCCATTTACGACCCTCAATTCGTGAGCGGCCCTTGGACATCCGCAACGGGCTATCGCCAGCCATCCCCCTACGGGGCTTTCGGCCCTGGAAGATAAACCCAAGAATGTTTTCTTCCCTATGTGTGAACGTTTTCCTATATACCCAAATAAGTTCAGTCATGAAATGTGTCATTTAATCAAACAAGCATCCCATCTTGAATCCATCAAACCCCCAACTATAGACCAGATCGAGTTATCCAGATATGAGAAATATGTATCTTACGAACCTCACGACCCATTCAGTACTTTACCTGCATGTCAAGATTGGGCAATTCATATCAATTTGTATTCGAATATTTAGTTAGTCTGTCACAGTCGTGTATTAGCTAACACTAGATCCTCATCCCTAGTTAAGTCTGTAGAGTTGCTCAAAACGCACTTTCTTCATCGGTGCTTCTAAGTCGTAGTTTGGTATCACATATTGGATTACTGTATATATTTGTCACTCCACTCCAAGGATAACTAAAAGGCTTATAGATCAAATTATTAAACCTGTTTTATCAACATTTACTAAATCTTAACCTTTAAAAGAAACTATAACTGATAAGCAATATAAGACCAAGTATCGCAAGATCCAACAGCAAGAGACAAAATCATTATCCCTCGCCCTAACACTATCATTAAAGTGAAGTACCATACTCGCAGCAGGGTTACTAGAACCGTCTGACCTCACTCTGAAGAAATCGAAGAAAAGAGCGATAGGAGCGGTATTTATTATTTCGGGCTTGTCTGATTAGATCACGCTTACTATTGGTTGAATAACTGTAATGCATTAATATGCCATCATTTGTAATAAGATATCCTAAAATCTACTTTTGAAGAACGGGAATAGTCAGCAATATCTGATTTGGAAAAAGTAAAATAAACTTAAGTATTTATCTAGTTGGAGTCATCCTTTACTTACTCGTAACTGGTAGAACCTCGCTAGATCAACAATCACGTGATTAATACGGAAACAGAAAGCGGTGAGAATCACACCTCCCCGAAGAAAAATATTCTGCCGCCGATCCGCGATAAAGCTTGAAGTTTTCTCCGCCGCCGCCAAAAGAAAAGAGAAATTCATTAATTTGCTGCAGTCTTCGAAACACTGCATACATCTATCACAATGGCGGCAGTCTACAAGTCAATTTCTAAAAAGGGCTCAAAACCCACTCACGAGGACGTCTCGGATGAAGATGTCGCCATGGACGAACTTTGGGATGGAGATGAAACGAGCGACAGCGATGAAGAGGTAGAGGATGCGGAGGATGGAAAGACGCAAAACTCGACGAATACGGCCGGACAAATGCCCAAGACTCGTGTTCTGATGCTTACATCGAGAGGTGTTACGTTTCGGTATGGAAACTGCGTTTGGTTCATGTTTTATGGGCTTTGGCTAATTTTTGTCTTTCTTCTTGCGTTAGGCATCGGCATCTTCTCTCAGATCTTTGCGCACTCCTTCCTCACACCCACAAGGAGAGTAAGCTGGATACGAAAAAGAAGACGGCTGGTTACAACCTGCTGCTGAACTCCCTGGCGGATTTGCACTCGTGCAATGTCATCTTTTTCCTCGAGGCACGCAAGCGCGGTCAGGATTTGTACCTTTGGCTCTCGAGACCTCCTAACGGCCCGACGATCAAGTTCTCTGTTACCAATCTGCACACGATGGGCGAGTTGGGTACGGGTTTTGCTGGAAACTGTCTCAAGGGTGGACGCGGTATTGTGGTGTTTGACCGTTCCTTTGATGAGAACGGACCGGACATGGCCAAGCCTGGTACTGAGTACCGTGGTCTGATCAGGGAGATGCTGCGTGGTGTCTTCTCCGTCCCGAAGCGGGGTGTGAAGGGAATGAAGCCGTTTATCGACAGGGTTATTGGTATCTACGGTGTCGACGGCAGGATTTGGATCAGAGTGTACGAGATCAGAGAATCTGAGCCGAGCAAGAAGAAGGCCGAGGGAGAAGAAGGAGAGAAACCAGCACCCAGGAGCAAGGACGGTCCCGAGATCTCACTGGTTGAAATCGGACCCCGCTTTGTTCTCACGCCGATTGTCATTCTTGAGGGAAGCTTTGGTGGTCCGGTGATCTACGAAAACCGCGAATATGTCAGTCCCAACCAGGTGCGCCGGGAGATCCGTCTGTCGAAGGCCGGACGCTACGCCCAGCGCAGAGATGTGCAGACGGAGAGGATCGCGAAGAAGTCGGAGCTGGGTCTACAGGGCAAGAAGAAGCGGGATGCTCTCGATACCAGGGAGGTCTTTGCTTAGTTTGTTTTCCCATACTAAGCAACTTCCTTCTTTTTGTGTTTTTTTCCTTTCGATATCCTGAGGTGGACGGCAAGCTTTCCCCTGTGCATCCTGAATCGGGGGGCATCATAATGTTTTCTTACTCAAGGCGTCTGGTAGAGTGGCCATTTCTAAATCATGGGATGACTGAAAAGTGTATTTTCTCAGGACTTGTCTATATACAATGTTATCGTGAATGAGCATCTATTATTCCCATCTGCACTTGTGTATGCTTTTCCATCATAGATAGGTTGATGTGGGGACCATGATAAGCTGTTGCTTATATAAGCGCTCTATATGAGGCGCGATCTATCGCGGAGTCATCTCCATCCCTTCCATCATCAACAACAATGGCTGCCTCAGTTGTCCCCAGCCCGATGCGGCTGCAGGCTTGCAGTCACATTTCACAAACTGCCCTTGGTGCAGCTATTTCTATGTATTTGTTTGGTCTTCCTGTGAACAGCCCCAACGGCGGGGTCTGGATCAGATAAGTGTATACAGTTGCCGCGGTGGCCATCGTTCAATCGCTGTGACGACGGCTACCAACTTCTCATTTTCACCCCAACTTGTTTCAAAATACCATATCCAAAATCACAATTTGTTTCCTTAGTTAAAGGCGACACACATCAATAAAGGTGAGCATCTCACGGTTTGTTTTCATCTTTCGTATACTGACTTGGCTAGATCACGCAATGCAGCTAGATCATCTACCTACGGAGCTATTGCTCCATATATTTCGCCGTTGCGAGACCGTATCTGATGTTCTTAATCTCGCCTCGACGTCTCGGCATTTCCGTCGTGTCTACCAAAGGTCGAATAAGCTCCTCATACTCGTCGATGCTGCGGAGGCGGAGTTCGGTCCGTTGGAGGACATAACCCAGATCGTTACCCAGAATGCGAGTCAGCCAGCCCATATCTTTCGCGAAGCTCCCATGTCAGATGCACTTCTGAAGCAAGCTATCAAGATTGGTCGCGTGGCGAAGAAGTGGGAGGAAATCTATCCTTTCAAGAAATGGAAGATCGATTACGACTCTCGTCGGCTCTTGACCGATGAGGAGCGCTTCCGTCTTCGTCGCGCTATATACCGCTTGTGGCTGTACCATCGCGCGTTTCATAACCGTCTTTATGACCGATACTCGCGCAATACACGTTCTGTTATCGCTGAGCGCGCGCAGCTCTTGCATAACTGGTCGACTGAAGAGCTGGCTGATATCGAGGATGTCCGACAAGTCATATGGGATGTGGTTCAATATCACATCTGCCCAAGTAACGGTACTATCCAACGTAAATTTCACAGACGCTATCCCGAGCGTCAAACTCAGTTAACTTTCAACATTCATCTCAACTATCCCGTCGATCGAGATTCTTATGGTGCGCCTCGTTTCGGCTCTGAAAGAAGCGCCAACTCTGTTGAACAGATATTCTACAATGCCCACCCACCTGGAAGTAGCAGTTCTTCTAAGTTCGCATCTAAACTGCGCAATGATGTCTTTCACGATCCCGGATTCGAGGGCTGGGGCGACGAGATCCCTCATTACTACGTTATCCAGGACATGCTGAAACTGGATCCCGGCCAAGTGCTTTTCTTACGTGAACATGCTCCTTTGAAAGAACAGGTGGAAGCCTACATCTTCTCGCAGGGCGAGTGGTTCAAGGATAACGGTGAAACCTTTTTCGACACCCTCCAGTGGGTGCTGAAGGAACGAGCGGAGGACTTGCAGAACTTTTCGGACATGATGGCCGACCGCCAGCTGGGCGTCGCCAGGGACATCTGTTGATTTTTTAAAGCGAGAATTTCGGGCTATGTGTTTTCTCTTGACACTCGCGTTGCGAGGTTATGTTCAACTTCTGTCTCAGATAGATCGCTCGACACGTAAATGAAACTGCCATATGTCGTAAATGCAATAGTGATACATGGAGACTAATACATCCCACCGTACAATCCGTTCCACAAAACTAACATGGTATCTTTAAATGCTTCCAATTCCCCGGCAGAAACCCTCATCCCTCATCCCTCATTACGATCATAACCCATAACCGTTATTCGTTCCTGCTCTTTCCCTCTGCCAACTATACAAAAACTCCACTCTCGCTCATTCCCTCTTGTGGAAATCCCGAATCATCCGATCTGTTCTGCTCATATGTAGTATGATATATCCTCGTAGCCCTCGGCGCCGCAACTTGCCCGGGAATACTGACATCGCTTCCATCCACGCGCGCATTAAAGAGAGGAGTCGCATTCCTCGGAGACCTATCTGAATCCACGACGCCCTTGTTATTTCGATTCCGCATTAGACCAGAGAACCAGTAACCGTGTGATAATTCTAGGCCTCTACCGCTGTTGTTGAGAGACGTGCAGATCTGGACGACTAGGCCTCGAAGAGATGGGATGGAGGCAGCTATGATCGTTGCGCCCGTTTCTGCTGCGGTCCATATGAGGATTGAGCTGGAGTAGTCTGTATCATTTATTGTCAATTGGTTCTTATTTAGGGTGGTACTATGGCGGAACTCACAGGTATAGTCTTCATGGTTGGATGCGTTATGCAGAAAAGATGTCTTGACCATGGCGAGTATAAATGCACTATGCAATCATAATCTTTGTTAGCCTTGATGGTCTTCCTGTGAAGTTTTATTTTGATAGGGGCAAATACTCACAAGACACCGAGACTCATGGCGAGTGCGACGCCGATTTTCTCTTTGACAGTCATCGGAAGTTTCCATACAATAAACCACGGCTGTAAAGCGAGTACGAGATCCATGACACCCGAATATGCTTCCCATTCAAAATATTAGCCAAGACTGCTTCGCACAACCAGAATGAATATATTGTTAATCTTGAACTGTCATTGACTCACCTCCAGATACAATAGCGAAGTTGGTGACGATACTCGGATCCCAACACTTTGCTTTGATTTGAAAATCCCACAGTTTCGCAGAGGGTTGACATTGCGCCAGAGTCAAGATTGCCGTGAGCCACATCAAGCTGTTCATTGAGAAGATTATTAACGATAAGAGCACGACCTGCCATCTGTCGACTACTACGCGCAGCAGACTCAGGGCGAATGAAGTCTTGCTGAGCACGCAGGCGATAATGGCGAGGAATTCGCCAATGTATGTAAGTTTCAGAGCCGTTGTGAGGTCGGTGATGCTGGTTATATCTTGGACGTGTTTTCCGAGACCATTCTTGACTGCTGCGGTGATCAGGGTTGTGTATATTAATAGTAGGACCTGCGGGATTGTTATTAAACTGAATCATTGTTGATATATCATAACGGATGAAATAACCTACCCACGACCATGACACTATGATATCATCCCAGCCGAATCTTTTTCGAAGGACATTTTTGCCATGCAGACGCAGAGCGATAATGGCACACGGAACAATAGTGGTTATCCACAATCCCCACAGGATGGCCGGACCTTGATCATTCTGTGTCATGACGGGCTTTTCGCAAATGGAAGGACTAACATCACATTGATGATTTTGGTCTGAAAAGAAGAATAAAAAAAGCATCTATCTAGTGGTTCGTCTCCAGCATCAGACAGGATTGATATATACAAGTCCTGGTACTTTTGTATCCGCGTGGAAAAAAAAAGCTAGGATCATGTTCGTGCTCACGGCCTTGTGTTTACTGATAGCTCGCATCCCTTAGTTCCAGCTAGATATCATCCAGATTCAAAACACCAAGGGTAAGGGACGGACAGACCAAGTCGTGCTGAGCGCAAGCTGATACAGGACCCTTGTGTCTTGCCTCTCTCCTCTTTGGTGCTTGGTTGGTGTCATTGTTATCTTTTTTTCTTTTCTCTCGAAAAAATGACACACTTGAGGATCGCCACGTGGCTCCTGAAGCAATTTGGCGATCATTGTCAATCAATTGACGAAAATAGACATTACTCTATAATGTTTCATGGTTTCAATGCCCTCTTTGAGAGGGAGGCAAGGTCTTGCATAATGGTGGCTTGGAATTCCAAATTCCACGTGGAATATAGGGTTAGGGGAACTAGGGTCTGCAATGTTCCAGAATGTGAGCTCTATGCTCTTTATCCTGGAACAAACACTAGCCGGGTTGGAGTTTTCCTTTTGGATGCGTCTAGCGGCCGTTATGTATAGCCAAAAGCACGCGTGGGGAGTTTGGAAGACAAAGATCTGTACACACTCGACCTGGAGTTGTGATTTAGCGTTGGAGATCACCCATGCAGCTATTATTATTATGACGCTAGCGAGGTTGGATATCACTTGGAAGAGTGAAACTATGATGCAGCTCATAGGAGGTTGTGTCTGAGCGTAAAGCAAGTCTGGGCTGCCTTGCAGTCTAGGACCATGCATCTACTCCTGCATCGCATTGACAGAACACTATGCCATGTGGTTGTGGAACCTAACGAAATAATAAGCTCTCATCCAGCGATTCTTCTCATTATGACTTCAGGGAATAAGACAGCTGGCAGATCAACTCCTACGAAACGTTCTTAGGGTACAAATCTGAAGTAGTTTAGCAGAGGTTACGAGTAGAGGCAGTGGCGAGCCCTCGAAGCCCCTATCTACCGAGTAAATTGGTGCTCGAACCTTTCCAAAGATTCGCGATTGCATATGGGCGTCCAGAGAGACAGATGCATAAGATCGTTTTAGAACAGCACCATTATTGGCTTCTTTCTTGGGTAGGTCAACCACCTGGCCCGGGTGCATCGAGAGATCCTCAATAGGATATAGGATTATAGGATGATCTTCTGATGTACAGTGCGTTCTAGAAAGCTTTTTGTCTACATCCACCCCTTCTAAGGCGAGAGAAAAAAAAAAAAAAAAGGCTCATCCTGCAAATCGACTAGGAATTACAAAGTCTGGGCGAGCCATACCAATCTCCTTCCCAATGCTATGTGTGCGTACTGCGGAAGCAAGATAATACGAAAATGGCAAATCGTGCATATGTAGAAGTTCATTATTCCTTGCGCTGTAATAGACTTGGGAGTATAGGGAACCATGTGCCTAGTCATCCTCTTCACTTAGCTACTCACATATCACCAAGCTCGCTTAAGTATAGAATACAGATATCCAAAAATTTATCACATGGCCACTTGCGACTATCTTGGAAGCGCGTAGCACGGGCATGGTACACCCCAGAAGGACCCAAATTTGAGCCCGGGCCTTCGAAGCTGTCAGATAATGACATCCCCGTAGATAATCCTTTCTCCTCGAGCATCCTAGTCGTTCCATCCCCGGGAACTATCCAGCCATCTCATGTATAATTGGTCAACACACAAGCGGAATTTCCATCTGCGGCCACGATGGGATCACCAACGCAGCAAGATGTGTGATGATGCATCAGCGCTGGTTTAGCGGGGTTGGTGACCATGCTTAGGGGTTCCTTGACATCAAAGCGAACAACCCCGGCTAAGAGCGCCATGCATTGGCAAAAGTACCGTACGTCTCTCTCGCTTCACAATGACGAGTTTCAGGTGTATGTGCGTGTATGTGCTTATGCTTGTGACTTGGGTTGATGGAGTGGTGATAGGATGGTCTTGTTTTCTTTTCTTGCCGTAGGATTCCCAATTAGGTATTTACTGTAGGATTTCCGGGGGCGCAATTCACGTGGAATGAAAGATAAGAATAAAGACGAGGAAATTCGTTGATTCAATTACCATCTTTCTGGAAGGGTTTGAATTCCAGCGATATTCCGGATTCAGACCTATGTATAATGTGATCGGATGACGCAGAGGTGCATTCTGTCTCAGACTATATAGATAAGTATGGTTTGATATGAAGTCTGGTGTTCAAAGTATGTACTTGTACCAACTTATCTGCATCACCTAGACTGGAGAAATTCCGTACTATCCAAAATGGACTAACTACAAATCCACAATAGCATCATGAACCGGAACCACTTTCTTCCATTTCCGACAGAGGATAAGAAAAAAGAAGAAGAGCATCCCCTTTCTCCTGGAGCTATGGCCACTCCCGTTCTTTATAGCTCGTCGTCTGTGCTTGCTTGCCATGGCTACCGGACTCTCTTTGGCCGTTTCACAGCTCCCTTGGGCGGATAGCTCATCGACACCGCATATCTGAAATATCCGGAAGGTTCCGATTAAGGACTTTGTTAGTTAATTAGGCATGGCGGAATTTGAGCTCTGCGGTGGATGGCTGGTTTAGAAGCATAAGCGGTGTTTTTGTTCTCGTTAACCAGAATATGAATATAAACTCCGAAGGCAAAGATATCGATATCGCTGACAAGAAAAAAAAGTAGCCATTTTCCACGGGGTAATCCACTAGATACGGAGTAGACGAATCCATCGTCTCATACTCCACAAAACTAGTCTGATGTTACTCAAGCATTGAATGAATGCCCCAGACACCTATGTCTACTAGAATTTTAGAGTAATCCGGTAAATATTAAAACGGCCAATCAAATTACGTGGTGCAAGGGAAATAGCATAATGAAGTGAGTCGCTAAAGACTTTTCAAAGGGGTTTATCGTGGGGCGCGCTTAGTGGGATAATTTATTAATTTATCAGTCAACAACTCAGACCAAGTGCATTGGATCCATCCCGCGCGATTGCGATTCCAGTCCCGTTCTTTGTGAGTGATCGACATCAGATTTGTATCTCTCGGGGGTGAAAATAGGAATATTCGGCCAAATAAGTATCTGCTGTGAGCGTGCTCAAGGTATCGCAAAGGTTAATACAGATTCCAGATAAATGTAGTCAATATCTACAGGGAAACACTACACTATATAATAACTGTCGGGAAGGTATGGTAGTCGTCTGATTATTATGTAGTATTATTCTTATCCGCCAGCATGTCACTGGAAGACTTTAAAAATCTCTTCTATCTATCTCCATCAACCGCGCCAGAACTAAAGGATATCGAGTCTCCACGCGGACCCGCCATGGCCGATATCGTTCAAATTACATGCTCCGCCAGGTGGATCCGGCTGTCATCAAAAGGGGCCATACAGAGGGGTCTGAGCAGTCTGGACTTTGCGATCTCTACATAGTACACTGTGTCCTTTCCAAGGAGCCAGGAGGTATGGACAGCTGACTCGACTCAAGGTCGGTCAAGAGGACGTAGAGTAAGGACAGAATGCCACATTTGATTTTTATGTTCTCATGGAGACGATGGACTCCCGGCGACGCACCCCAAAAGAACACTAAGACAGCTAGGACAAAACTAATCGAATACGCCCATTAAGAGAACAACCAAAGCTTTAACGAACCAGGGAGGTGACCGTGGTTAGAAAAGGCGTAGGAGGGAAAATAAGGGAAAACTGGGGAAAAGGGGAATGTGTGAATCGAATCCGGCCGTGACGGATAGAATGAAAGAGAAGGCAATGAAATACAAGGGCAGAAGATAAAGCAGCACCTCGACAGAACGTATCCCCATGAATCATACATTCCGTCAAGGCAGAATGTGCCTCGTCCGCCCTTGTCCTGCATTGCCGCTTCCCGTAATCGTCCCCTCGTAATCATCATCGTCCAGGGGGAACATGTAATAGACCAGTACAGACGGAGACCATTGCATGATCACATCGCAAAAGAAATGACATCGCCGCTGACGCCCCGATATGCGCCATCGTCTAACAGCAACCTTGCTTCGTCTCCGGGTCCTGCGACTTGCTGATCTCCACGACCTGGCGGCGCTCGCCAAGGGGATTCTGTCCGGATTCGCCGTTGTCGAGGGCCTTGCTCGAGACAATGCGGTAGATTTCTGGATATCTGTCAGCGGCGGCGGGGACTTCAGTGGCAGCGCAGGGGACACAAACCTGTAAGGATGTTCTGGAAGGCAAGCTCAACGTTGCTCGCGTCGAGAGCGGAGGTCTCGATGAAAGAGAGATTGTTGTCGCCTGCTTTGGTCAGCATGGGAACATCGTCGTAACCAAGTCCAGATACAGCGACGTACTGGCAAACTGCTTCGCTTCCTCCGTAGGCACCGCCCGCAGATGCCTCAGATCACTCTTGTTTCCAACGAGCATGATGACGATGTTGGAGTCGGCATGGTCCCGCAGCTCCTTCAACCACCGGGTGACGTTGTCATAGGTCTGATGCTTGCTGATATCGTAAACAAGCAGGGCGCCGACAGCACCGCGGTAGTAGGCAGAGGTAATGGCGCGGTACCGCTCCTGACCAGCTGTATCCCAAATCTGTGCCTTGATAGTCTTGGAGTCGACTTGGATGGATCGAGTCGCGAACTCGACTCCGATGGTTGACTTGGAGTCCAGGTTGAACTCGTTACGGGTGAATCGACTCAGCAGGTTGGACTTTCCGACACCGGAGTCTCCGATAAGCACAACTATGGAACAGGGTCACGTCTTAGTCACATTCTAACAGCATTTTGTCGTTCAGAGCCAGAAAGGGGGATCGTATCGAGGTGGGAAACATTGTTACCTTTGAAGAGAAACTAGGCAACGTCAGCAACGGAGATCACGACCGCCACCACCGAGGAGGAATCCAGGAGGATACACTTACATCATACTCGTCATTAGCCATGACTGCAACTGCTGTCGCGTGTTAAGCGCAATTGTGCGGGTGATATAGCGAGGGGTTTCGACGTGGCGGAGGGTTGTCACAATCCGTCAAAACGGGCGGTGGGCGAGACTTGGGGTAGTGCAGCTAGGAGGTGATCTGCAATACGGTAAGCGATGCTACTTGAACCGCCCACCGGCTCCTTTGCGAGGAAGGGAACAAGATTCGAGGAAGGCTCACACTAAGTTTGGACTGTTCAAGTAATAAGAGGATACGATAATCCAGATGCCTCTCAGTAGTTGGATCGTCAGTGTCTCCTGCGCTCTGGCTGCCGTGTCCGCGGCTTGTTGGAGGACCGCCTGATCTGGGCTAGCGCTTCATCATGTGACCACAACAGCAGACTTGCTGAGGTAAGCTGCGATGCCCTGAATCTCTGATAGACTGATTCACCGCACTAAAGCGACGAGTTTATATTCATTCTATAGGTTTTCACAGAACGCTCCTTTGATGGTGAATTTCAGAGTTTCTATCTCGTCTCAATTCACACCTTCCATCAACGATAATGCTCAAGCTGATGCTGTGGCGCATTTTTGCTGGTCCCTAATCTCCTGACCTTGAGCATAAGTCGGGACCAAGACTAGCTCCCAAGTGAATTTCTTTTCAAACATGCCCTATTAGAGGGGCGTGTCTTCTTTGACTTGCTTTCTGATTATTCTTGGTTCTATTTCCCATACATGGGTCATGTTTCCTAAAATATTCGTTCCATCCAGCTCATCAAGTCCTCTAGCTCTTGTTTGGTAAAGATGCCCGACAGCATCGAGGACGACGACAGCATCTCTGTCACGTCAACAGTACTGAGCGAACCAAAGTCAGAATATGAAGTTGAATGCATCCTTACGGAACTGATGTTCCCGGATGGTGTCAAGTATCTAGTCAAATGGGAAGGCTACCCTGTTGAGAGATCAACCTGGGAACCGGAAGACTCTTTCGCCGACCCCCAGACTCTGAAAGACTGGGGGGCTAAGAAGAAAGCCATAGACCGTGGGGATGAAGAGGAGTTCGATCTTGAAACGTGGGAGAATCGACTAGAAGCGCTGGAAGATGCCAGGGACGAAAGGAAACGCAAACGAAGAGCCAAACGGGCCAGGCTCGGGCTACCGGTGTACGAGACGGAAGCAAGAAAAGAAGATGAGAGCGACAGCAGCACTTCGAGCGATGAACCACTAAGTGCCCTTCGATCAAGACTACATGAAAATAGACGATCATCTTCGGATAGCTCTCTGCAGACCTCCAGACAGCTCGAGTCGAGAGTTACAGATTCGGCCAGTCTTACACATGAGCAGGGACCAATGGCACAATCTAACTCCACAAACTCCAAGGATGATGAGTCTTCCAGTGTGCAGCACGGCGGTAAACATGCACCCCAATCTGTTCCAGCACAACCGGTTAACCGTCATTGCAACCCTGGTTCCACGGTAACACCGTCTAGAAGCAAAACCTCTACACACACAAGTGCACCCCTCCTTCTGCCTAGAGGCCCTGCTCGTGACCAAAGAAGCCTGGGTGGCTCGCTGTATGCTCGCAAATAGCGGCTGAAAGCCGAAGGGAATGATAATAACGAGAAACCTACACTCTTCAGAAATATCTCTACCAGGTGGAAATACGAGAAAGCACTACGTTTTGAGCCTGCCCCTGATATCACACAATTGGACCTACGACGGCCATCAGATTGGGCGGCAAGTCCAAGTGTGCTAAATACGGATATTATACGCCCTATCAGACGTGCAGAATCCAACGAGCTCTTTGTAAGACAAGATACTCCTCAGGCCACTTCGGCCAAGGCAGAGAGCATACCTCAGGAAGATTTGTTTCCAGAGAGGCCCATGGCACCTTCACGGTCATTTTCCACGGGCACCACATCACTTCTGGGTCAGTATTCTGTGACCAGCCCGGATTCTAGCCGACCGCCTCTGCAAAGAAATCCTACCTTTTCTTCCCGCGATGATTCGATCAATGCAGGCCTTAAGAGGCGCCTAGATGCACCTTCAGAGCCGTCTCGTCCTGCTTCATCAACCCTAGGAGGTCCCCCACCTCGAGGCCCTAGGCGGTCTACGCTTGCGGGCCCTGCTCACAGAAGTGATTCCAAACCAGGTTCCCACGAAGTAGAGGTGCGGTTGTTCTATGGCCCGGAGAAGACCAGAGTTGGTTCAGTGGTCATATGCGGCATCAATGAGCTTACCAAGCTCAAGATCACCAGCTCGAGTAAGGCAAAGGACGTTGAGGTCTGGTTTGAACACCTGTGTACTATCGACCAGTATGACTACTTATGCTCGAAGGTGAGAAACCAAAGACACCATTGATTGAAGTCGCTGACCTTGACCAGTTATCAAAACCAAAAAATGCGAAATTCTGCAATGGCTGGGTTGAAGGCTATTCATATAATACCCGATATATCAGTGAAATGGCGAAGACATTGCGAGACGGCAGTCTTGTCGGTATCTGTTACCTAAACACTGTAGGGACCAAAAATGTCTTGCTAGCCTATGCTACTGGATCGGCGGAATGGGACTTTCTCAACGAAAATGGGTATATCAAACCAGGCGTTTCGTTGCGTATTGCCGCAAGAGCGCCCCTGCCTCCTATCAGCGAACTGCGCAGATTACCAACCATCAAAACCAGCACGGCTTCTCAACCAGTGTTACCCACAGAAGGGCCAACCTCTGTTACGGTTGATACACCCTCCGGCCCTGTGACTATGAGGGGTCGCGAGAGCTCCCCAAGACAGGATAGGCAGCATCCTCGTCCTGCTTTGACTTTGGACACCAGTGAATCAAACGCAAAGACGGAAGAACTTACGCCGGGACTCAGTCAAAGTGCTACTCGGTCTCCAAAAAGCATTGGGAGCGCTCTCACAGAGGATCCACAGTTCAATAAAGATACCGAGATGAAGGATTCCGTCATGACAGACAACTCCATCGATCTCGACGCTATCTTTAGCAGCCAATACAGCATCAGCTTCCGGGAACTCGCATCAGTAAACGGGTCAAAATCTAAGACCCCAGCCCAAGTTTTCTACGTATGGTATCCAGATAGCGCAGAAGCCGAGTACCAGGTACTCGTGGAATTCCTGAAAAGGCACAAGGTCGTTATATACTCAAACCGGCTTCCGGAAGACTGGGAGCGATTTGCGCGAACGGTTTCTCACGGGGTCGTTATGGTATGTCTAGTTTAAAGAGTGTTGCTTCACGGTATATGCTGACAAATACACTTTTAGTTCTATGGTGACTTTCTGAGTTTTTATGATCTGCCTTACTTCCTGGACTTGACGCGGAAAGAAATAAATTTTTGGAGCGTGTCCTTGGCTGCTCCGTTGCCGTACGCAGATGGAACAGCACATCTTCAGCGCCTCTTTCCTCACGGCGGAGTCATCCTCCTTACGGAAGATCTTTTTCTCTACGACCAAGACTGCGTGGTAGTGATCTTAGCATGGTTTGAGGAATTCGTCCGGAGGAGGTCTCCCGGTAGCTGGAAGATTATGTTTCGTCCTGATATTCTGAACTGGCTACTTAAGAAGACGGACGAGTTTGAAACAAAATCAGTTGAAGAGAGGAAGAAGGCACGGTGAGTTTCAATGCTAGGAGATCTGAGGGTAAAGAAAGAACTAACCTATATCAATTAGCTGGCTGGATATGTATGTTCTTATTCTCAAAATGCTACCTCGTCGGTATCACTACCACCATGACCCTCAAAACCCGCCGCATCTCGAAGGCGCTCGAGAAGAGGACGGGACCCATAACCCGGTCATCTCGTTTCGCAGTATACCCAGCTATGGTCACCGTCAGGAGGACGAACACGATGCTATCCCCAAAGGGTTAAGACAAGATCAGCGCGATACTGATCATCTAGTCGAGTTCTTCGCGGGCTGGAGCATCATCAACAGCCATAGATTCCGCCGCTTCATCGTGGCGTCTCATTACTCACAAGAAAGATGGAAAGCATGGAACCACGTAAGTACCTTCTACATCATATACATCTTCATAGTCCAATAGTTCTGATAATAAACAGCTTGAACTGCACCAAGGTGGTCACGATTTCATGAAGAGTCAAAAGATCGACGCCAATGCCATCTGGGCGGAACTCGTCTCAAATACTCCTAGAAGGTCGGATCCATCTCGTTCAGCGCGAACTCCTCGAACGCCTCGAACGCCCTTTGTTCCGACCAGTGTGAAATGGGACCCTAGCAATACCCCTGGCACCGTGGCCACTGCATCCGCCAAAGCTGCTCAGGCGCATCACACTCAATCAGCCCACAAATACCCCGACCCGTATGTTTGATCTTACGCACACACAAGGTACATACATACATACATCGCGAGTGATACCCTATTCTTCTGGTCTGCATGGATTCATCCTATTATTGATTGCGAATACCCCCAAAGCTCCTGTCAGCTGTTACATGAAACAACATGCGAATATTCGATTCCAGTCTATGGTTCTACCCCTGTAGATGTCTTCCTGTCGCTATTCCAATCTATTCTACTCTATTCGTGTTTAATTCTCATCTTGTTATCCTTGTGGATGTTGCGTTATGTCGAAGGTTAATCATACCCTGTGAATAATACCAGAAGTAACTACGGATGGGAGAAGAATAATAAGAGTTAGTAGTTAATTACCCCTCCTTTCTACCCTTTTCGTGCCGGCGCGGTTCCCTTTTCGTCGCGGCGCGCGGGATCTCGACAGGTAGCCTCAGTATGGCGTATACTATGTACATACTTAGTGTTGATATGGGTATTGAGATAGTAGTACGTCCGTACGTACAGATATGCATAGTATGAATTGAAAAAAAAATTCCATTTCATCCCGCTAAGTCGTAAAGTGGACAGGAGGAATGAAAAGTCTCGCGAGATAATGACATGGTAAAAGAACGCCCTATGCACCACACGGTCCGGTTCCCTAAGTGAAGACGAATGACACATGGCAAGAAAGACAGACGGGGTCCAGCTGGACCATGAAAACAGATATGATCATTCCGAGAGGGGGAAACGAGGTGGGGGGGGTATATACAGGGTCATGACATGTGAGGGTTAGTAGGGGAGGGCGGGGGAGTTGGAATTATTGCCCGCCTGCAGCGCTCGAAGCACGGTTACGGTACTCCTCGAAGCTGGATGCCGATTGTGAATTTGAATTCTTTGCATTCTTGTTCTTCTCCTGTTTCTCCCGACGCATCTTCTCTTCCCATGCGCTCTCCTCGGCTGCAATCATGGCGTGGAAACGACCGCCCTGGCCGCGAGCTAGATAGACTGGCTTCTCCTTGCGCTCAGCGACAGCCTCGGTGACGAGAACGAATTTCACGCTAGAGCCTGGCGCTTCGTACATGGCATCGCTAAGGATGGTTTCCATCTCTGTACGGAGAGCACGCGCGCCGGTTCCCATGGCCAACGCGTTGGTAGCCACTTTATGCAGAGCAGGGGTCGTGAAGCGGAGTTCAATTCCCGACAGCGAGAAGAGGGTGGTGTACTGGGCCAGAAGCGAGTTGCGAGGCTCAGTGAGTATCCGTAGGAGCAAAGGATGCGTTAGCGGAGAGAGGGCGGTGGTGACGGGGACACGGCCAACTAGCTCGGGAATGAAGCCGTAGGTCTGGAGATCATTGGGGGTGAGGAGATCCAACGGATTGAAGTAAACAGGTTCTTCATCAGACGAGGAAGGCGTTGCGGAGGTGAAGAATGGAAGATGCTTTTTGTACAATGCTTCCTCCTCTGAACCCGGGAGGATCCGGATGGGCTGGCTGTTCGGGGAGACGGATGTACCTCGTCCATCGCTGGAGCTGGCAGAAGCGCGCACGGGCTGTCCAAATCCGATCGAACCGCGAGATATTCGATCCATCACCATCTTATTCAACCCAACAAACGCGCCAGAGAGGATGAAAAGGATGTTGTCGGTTCGGACGTTGTAGACTTCCCCTTTGGGGGAGGGAGCTGCGGCACCGGAACCCTGATAGGAATTGCCCAGTGGATTGCTCGAAGGGTACTGATGATGGCTTGTTGGCCCTCCAGAACGAGGAGCACTCTTCTCTGGTTTGGCATGGACCTGGATTGTAGTGCCCTCAATGATCTTCAAGAGCGCCTGCTGTACGCCCTCACCACTGACATCTTTCCCGTGGCTGACTTTGGCGGTCGCGATCTTGTCTACCTCATCCAAACAGATTATACCTCGCTCCGCTGCTTCGACATCGTAGTTGGCAGCCGCAAGAAGACGGTGCACACAGACCTCTGCATCTTCTCCGATGTATCCCGCCTGCGTAAAGGGAGTGCAGTCCGACATGCTGAAAGGTACGGAGAGTACTCGTGCCAGCGTCTTTGCCATCAGCGTCTTTCCCACTCCCGACGGTCCCAGTAAGAGAATGTTGGACTTTTCCAATTGCAACGGAGATGTATCAACGATTGGGGCGGCGTCCAGCTTTGGTGGGGTCGGTTCCTGTCGTTCCGATACATGGACGGTCCGTTGTTGGCCAGGGAATTCATCTGCACAAGTTCATATCATCAGTATGAGATCTCGTTCCAAAGGGTCCTTTATGGGTTTCACTCACCTTCCACTGGATGGCTTTCCATCGCCTCCCTCCGTTGTCGCTGAGCTTCCAGTTCCGCTTCCTCCTCTTCCCGCCGCTGGAGCTCCTGCACCCGCTGGTAGTGGTTGTATACGGCAACTGAGAGCACCTTCTTTGCCCGATCCTGGCCAACGACAAACTGGTCCAGATACTGCTTCAGGGCTTTGGGCGTCAGCCGCGGGGCCCCGAAGGCGGGAGAGGATCCAAGAGGGCCATCTGTAGGCAACCCAGCCTCATAAGTGCCTGTATACCCCTGACCGCTGAAATCGGAACGGTGGAAATGGGAGAATGTCGGGTGAGAGACGGCCGTGGCAGAGAAATGGCGGACGCTGCTTTCAGCGGAAATAGCACATGATGAGCGCAGACGAAGGGGACAAGCAGCAGAGAATGGTGTCGCTCCAGCGGATCCCACGGTCTGATAACGCCCGCGGAGTGACCGGGCAGGCAGCCGCAGCATGGCTGCGGGGGAAATCAGAGACGAGCAATTGGATCTGCTATCCGCGAGGCAGATCAAGGACGGGTAAAAAGAAGAGAAGATCGAGATCTGAAGAGAATCCCTGGCGAGAGAGAGCTGGATGTGACTGAGATGGTCGATCGCCGCGATGTCGGAGCCGGAGCTTTCCCCGCAACACGTGACGCTTATCAGATGTATGTAGTTCTTCCCTATTGATATTAATAGAGAATTAATTCCCTATTCCTTCACTCGGTAATAATTATCTCTCCAGAATCAGCTTCTCACAAAGTCGATGCGTGGTTCCTTACTGAGTGACATTCCCATATATTCCCCCGGTCCTATGACGTTGGACTGAGTTCCAAGTTCCACGGCATCGGAATTTGTTTTTAACTTCAACCTTGAGGTTCAGCCAGTAGGTACAGAGGACAACTGTCTATTCAAAGTCTATTTATTGTCGCTATTCCGCCCATAGAAATCTTCCAGAATTTCACTATACGACGTGGAAGGTTTCTCGGGGATTGAAGTACAATGTATGCATGCGAAGAAGTTTGGATATGGGGAAATGATATAGAGAGATATCGTAGTTAATTCCAGGCTTCATATTCGATGATGGTTATCATAGCTAGGATTCTTCGAAATTAAGGAACCGTAAGAGTAGAAATTTTTCAAAGAGAGAGAGAAGAAGAAAAAAAGGTAATAAAGCTAAGTAGGGTATTGACGCAATTGCATAGCTCTATAACTAGTTACTTACTGCAAACCATTACTTTGCCGGGAATGTCAGACATATACCATATAATTCTATGAGAACAGCAAATAGCGCTAGCCATAAGATATATTATGAATCGTTGGATCGAATAATAATTAGGTATAGTAGTCGTCATTGGTCTTCTCTTCATACTGAAGCGTCGCGTGTTAGTTAAATGCTACAACGGGCGCGCTATTTTTAAGTAGATAGTGGCTCCGTTCTCGCAAAGCCGATTGTCACTCAGATCCTACAGTCAACGAAGATGCGACTTCGGAATAAACCGATGAACCAACAAGAGTCAAATTTCTTGTCGATAATAATGATTTCCGTGAGTATGGTAAACTCTCTAGCATCGTAGATCGTAGATCGTTGATCGCCTTCAGACCTTATCTGATAGTCGATATCGACGGTTGTCGGTGCGTACGGCCGGGACGCGCGTTCGCTTGGATTTACCAACTCCGACTTCAACAGCTGTCGAAATAGGAATATTTTTTCGACGAGATTGCGTGGAAACGGCTTTGTTAAAGCTAGGTCTTTGAATCCAGACCGTCGAGGGGTGGATAGAAGGTCGATACGTGTAGTATATAAGAATGGCCTCTGTCCCCCGAGAGATCTAGACATGATGGAGAGAGGATACCAAGCTTCTCCATTGTCAATAATAATATGATGATTATGCCAATAATCATGCTTACTCTGCATCGTGGCATGATGCTTACTCCTACTCTGTACATCCAGCAGGATGAAAGGATTTATTACCTTTACACAGCGCCGGGACTCTTTGTTCTCTGACTAGCTGACTTCATACTGAGGTTACCAGTCATGTCATACTCATCTCGTTCAAGCTGACCGCATGCCGATCAACAGTTGTCACTCTGCTTTGTGAGAAATGGCATACCAACTGCCTCCTTTTTTTTTTTTTCTTCATCTGTGTCGGAAGCCAGCGGGTGAGGCCAAGCTTATTGGGATCGCCAGCATACCAGACGGGCCGTTCCCCCGTCGAGAGTCCTAAAACCAGCAATGGGCGCGCAGCAGCAATTACCGCAAGGGTCGAAGAATGCGCATCGAAACATCTCGCAAGGACCCTGAGAGATTGCACCAAGATTACTGGTGCACGGTCCGGTCTGTCCCTGAGAGATGGCTCAGGTCCCGCGCGGGACGAAGCATTTTTGTTTTTGTCGCAGAGTTCGTGCAATTTGCACTGTGGCCACCGGAGAGCCGTCTCAGAAGTCCAGCGGTTCCATCCCAAAACCTTGGTTGAGGCAGAAAAGGTCATTTTACCGGTCGCCACCGATCTGCTGTTTTCGTTCCGGAGATCGCCCAAGCAGTCCACCGGGGATTCGTAAGTCGATAAGCGCTGTATGGGATACGAACTTCCAAAAGGACCCAGTCCTGCAGGGAATTCCTCATGGTTGGATGGCTGTTTACCCGTTGATCGCCATGAAGCTTTTTCCTTGGTCGAATAACACCGTGGGACGAAGCTTCGGTTAGGGCGATCGTGGCGCAGACGGTATCACAGCAGCTTACGTGGTGTATCTAGTCTCACCCTGGGTGTATGACCCTGTAACGATGCCATTACCACGGGACGAGAGAGGTAAAGAACAGCAAGAAAAGAGACGAGAAGAGAAGAGAAGACACAAAGGGACAACTAGACTAACTATGCTGGATTCCTCAGTATGTGATAATCATGCTGGGTCCATGAAGATCAATAATGGAGACTTGACGTTGGTATTATTATTGTTTGTTGTTCGTCCATCTCTCTATCTATCGTGTTAGTTATTCATGTTCCCTGACAACAACCAGGTTAGACTGACCGAGCTTACAGATAACTAGTGCAACTCAACTCATCAGCATGCCTCATGACGTGCTGGATCTGATGTGACCGTGTGGTTATACTACTGTTACATGAACAGTTGAACTGTTGAACTGTAACAGTTGAACAGGTAACTACCTAACTAAGGGGAATCGGACAAATAATTGCTCGGGCGGTCTGTCTTCTTTTCTCTTCTCTTCTGCCAATAATCCCTTCTCCTGCAGTTATTCTGGGAAACGCGGCTCAGCTGGCAACTAAAACCAACAGTGGCTGAACATAGTCCACTCTTGTCTTGTCCCTTATCCCTAACTTCTCTATCTTGTCTCGTCAAATTGCCGTTTCTCTCCTGGGTTCCACTGCGACCGGTCTGAGCGTTCCTCGACTCCTGCCATCCGGCAACTTCCCCAATCAGGTTGGCCGGCTGCTCCATCGTGTCCAACGTATCCAGCAGAAATGTTCTTTGTTCCTGCGAGCGCTGCCGATACTTGCTGCGTCCGGCGTGGGTTCCAGAAAGTCAAGCTTTCCCCGTAGCTGCAGTCATGGACGACGCGTACTGCGACCGCATACCTCGTCGTAGGTTCCGCTGGCATTTCCTTCCCTCAAAAACGGGCGTCAGGGCATCCTTCGCGGACTTCGTCAGGATGCGATCTCGCAAAGGCGTACTCATGCTGTCCGCCGTGGGATTTTTCGTTTCCCTGCTCCTTGCCCTTTCCTATCTGACAGTCGGCGTACTGTCGAGTCCTCACGATGGGCACACATTCTTTGTAAGGCGCCCCCCTCTTTGTCGCCCGCCTTATCGTCCTTGTCCACAGCACACGGAACTGACCGCGATGGATTTAGGGGGGCAAGAAGGATCCGATGAGGCCGCCGCAGCAAAAATATCTAGAAGAAGCCGCATCATATTCAAGGTTCGTTTGGCGATCGACTAACGAAGGGGAAAAGAAAAGAAAAAAATTCCCCAGGGCGCGAATCACTCAACTGACAATACATCTCTTGAAGCAGCACATTTAAAAAACTAAAATCGACGTTGAAACGGATTCACGTACCAGAGCACTACCACAACCCTCACGTCTTCGATGATCCCCGCGCGGAGGACCCGACCCTTCTGCCCAAGATCTATCACCCCTATCCGGACTACGAGAGTTCCGAATGGAAGCAGACGCACCGCGGAAATTTCCAGCCATGCATGGGCCCGCGCGGTATGTACCTGAATGAGAGTCTGGAGGACAGAGTCGGAGTCTATGTTGGAATCCCGGAGGGTACGTTTCTTCATCGTTCTTCACACGGAAAAAGAGTTAGGGATGCGGATGGGCTGATGATGCGATAGGCTTCCCTGCACCTGTATTTGGTACGCACCAGACTATCGGACTCGATGGAGAGTTGTCCTACGACCGTTACACGAGATACGGACCTTACGGATTTGGTGAAGACGAGGATGATGTGAAGAACTGGATCAAGCCGGCCCCCGTGGATTGGAATCGGACCGACTGGGGCTCTTTGCAGCGCCAGTGTGTCGAGCGCAATGCTGCTCGCTATGCCCAGTCGACCCAGGAGCAGAGATCGGCCAAGGTGACGATGCGACCGGAGCATCGGACGGCGATTCTGATCCGGACGTATACCAACAAGGAATACTCCGAGGACGACAAACGCGTGCTTCGGGCCATGATCACGGAGCTATCCTTGCATTCAGGAGGCGAATACGAGGTCTTCCTGCTGGTACATGTAAAGGACGATACCATCCAGATCAACAAGAAGGAAGTTTACGACCAGGTCGTCCGCGAGACCATCCCCGAGGAGTTCTGGGGCATCGCGAAGCTCTGGAATATCGAGACCGTGCGGGCTCCGTACCCGTATCTCAATCCTGCCGTGGTGAATGTGCACCAGTCCCAGTGGTTACCCGTGTTGTGGTTCATGAACGAGAACCCACAGTTCGACTATTTCTGGAATTGGGAGATCGACACCCGTTACACCGGCCACCTCTACGAGTTCGCGGAGAAGGTTGCCGAGTTTGGGCGCAATCAGCCTCGACGGGGTATGTGGGAACGCAGTGAACGCTTCTATATCCCCGGCCTCCACGGCGACTACGATAATGAGTTCCGCAAGTACGTTGACCAGAGAGTCTATCAAGCCATTTGGGGTCCGATGCCCGCGCACGATGTCGAAAATCCAACGGGACCTCAGCCGCCTGTCAAGGATTACAGACGGGACAACTACAACTGGGGTGTTGGCGAGGAGGCTGATTACATCTCGTTCCTGCCCATCTTCAATCCCCAGAACACCCACTGGGTGCTGAGAGACGACGTGATCGGTTATGAAGGCATCACGACTCCACGACGCGCGACCATTGTGACGCATTCCCGCCTCTCTCGAAGACTATTGCAACAGATGCATCAGGAAAATCTGTATGGTCGCCACATCGGCTCCGAGATGTTCCCGCAAACGATCGCTTTGCTGCATGGCTACAAGGCGCTTTATGCCCCCCACCCGATCTGGTCGGACAAGCCGTGGAAGCTTGAGCGTCTGGACCGATGGTTCAACTCTGGTATTAACGGAAAGTCGGGTAACACCATCGACAGTCCGTTCTCGTGGGGTCGTGAAGCACGTTTCGAGGACTTGTCCTGGTACTACCGGTGCAATATCCCTGGTCGATTATACTGGAACTTCCTAGGATGGGAAAAGGACAACACAGGCGGCCCAGACGTAAGGACACCCCGGCCCCTCTCAGGAAACTCTCATGGCCTTTTAACTGACCATCTCCAGTATGAACGCCGCTACGGACGACATGTCTTGCCTTCAATGCTTTTCCACCCGATTAAGGATGTACAGCCAAATGCCGACAGCATGAGCTACCGACTCCCGACTTAGCCAATCCGGCTTTTCTTTTCTTCTAGACTTCGACTATTATCCCATTTTTTTTGTTTTTTTCTTTTCTTTTCCGCATTATACCTTCTTGTACATATTAGGGGAGCATGGGCTCGATTGGGGTACACCATACATACCATACCATTATTGCATATATGCATCTATGTATTAGCATGTCAGATTAGATTTAGCTTCTTAATGAGTCTCAAGACTAATTCAATGGAAGAGTCATTGAAAACCGCAACCATCGTTCATCTTTTATCAAATAGTTGAAAAGCAGCACTTTGCAAAGCACGCACTTCGCAAATACGCTTCCACGCATCCGGCAAGAAGCAAATCTACTCGCTACGTCATCACTCTTCGCATCGCCGGGTATATATCTCACATTCCTTAACGATACAAAGCCAAGACAAGTTTTCGCGCAATAAAAATAAGCAACAGGCTCAGAAAGTAGGGTATAGCATTTATCCACCTTAAAATTGGTCCTCCTAGAGAAAAGTGTAGTTAGACAGCGCTGGTTTATGGTACAATAATCTCAAACCCCGTCTTGACTCTACTCTAACCTATAAAATGTTGAACTATGATGTCCCAATCCATTACCTAGTATAGTAGTATAGTAAAAGGTGAGAAAACATCATGCGTCCCTGATCTCATTTACACGCAACCACCGCCTCTTCACTGCCCCTGCCAAGCATCTTGGCGTGGCGTCTAGAGTCAAGACAATAGACATCTGCCCATGTGCGTAAATGGCTCGATGGTGCGTGTGCGTGTCTTGACTCTGGTCTCTGCGTGGACCGTTGGTTAGGTATCTGGGTGATCTGCGAGTGAGGATGATCTGAGGTTCTGAGTTCCACATGGATGTGTTAAGACCCGGTTTTTGATGGATCAGGTAGGTATGGGTAGTAGGTAGGGTAAAGGGTGGTGACTACTATTATATGTAGTGGTGATGTTGTTTTGTTGTGTTGGGGTAGCTATGTTGCGTTTAGGAGGTCGGGTTTGTTGATAGAATATATATTTTCTATATGGAAATTTTCAAGCTTGATGTTCTTTTTATCTAGTCTTTCATTATGGGAAGTAGATACATTGACAAGGTCTGCTCGTTAGGAGGCTGAATTGTTCGTCTTTAAATATACTATGCGTATTTTAAAGAATCTCCAGAGACAAAACAGGGAACCTCTGAAGAAGGTCGTAGCTCTTCGGTGCACCAGCAGCGTTACATCTTGCTGGTCAAGTGGCTAAACCCCCGGATCATATTGGAATCCATTGCAGAAGAGAGTTTGTATTTACTGATTGGAAATTAATGATGGGATAGGAGCATTAATTCCATTCAAGCACCCTTTGTATCCTCAGCAGAAAGTTTGATGACATATTTCGTCGTAGTCTACAGTCATATCAGTCACTATGAAATCCCTTGACGAATCCAGGACCATCAGAGTATGTTTGTAAATAGTCGACTCACCTTACTATCAGTAAGTAACCTTGTAGTCTCCGTGAGCTTCTCCAGAGTAGTTTCCTGCACCGCAGGCACAACCACTCCTCTCCGAACAAATTCCACCGCTTCCTGAATATCCCCCCTAGAACCTACGGAGGATCCAATCACACGGAAGCCATTATCGATAAAATTCAACGGATGAAACTGCACCAGCTGGTCTGGCGGCGGAATGCCCACACAAACCAATGTGCCAAAAGGCGCCAATATCCTAAAAGCATCTTGATATGCACGGCCCGATCCTGCAGTTACTAGAACAGCGCCCGCCCCGGCCCCTCCTGTTATCAACTTGGCGGCAGTGGCCACGTCCTCTTCTTCCGAAATGTCGATAAATGCTTCTGCCTTCAGTCCAAGACAGTATTCCCTCTTCTCCTTCCCCATATCAATCGCGAGAACTCTGTATCCCATCGCGGCCGCATACTGGATTCCCAGAGCTCCAACCCCACCACCGGCCCCTGAGATCGCAACCCATTGACCGGGAACCGCGCCGCAGATCTTCAGTGCCTTGTACGCAGTGACGCCGGCACACATAATGGGGGCCAGCTGTTCATCAGACACCCCTTCAGGCAGAGTGACTACCGACCGCGCGGGAACGAGCGTGTATTCAGCGAACGTCCCATTGACACTTTTCCCGGAGAAAGTCTGCGTCTCGCACCGTGTCTCCCCGCCATCAGTCAGACACATAACGCACTTCCCACAACTATCGCGAATCCAAGAGACGCCGACGCGCTGACCGATTTTCAAAGATGGGTCATTGAGATGCTGCAAGGCTGATCCAAGAGCAGCGATGCGCCCAATCCCTTCATGGCCGAGGATGGGCTTGGTTGGACCCAATTCCCCCGAGGCTAGGGCAATGTCGGTGCCGCAGATGCCTGTTGTGGAGAGTTTGACGAGTAGGTCAGTTGGGCCTGGAGCTGGCAATGGGAGAGATTGTAGCTCGAAGACTGGGGAAAGGCCATGTTTCTGTAATCTGTCAGAATTGGGATATAGCATACAATATTATGCATAGTGTAGGTAGTTAACTAACCACGATAACGGCCGCTTTATGGGTGGATGGGCATGAGCCATTCATGTTAATTCGGTCGTACATTTTTTCTTATCCAGATCAAATTCTAGAGTTCATGAGATACTCTGTAGATGCATCAGTCTCATCAAGATCGAATAGATAGTACCCTATTTCAGCGTGGTATGCAGACGTTAGGCTCAGGGACGGTGTACTGTGCACACAAGTGACGGAACTCAATAGCATACACTTCAATGGCCCGCAGCTAAGACACTACCGCTGATATAAATACCTTAAGCGTATTCATAAAAACCAAATATATAAATATATCCGCTTCCATCAATGCCCATTTAATAATACAAGAAACAATGAGCTTGACTGAAGCGTGGCGGCGGGGAAGAAGTGGGACAGCTGCGTTTCGGATTGCGGGGCAAGTGGGATCAATGTCTATGGACTCTCTTCATGGAGTGTACTTACTCTCTGGGATTGGTTATCGACTATATCCAACTACAATATTCTGATTCATATAAATTCTAGCTGTGCAAGCATATAACTAACGTGCAAGCTCTCTATCTCTATACCTCAGCATACCGTATGGGAATTTATCTGTTCCAAAAGAAAGAACCGAACCTGCTCATCAGAAAAGGAAGCCATAACAGACGACCTTGAAGCCGCTCCTGCAACATTAGGTGTCAAGGAAGCCTCTTTACAATAGTCTTATCTTAGCGAGGCTGAGGTGCTCATAATGATATTCTTCCGCTCTCTCAGATGATATGCCAACTAAGTAGTCCAGTCCGCTTGGCTGCTCTCTATGGCGTCTTCTCCTCGAGATAGATATTTCGTTGCTCAGGGTTACTTCGCGATGCTCATTCCCATACATAAGCTGCTCCAACATTGAGGAATATGAGACTTTGTATCACGTATTCTTCAAGTTAACCACTTCCAGTCTTTGTGATCACGATTCAGGAGCCGCGGAGCGGAAGTGGAGAGCAGACTCCGTGTATGTGATCTTCTAGAGCGTCGATGGTTTCAGGTTATTGACATTGATAGAAAGATTCTGTTCTGGGACTGCTCTTCAAATAGTATTGGTTAACACCGTATGTGACGTGTCTATCGATGGCTTATTATCTCAATCATTGATACCTAAGGAATATAACTATGTCTGTCGGTAATCAATTATGGGCAGCTAACTAAGCTAGCTAGCGTGCCTCAAAAACAGAGAAAATGGCTTTTCGCTGAACTGCAAATCAAAGAGGAACTCAGAGGTCTCTACGATTCCTTAATGTGACATTGAAAAGACTGTTGTGTCGATATTGTTAAGCTCCAACCATTACTTGCTGTCCCACGTGGCCCAGCACCGCGAATACCAGCTTGTACTGGATATAGGGCGCTCGCTCAGTCCGCTTACCAATGCATCTTTCTCTCAACCATCGGGGAGAGTCCGATGGTCATGGTTGCAGTCATGGATTCGTCGTGGCGACTAGAGGACGCATACTGGGCAAGTCTTGTCGCACATGGCCGAAGACCACTAGTCGTGCAACAGCAATGACTGAAGCTGACTTTGAGAAGTGCCTTTCTAGGGGGAATTTAGAATTCATTAGGATAGTGGAAACCCTTGGGATTGCTCCTGTTGACTTACTTCCCATGCACTTGGGTAGAGTGCCCCGTGTTCTTGTCATCAGTGACAATCGACAATGAGCAGAGACCTATATACGCGATACACCCCGATGGACTTGGTGATCCTATGTGATCCTACCATAGTCTGGCAAATTCCACTAGATTATCCAGTCAATGAAATGCCTTCCATCCAGAGTATGCAGATTCTTCAGTGCTCAAGATCTGGAGTCGATATGAGAAACAGTAGGATCTTCTCGGTTCTACGAAAGAGTCCTAAAGCGTATTGCGATTCAGGCATCCGGGACATTCCACTACGCTTGAAATAAACTGATATCTCTTAGTTTCTGGAAATGGTTTCCCATACTGCCCTTAGCTGCAGCATGAATACGTCAGACAGACCTCCATTAGAGCACATATGACCTTTGGGCCAGCGGTACTTTTCGGCTCTTACCGACTTACAACAAGTATCCCTAGAGGGATATCCTTCACTCGATCTATCATATATGGGAGTTGTCGGCCGAGAAGTCTGCACTTTCGTGTATGTCATTGGGGAACAGGCGAATAATCAGTAAGATGGCATGATTTCCTGGTGCACGGACTGGAAAGTACGTAGGTACATGATGGTTATCAAACGCTCAAACCTCTCGGCATGTCCGGATACGGCTCGCAAGCGTCTTAATTCCTCCACAGCGAGTATTAGCCAGCCCATGGCGCCGATTTCCCCGGCTTTTGGCGCAGAAGAGGAGCAATAATGTCGCATCCGAGGCTTTACTCTATAACTACCGAACCATACCCCAGCTCCACTATCGAACGACCTGTGACCTGTGACATGTCTTTGGATGATAAAGTTCCGCCATGTTTATAATACAGAAGCTTTCTGGCTATTCCGTCCAGCTGCAATGCTTCCTAACTCTCTCCACGGTTAAGCACAGGCACCCCGTGGGGAACTTCCCCCACGCGTGAAGCCAACGTGCACCGGACTTGGTCCGATGAAGTCTCATGGTCTCACATCTCTACTTAACGTGGAAGGTTGGCTAAAATCGTATGATGGCATCCCCAAAGCGTGGGGGTAAGCTCGGGGAGGAGTTGATAACCGCCACCGGTTGCAGCGTCGGTAAAGGCTCCATGCAAGAGTGTATGTCATGCCGGGCTGTCTATTGGAGAAATCGGTATTACTACTTGTTATGTTTAAGGATTTAGCCTGATCACTCGGCCTCTTCCTCTCCGGAGTGGCTTTCCCCACGTTCCCCAGACCCCGCAGTTGTTACCCCGGACTCCAACTCTATAAGGTTATCAGGCCGTCCCGTTGTTGTCTGCAGAGATGAGAATTGCTATCCGCCAAGCTCTTCTACACTCATCACGTACTGTACTCTCGATATGGCGAAGGAGATATACATCAAAGACCATGAGGCGATGGGGGAAAAGGCCGAGATGGCGCACGAGGAGGTCGTGCACTTGATGGCATTGACGGAGGAAGAGAAGATCATTGAAAAGAAGTTGCGTACGCGCATCGATACCCTGATTATGCCACTGGTGATTCTGGTTTATCTCATGAACTACATCGACCGGTACGTTTTTTGAATAATTCCCCGATATCAATCTGTACATGTCGCTCACTGTCGCCTAGGAATAATTATGCAGCAGCCAAGCTACAAGGTCTAACAGAAGATCTCCATCTGACCGACGCGCAGTATCAGACCGGTCTCTCCGTCCTTTTCGTTGGTTACATCCTCATGCAGGTCCCATCGAACATATTACTAAACTACGTCGGCCGACCCTCCATATACCTGGGATTTTTTGTATGCGCATGGGGCCTGGTTTCTGCATTGACTAGCCAAGTCAAGAGCTATGGAGCTATGGTAGCATGCCGCTTCATCCTAGGATTCGTTGGTAAGTTTGTGAAGGCTAGTCACGAATCGATCAACGAGAATTGTAGACTGACGGAATCTTCAGAGGCACCATTCTTTGCAGGCGTCTTGTTCTACTTGTCAAAATGGTACACAAAATCAGAGCTTGCACTTCGCATGAGTATCTTCTACGCCGGCTCTCTTCTTAGCGGTGCATTTGGAAATCTGATCGCAGCCGGCATCCTCAGTGGACTTGCAGGCCACAGAGGCATATCCGCTTGGCAGTGGCTGTATATCATCGAGGGAGCCATCACTTGCGCCATCGGACTGGTGATTTGCTTCATACTACCGGACTTCCCAAACACATGGCGCCTTCTCTCGCCGGAGATGAAGCAAGTCGCCAACCGGCGTTTGGCGATTGAAGCAGCTGAAGCCGATGTGGACGAAGAGGGTGGAATGACCCAGCTGCGTGGTATCAAGTTGGCCTTGACGGACATCAAAACCTACCTCTTGGCTCTTGCGTACATGGGAATTACAGGCGCTGCTGGATTCCAAAACTATTTCCCAACACTAACGTCAACATTGGGATATAGCAAGATTATCTCTCTGCTGCTGGTTGCACCTCCATATGTGTTCATGGTGTTCTACAGCATGCTTCACTCACACCTATCCGACAGATATTCCCACAGATTCTGGTTCTTCATCTACCCCATCCCCGTCACTATCGTCGGATTTGTCGTTTTCATGGCGACCTCCGGCTTCGGACCGCGATATTTCTCCTTCTTCCTCATGATCTTCGTCTTTGCGCAGAACGGCACTCTATACTCCTGGATTGCTAATGCTATCCCACGACCCCCTGCCAAGCGTGCGGCAGCGTACGCATTCATCAACTCAATTGGCAATTCTGCCAGTATCTGGACACCGTACACATATCGCGAATCCGAGGACCCATACTATTACACGGCGATGGGAGTTTGTATCGCATTGCAAGTGCTTGCTCTAGTGTGTGCGATTATCCTACGCATCAACCTGCAGAGACAGAACAAGCGGCTTGAGCGCCTGGAGGATGAGGATATTACTCTTACGGAGAAGGAACTTCAGCGCCTACGCAAGACGGCGGAGATCGAAGGCATCGACGTTGCGGCAGCCAGGCGCCTGCAGAAAGGCTTCCGTTACACATTGTAGTTAGAAACTCATGATAGTTTGATGGGTTCAATAGGAATTTCAGGAATTATTTAATAGTACTACTTACCTAGTGCCTCGGGCTTTTCCCGTCTAAATCTGCTGTGCTGCCAGTCGTTCAGGATTGAATAATAAACTGTGCTCGAAATTCGAGACTTTACTAATGGCTCTTTAGAAGCCTTCCAGGCGTATTTGTAAGATGTACATTAGGTACATTGTCAATCTCATTCGGCTCCCGGGCCGTACTGTAGCTGGTCATGTCGAATCCTAAATAGCACCGAAGCAAGGTCATGACTTGAACATCGTAGCGGCACCAGCTATATCGCTTCCTTGCTTTCTTGGCTCCAGATCTAGGGGAGGTAGACACCATGTTTATGTCCTATGTACAGAATAAGTCTAGATATTCGGATCTAGTAGTTTGATCATGATACAGATGGATTGACGACAGGTCACCATACAAACGTCCTTTGTGCCGACAGATCGTTCCAAATCTATGGTACTCTTAAGGATGTCAGTTATGTCAAGTTCGGTCCGCAGTCCAGAATTTCTATTCGCCTAGCGATCCCATTGCTGACTATGCAAGGTAAATGGATGATATGTCGGAGCCTGTCTACACTACTGTACAGGCAGACCTCCTGTCGGTTTTCTTCCAGGCCTTTCTAGCTCCATCCACAGAGATAGATAGGCTGAGCTAGTTGCTAGAGAATTCAAGCTCAGCGAGCTTCTCTCCAAGATGATATGCTTTGAGCGCTGGCTCCGTCTGCAGAGACTGATGTTATACTCTGAAAACGCATCCAATGAGGAAGATGTGTTCATCAGGAACTGTAATAGAGTTAAAGGGGCAAAAACATATCTTACCACTGAAGGGCATGTATCACTGCAATTCCTTATTGTTTTCCTACTGTAGTGCGTTGCAAGGCTTTGTGGGTTTGTCGGGGAATAGAGCCAGTTATTGTGTTAGATGATAAGATAGCTTACGTTAATCAAACTTGCTCCTGTTGCTGCTCAAATCGAAATACAGTACGATAGATCTACACTCAAGCCCCAAGGATCTAACTACTCCGTAGTTACTGTTCTACGGATTATCTAAGTGATATTATTGATAACTATCAAAAGTCAATCTACTCACAGGCATCCTACTATCACAGCTGCTATCTTCCTTGATGCCCCAAGACGGTTCGATAATAACCATCAGAAACGGCCGCAACCACATGGAGCAGAGGATACAGTACGCGCCATAAGTAAGGGTTCAACAGGGCAGAATAAATCCCGTCAATGATATATCGTATACCCTTAGGAAGCGGAGATAGATAGTAACAGCTGACAGCAACAGCTAATTATGCTATCGCGCAGGCATGTTGTACTGTATATCATCTTTTCAGGATATACCAACGATTTATTCCGCGAGATAGACGCAAAAGTTTTCTCGGTACGTCTTCAGGATGATGATTACCGAAGTTCCCCTTGCTGCGAGGTTTACTTTCATTGTGGACTCTCTCGGTCGGCCCGTTCCATCTCTTTCCCTTCTGATTCACTGGCTTGGCCCACTGCTCAGCCAGCCATGATATCGTCTCCCATACTGTGGATATTGGATAATCCAATATCCCACCATCGTGGACGCCTCATTCTTGGGGCGAGGACTTCAGAACATGACTGGCCGTATATCAGTTCATGATGGCTCCGGTCTACTCTCTGCAACAATGTCATGGGACGACAACCTTGGCGGTGTCGACCGCTGATCAGCGTCAAGAGTCAAGATTGACTTCATCGATTCCGCCAGACACGCATTAATGACTCCACGCGATAAACGGCGTCCCACGGGTACCTTCAAATTGGCGAAATTGGAAGTCTATCCGTTGACAATACGTTGACAGGAGGATGTTATGACGATAGACGATGAAGGCAGAGGAGCGGCGTATCCAGACGGCATCTTGACATAGGATTCAAGACCTGGAATTCGAAAATTCGACACAAGAGCAAATGTTATGCATCCCCAATGCAACGACATGTTCTATACCGGCAAACCCTGCATGTGGCGTATATGTGCGTGGATATTTCCTATCCCTCGCACCTGACAACGACAAGACATATGCTCTTTCGCGTGGATTAATCGAGTCTTGCTGCAGATATTGATGAGCAAGGGACGTTTCAGGAACAGCTTTCACTTATTGGACTCGGAGGTTGCTGGAAAAAAAAAAAAAAAAAGGTCAATTGTCCGTGCCATCATCTTCCGCAGCTAATTAACTGACAACATCGCAATCCGATACGGAGTATGCAGTCAATGGCATTAAATCATCGCCACACACTGATCGCCGCCTTCTCCGGGCAACATGATTATTATTTCAGAGAGAGCAATTTTCGTTGGCCGACGCATCGACTGCTGGCGTCATGGCCAGTTCCGATCTTCTGGTAATGTGTGTTCTTGAGCGGCACAGAAGATCTCGACTTCTTAGAGTAATGTGTGAACATGGTTTCCGATCCTTTTAATTGGTCTTTTGCGCATGGCAGTACCATAAGCCATGCAAGCCCGTCACAGCGCCCCAAGACCAAGACCACAGGCTAGACAAGCATTAACAGACACGCCTGTGGACATCCGGATGATCGAGCCGAATTCATGATGCATAATGGCCATCAAAGCCATCAATTCCATTCAGCCAATTCGGTTGTATCCAACGATATCTTGCTCAACATTTCAGTTGCTATTTCTGAAGTTTACAGTTCCAAAATAATCGTGAGCCCTCTTGATGTCTATAAACCTAATGATAACCGCAGTGCCACGGCTCTTTTGGAGTAGATGAATAGCTAGCTACCGGAAACCTGGGCTATGTACATACGTACCCCCAAGCCCCAGCATCAGTTCAACGGTCGGTGAAGTATGGGTCCCCGTTCTCGTTACGGCCGTTAGTTGATACTTCATCTCCACAAGTTGCGCACTTATGGTAGATTTCGGTCGTTCCGCGCGGAGCTCAGACCAACCGGGCCATGGCCGTGTTCTCGTTGAATTCTGGATGTGTCAACTCGATTTCAGCTTGAATTTACTATTACTTTTTCCAGCGTTGCATGAAGTAGGGGTATTGCCATGGCTGCTACAATGTCTAGATGTGATTTGCCCTCTAAGGGACCTCATTCGGTGTACGGCTTCACCGTGGCGCGGCAGAGCATTACTTCGACATGCCACAACTGTGGGAATTATTACTTACCATGTTGGTAGACTTTACTCCGTACGGTCCGTGTGACGATGGTACGCCCTCTAGCGAGAAGGGGTAAGTCGACCTTAATGGATGACAGCTCGTTCTCGACCCGCCACGCCCGTGGCCAACCGTTTAGCAAACGTCGTCTCCCCGGGCCAGTTCGGACTGGGTCTAATTAGTCCCTGTTTGCCCTTGCTGGATCAGATGTGTCCAGCTGGCAGCAGCTAAAACCGCGATGAGATCTCTTGCGATGTCCTCCGAGATCTCGTCCCTCAAAATCCGGCCGTCTCGTTGGCCGCAACATGACGCCTGGTCGCCGAACGTGTTCATTTTGTCTTCACTGCACGGATAGTCTCCCTCAGTCAACCCTATCGACGACTGAGCGAGCTTCAATTGTCTGATCCTCATGCCACATGGTCGAGGACCAGGACCAGAACCCCGGGGGCACGGCCGCCACGATAGACCGGAGGAAGGCTGCGAATCGTCAGGCACGATCATGCCGCGTATGTCGTCTACGCAAAGTCAAGGTACGTTTCTGATAGAGTATGTCTCTGTCCCCGCCTGTCAACGCCTGACCGTTGATGCCCGTGGGCCCGGCCCGCACGGGTGCCAACTGTCAGATTGGATATGACAAGCCTTGACTCAAACAGCTACGATCGCGATCCCGCGGACAAATGATTAAGAAAATCTAACCAGAAACGCCATGCTGAGCTGATCTACAGTGCGACCGTGTTAAGCCGTGCCACGCGTGTTGTGCACATGGCCACCCCTCAAAATGCGTCTACGATAATCCTCTCGACGAGGATGAACTCCAGCCCATCAGTCAGTCTGACGAGATCCGAAATCTGAGGACCGAGATCTCAGAGCTGCGCAGTCGGATTAACAGTCAAGGTAAGTAACTTTATGTATGAGAACTTGGGCGGATTGGCCGCGGTTGCGTCAAACAAGGATACCCGGCTAAACGCAAGCTTGCTTCAGGAAATCGCGCCCAGGGACACAGGCGGCTGGCCGAATTGGAACGTGTCTTCGAATCGATCCGCTCTGCGCCGTTGGACGTGGTCAACAGTATCATCTGGCAGATCCGAGCTTCACGCAGTAGTGCAGATGGACCGGCTTTATTACCGAGACCCGCCGATGAAGCTACAGGTAGGCATCTCCCGTGCTCTCGAATCATCCACAGGTCCAAAAGTAAGAGACGCCGGTGAAACCTCCAGTCTGACTTGCATCTGTCTCCGCAGTTTACCCCGAAGCCAACCCGGAAGATGCCAGCATAGTTACAGATGGGCCCCCATCGATTCCACCAAGGAATTTCCCCGTACGGAGCCGGACGCCTTCTGCAGATAGCATTGTCGATGAGTTCACCGATGACGGCTATGGAACCAGTGGTGGTTTCGGAGCGTCTGTCGGGACATCTGAATCGCAGTTTGGCGATGAGGAGCAGTATGTCTGCGGGCCCGTGTCCCGATTTGCGCCTCAGTCACCAGCGCTCGACGTCTTCCTTCAGCGATTTGTCGATGCTTTCAGTCCAGAGGTAGATCTCAGTTCCGGCCGTGCTGGGGCGATCAGAGCCGGTGCCGAGATCCGGATGTTTTCTCCCATGATCTCCAATGCCTTCGAAGCCGTCTCCACTACCTTCTTTGGCCGGTCTATTCAAGACCCACGCATTGAGGCTTCAGGGTTGAAGCTGTACCCCAAAGTATTGCGCTCATTGCAGCAAGCACTGCTGGACCCTGAACGGAGCCGATCCGAGGCGACCTTGGTCACTGTGACGCTTCTTATGGCATTTGAGGTACGCATGATCGGTGTGCCAAACTCCACTGAGAAAATAACTGACTTGGTCCAATTAGAGTATTGAGCGGACCACTCAAGGTTCAATCGCTGCCCACGCCATGGGAGCGATGCAGCTATTTCGGCACCGAGGCGCTGAGAACCATATATATGGCGTCGAGCACCTTCTCTTCACCGAGTTGCGACCATATTGGGTATGTCGCTTCTGTTCGTACTACCGTGACTGCTGTGTGCTAAGATGGTCTTAGGTTGGAGCTGCGCTTGTGAATCGACGGCCTTCGTTTTTCGCAGAAGAGGCGTGGAAGACGATTCCATGGTCGGCCGGCACAACCGTCAAGGATATTCTGCACTATCTCCTGGATATTGTGGTAGACATCCCGGCCGTGTTAGCACAGTACGATGACCTGGAGGCATCACAGAGCTCTGGCGTACTGGGTAACGGAGAATTGGTTGCCAAACAGACAAAGCTCTGGAACGGCGTTACAGATCTCACGCAGCGATTTCTCCAGTGGAAAAAGGATTGGGTAGACAATTACCCAGCGGGATCACCAAAGGAGGTGGATTCTCAGGGCGATGACTCCTTTCCGGTCTTCCGCTGTCGCGACTTGCGCACCATGAAGATCATCACACCAAAGACGCTTGTATACCCGGACCTCCGACTGGCACAGACCATGTGTGTATACTATGCGACTCGCCTGATTCTGTCCTCGGTTGATACTCGACCGACCGGCCGGGTGACGCCCGCTGAGCAATATACTCTAGCTTGCAACATCTGTCGCAGTATGGAGTGCTATCTGCGGCAAGCCCCGGGCAATATGATCAATCGATTAGCACTTCCTGTGCGCGTGGCCTGGGAAGCCCTGCCCACGAAAGGCGTGGAACGGGAGTTCATGCAAGAGATCTTTCGCCTGGTCGAAAAGCGCCATTCACTGAGTTTCTGGGGTAGTTCCATGCCGGAAATTTCGCCGAGGGCTGGTTCCCCTCCGAAAGTAGAAGGTGGATGAGGGTACACGTCGACATACTCAAGCGACCGGAGGATTGGGTCATCACGGGCAACGACTGATCAGCGAGATTCGCGTAGATGACGACAGGGAACACTAGTTTGGCAGTCTTTCAAGCCCATGCGTACAGAGAAGACATTACGACTGAGGCCTAAGTCATCCGGACGGCTTCTTGAGTTGCTCCACGATGATGATGACGATGACGACGATGATAATGTGATATGCCACGACTCATATAATTAATATAGGCGACGGTGTTCGTGTATCTTGTAGAGTATAAGTGATATCCAGCGGAGTCTCGCAAGGGATAAGGGTCATATAGTTAGTTAATGGAAGCACATGGATGATTGACTCGAAGAATTCTTCTAGACAGCTGACATTATTCTCTTCGTTTGGAGTAAGGCGGCTTGTTTTCCCCGGCTGGTCCGTGGAGGTATGTGCTCTTCTGCTTCTTCCTAGAAAAAAACAAGAATATCTCCAGGACCCTGACCGGCCCTAGAAGCGATCTTCAGCCGAATCTCTTTGGACCCACCAAAGCTGAAGCTGACGAACACTAGCCAAGGCCCAAGAGTAGCGTTCGCTGCTCGTCTGCGATCTCACGGTTCCTGTTCGTCAATGCTATTTGGAAGCTTCAATAGTTCCCGCCGCGTTCTTCAACTAGCTTGTCGCCAATCATGACCCGAGAGTAATTAAACTCCATATCTACAACTCGTATCTTCATTTGTGTGCAGTCAGCCAGTCACAAACTCCCAGGTATTCGTACGGGCTCCCGACACTCTGGGGACGGACCGCAGGCCTAGAGTCAGCTAGGGCCTGGGTCTTCATGTCTTGATGAGTTAGGTTGTTACTCTCCTCGTATCTACTCCCCTGGGTTCCGGGACAATGGTCACTAGATAAGCGGAGCCTGCTGATTTCAGCTATCATTCAAGTAGCTCTGCAGCTCAGTATGGGTCGAGTATAAGATGTCGCCCGCTTTCTGGCTTCCCAGGATATGTGCGTGGAAAGTCTCGTTGATGCTTTGATCTGGAATTGAACCAATCATTCGTTCGGTTTACTATTTTTTTTTTCTTTCTGTTTGTTGCGTGTTGAGGACCATCATATATCAGACATAATGTTTCTCCCCTCGTTATCCCTTGGGCTGCTTCTCTCATCGTCTGTCGCCTATGGTTTACCTACCAACTCAACAGCATCCAACAGTACTCCGTCACCTCTACGCCCTCACAATGATTTCTCCTGTCGCAGCACCGAGTACCCGAACCCGGTCGTTCTACTCCACGGCCTCGGCGCGACATATTACGAGGACCTCAACTACCTCGAAGCCTGGTTGCAGATCCAAGGCCATTGCACATTTTCCATAACCTACGGTGCATACGATGGTTTCCCCTTCGTCGGAGGCCTCAAGCCCATCAATGAATCGGCACAAGAGATCGCATCCTTCATTCAGGAAGTCCAGACCAAAACCGGTGCCGACAAGATCAACCTTGTCGGACACTCTGAAGGTGCCTTCCAGAGTCTTTATGTACCTAAGTTCACGGGCGTGAGCCCCATCATCGACAAGGTTGTAGCCATTGCGCCTCCGACTCATGGAACCACCTTTGCGAATCTTTGGGACCTTGCGTACCTCCTCGGCAACGGAACCCGCGAAGCCGTCGGCGATGTCTTGCGTGCTGTTGGCTGCGCTGCCTGCGACGATCTCAGCGTTGGTGGAGCGGCGATTGCGAAGCTGAACGATGGAACTCCTATCCACCAACCTGGTAATCAATTGACAGTGATTGCATCCAAGGATGATGAACTCGTCACTCCCTCAGGCACGGCCAGCTGGGTCGAAGAGGACGGAGTGACGAACGAATACGTCCAGAACACCTGCTCCTTTGACCCCGTCGGACATATAGGCGAGGCGTACGACTTGAATGTTTGGAATTTGGTCAAGAACGCCCTGGAGGGGACGCCGGATCGGGCATTTACCTGTGTTGTCGGATCACCGGGCAAGAGATAGTTGGGTATATAATTGATTATCATCTAGTTTTATGCATGCTTGTGGCCTTACAAGAAAGGAAGTCATGATATGGATTGTAGACGTTTGTTTGCAGTTGAGAATACCCGGGTCATAGTACGTTTTGCAATTTGAGGGAATTTCCACGCAGAAAAGTGTTGATTTAATTTACTACTATCGAGTTAATCATTGTCTGCTAGGAGCATATTATAAGGAACCTATCGCTCAAGAATGATGGCTACTCGCATGGCCTCTGGAAACATCGCATTGTGATATTTCTGCGAAAACAGGCTCCTGGCAGTCCGGGTCATTTTGCAAGCACCATGGGATGCGGCCCTTGTGGCAACGGAGTTCCTTGTCAAGATGATAGAGACCATGACCGGGCTGCTTGGAAACTCTTACCACCTGTTGGAGCAAGTCACCGATGTCCTTGACGTGCTTGGATTCTTTACGCAAGAACTTCGTCTGGATAGCGTCCGTGAGGGAGTGATTGTTGCATTTCTGAGCCAGCGCGCACAATCGCTCTAGATCCTGGAGCACGTTCTTCTCGATACTGAGAGCCTCCCTGACCGGGTGGACGGGCTCGACTGGGTGGTCAGGCCATTCGATCTTGGGAGCCTCAATGGCAGTAGGCTTGGAGCGGCCACCACGGGAGATGAGGTATTTCTCCAACCAGTACATGTCTGCGAGGCACTCGGTAGCACGACGCTGCCAGAGCCTAGAATGGTCAGTTTGCTGGTCAGAAACACCCTCGTGATAAAGGGAATGCTTACATGGAGAAACCATGCAGCGCGATATTGGTACGAGCGCAGTCGGCTGCCAGCTTGCGGTAGAACATCCAGGTGGTCAACTCCTCGTGGATGTGACCTCTCACTGACTGATTCTGTTAGCCCCAGAGTGCAACGTGTATAGTATCGATGACCATACTTCTTCCAATTCAATGGTGAATGTTTTATCCCGCACAAAGTCGTCGAGGTTCGTATTCGCCATCTCAGCGATCACCCTCTTCGCTTCTTCAGTACTATGCGCCATCTTGATAAGATCAAAATTCGAATCAGTTTTAATGGTTAGACTATTTCCTCTTGTGCTGTCTGTCTGTCTGTCTTGCTCATTGGGAGACTGCGCTAACACAAAGGGCATAGAGTGCTCATATACTTCTACTGTCGAGACCGAAGCACGAACCAGCAGATCATCATGACAACATATCAAGAAGGGCAATTCGTCTAGGCCCGACAATCATACGGGGTCCTTCGATCAATTGATAGGATACCAGGTCCGCCGATTCCGCACAACTCCCAAGAAGCAGCCATCGGATATGTCGGCTGCTCTGTCAATTCGACACGATCACCCCAGTCAGGTACCAGTGAGAGTCATGATGAGAAAAAATGATTTCTCCATCGGAGCCGATCCGTGGACAATGGACATTTGGAGACGAAACTCGCGACAGTCCCGTTCGATGTTTCTCAAGTATCGTTGTTTGTTGTCGGGGAACCAGAGCTATTGCGCCCATCTAGAATCGCGATTGAGTTTCCTATGTCTAAACGCACTGCTTGGTATCGAGAGAGTTTATCGAGAGTTTCATACTGGGGAGTTCCGATGCTGCGTCAACGGTGAGCGAAACATGACATAGTTTTTATGTTGGCTGCCACGTAGTACCTGTGGGAAAGGTAGGGCCGTATGTTGCCAGTATGATGAATGAAATACATAGTAAGCGGGGCCTTATATTTTTTTCGCATCTAGTCTGTTGAATAATGTTCAATAGGACAAATAGAATAATGTTTATGGTTCGAAAATGATGCTAAAGTCCGGGGGAAGCGGGACTGGCCATCCTGGCCTTAGTGGTATCCTTTCCCAACGAATGAGATTGAAGATTTGCGATGATTAAAACATGGCGCTATATACTATCAGACATTCGAACATTCGAATTATCTCAAAAGAAGAAGAAAAAAAGACATCATTGGAATGACTCTATTGTTTCCCTGATACTCCCATCCATTTCATAAAGGCAGCGATGAATATGTAGCGCTTGTCCGTCCGATAGCAATGTCTGTCGTCACTACGGAATCTAAACGAGTCCTCCTGTGGTTGGTTGATATATGGATTTGTAATTCTAATAGTCCGGGCTCTCCACATGTGGATGAGAACTAGTTACAATATTCACATGAAGCAGAGCAATACTTTCTAATGTCAGGGAGACATGGCTTTTAGTTCTCAAGGCACGACCGACATAGCGATGCGGAAACGGCAGAGGAAAAGCCTGCAGAGTCTCTCTGGGAGTGTAATTGGGGTAAAATAGATATACTGCCCGTTCTGGATTCGGGGGTATGCAAGATCCCTGTTCACCACGCTATCCATATTGACCATAGCAGGAGATGCTAGTGGTCTTCCTACCTTAATTAACCGGCCAATGGCGGTCGAGGGCAGAAATCGAAATATAACTGGTCGTGCGATATGCTGTCGACGGAAGAAGAAATTATTATGTTGCATATAGATGACTTCATTTGAATACTAAGGTTCATGGCCAGCTGAACTGCACAAAGAACCTACTCGCGCACGTCGTTACGGTGGGAAATCCTGATGATATATGTTGCTATCTCACAGATGTGATCGACTCACTCCCAATGACTGCGCGACGTCTTTGACCAATTTACCAGCTTCCGATGCCTTTTCCAATGTATGCCAATGGCCCACTCCGGACCAGCTCACTAATTCGACATTTCGGTTTCCCAAGCTCTCCTTGATCGCACGGCATGTTGCGGGCGCAGATACTTTATCCTCCTCGCCCGAAACAATGACGATTCGATTAGCGCGAATCTTGCTCCAGTTGGGATCTGTCGCTGCTGCGAGCGCCTCGCAGCCCATCGCGTAGCCTTCTTTATCCTGTCTGGAGAGCAGCTCACGAACATATCCCACTATCTCTGGGCGCGATGCTAGCGTCTGAGGAGCCAATGCAGCGGAGGCTATGGCATCCGCCGCTGCGGCCATACCTTTCTGGCGGACTGCAACAGCGCGGTTTCTGTTGGCCGATTTAGCAGCTTCTGGAAGTCCCTTTGCTGGTCCAAACAGCACGAGAGCAGAGGCCAGATTCGGCTCACTGGCAGCAAGATGCATGGCGACGAGACAGCCCATGGAATGCCCGACAATGACGGGGTTCCTGGCCTTCAGGTGGGAGATCACGGCTGGCAATAGAGCGTAAGCAACTATATGAGTTCCTCGAAAGAAGACGGGGGTGTCTGCGAATTCAGGTCATCCTACCTTTGCAGTCCTCAACATATGTCTCGATGGTGGCTTTCTGTGACGGTACGGAACTCCGGCCATGTCCGGATAGATCAAATCGGACGAGACGGAAGTTTCGAAGAGAGGTTATCAACGGCTGGAATGTATTGAGAGTACCGCCTAGGCCATGGACGAAGAAGATAGTCTGGCTGGAGGCTTGTCCTTCTTCCTCGTAATATATCTGGCGATCATTGACAGCAATGAAGCCGTTGGACGTAATCGCGGACGCCATTATGGATGTCTGTCAGATGTAGATACTAAGTTATTGTGTTTCCTAGCTGATAACATGCAACTATTCGTGTGCTATATAAGTTGCAGTCTGTCATGATCATCTATGATGCTCATCGGATCAATGGAGGTGGGCCAAACGCGGGGATTCGGTAAGTAAGCAGATCCCGTCGTCGGGGTCTGAAGAAGCAATCGGGATGGTTCGACAATGTCGCCATCAACCGAGTTTCATATCATAACCCTCGGTTCATGGAGATGCAGGATCTCTCGATACATAATAAGAATGCATGTTGAGTTCTGCTAGTTATTCAGACAGTACTTGGCTTTCGGCTTTCGGCTCTCCGCTCTCACGTGGTCTGCAGTGTCTTCGCAAGTGCCGATGGCGTTTCTTCTTCTATATTGAATTTGAAGAGTAGGGTTTTCGAACTGCATATATTTCTGGTGCATCTAGAGTACCTGAGGAGAACTCGGTTGCTCATATCTCCTTTCAAGCGGGTCTTTGTCGAATCGCAGGCCCATATTTCCTGCTCTCATCTTCACGTAGACACCATTACCGTCTTGCCACAAGCGTCAGAACGTGAGACAAGTGCAGGAAAGAAATCTCAGAGCCATGTGTCTTCCCGGAGAATACCTGCTCTATGGGTCGTGGATCCGAAAAAGCACCTCGTGATACGGCTCAGCTAATAAGTAGTGCAGTTTAACACTGCATTTGCACTATCCGTTCAATAAATGCGCCTGGCAGACCTCCGTGCAAGTATGGCAACCGCATGCGTAGAAAAGTGGGTGTTAACCAAGAGCAGTTTCAGCGTCAATGCTCCTTCAGTTGGTTTTCGGTTCTCGAATGCTATACTTAACTACTTGGCCCCTCCCAAGATGTCTCGTGCAGTTCCTTGTTTCTGCTTGTCATCTCCAGGAGGCGCTATCGCCCGATATGTTTCCAGGAACGATAATAATCAGCACAGATGGAAGGAAAAGGAATTGTGCAGTGATCCTACCAAATAATGTAGCAAGCCGGTCGCTTATCACTTAGACTATCACGATAGGAACACGAGCGAGGAGCTGTTAAGTATCGTCCTTCCTAATTTGGTCAGGCTTCTGTCGGTCGAGCTGTTCTTCCACCGACACGACGAATCAGCGCATATCGACAAAGAATCCGTTATGCATCGACGTCTGCTCTGTGCAGTCGATCGGATAGAGACCGCCGTTCTTGCTCTCCGCTTCTTTTTACCTTTCCCCACAGAAGCTATGCGGGATCAGGAAGCTCCCATGTTTTTGCACGGATAAACTGGAGGAGCAAGTAGATACAGAGTGCACATATAAAGCAGTCGATATGGTCACCGCGATACACACAATGTGACCTATGTTTTGGTCCACTTTCAGTCGCACTCGTGTCCTGCACAAATCATGGCTCCTTCGCTAGCGACACTATTTAGCGTCGGGCTGTCCCTGTCCGCAGTTTTGCCTCTTGGTCATGCTTCAGCGACAGGTGAGTCGGCTGTTTAATTCCTTCTTTTTTCTTTGGGTCAATTGCTAAGATCTGGCAAGCGAAATGTGAATACCCTCCGTTGATAAACGCTACGGCGGATGAGCTTCAGGCTGGACTCAGCGGAGGATGTTTTACCAGCCTCGATCTGGTTAATGTTAGTATTCTTGCACTCTTTCAGAACCTGCACAGCGCTGACTACTAACAGACTTATGTTGCAAGGATTCAAGAGGTCAATGACACATTGCACATGGTTACACAGTTGAATCCAGACGCCTGGCAGATCGCGATGCAACTGGATATTGAACGGATGACCGGCAAGGTTCGAGGGTATGTTTCTACAGTAGCTTTGGCCAGTATACTTCTCGCTGATAAAAGGTACCAGGCCACTTCACGGTCTCCCCATTTTGATCAAGGCCAACTTGGGCACTAAGGATAAGCTGGAAACAACCGGTAATATGCTGCAATGCGTCCCTGTTCGAACTGGCTTCTGACTGCACTCTAGCCGGTTCTTATGCCTTGGTTGGAGCCAAGGTACCCGCCGATTCGACTGTGGCGGCCAAGCTTCGAGAAGCTGGAATGGTCATCTTAGGGAAGACTGACCTCTCCCAATGGGCGAACTTCCGTTCCTATAATAGCTCCAATGGCTGGAGCGCCTATGGAGGGCAGACATATGATGCTTATTTCCCTATGCAAGATCCTAGCGGAAGTTCCAGTGGTAGTGGTGTCGCATCCGACCTGGGTCTCGCGTTTGCTGCCATTGGGACAGAGGTAAGCATTGTCTTCGGGGGTACAAGCAGTAGATACCGTCTGACTCATGAGACAGACGAGCGGCAGCATCGTAAGCCCCAGTGAGTTCAACAATCTCGTGGGCATCAAGCCCTCTGTTGGCCTGACCTCTCGGTACCTGGTTGTGCCAATCAGTGAGCGTCAGGATACCGTTGGTCCCATGGCCAGGACCGTCAAGGACGCCGCAAAGGTGCTCCAAGCCATTGCAGGGAAAGACTCAAACGATAACTACACGATGGCGATCCCATTCAACGAATCTCTTCCTGATTATGTTGGAGCCTGCAAATTGGATGGTCTCCAAGGAAAGCGGATTGGTGTTGCCCGCAACGTCATTGACCTGTCCGCAACAAATGATTCGGCCCCTATCATCGCAGCTTTCAACAATGCTATCAAGATCATCGCCTCAGCAGGCGCTACGATTGTTGAGGACGCCAACTTCACAGCCTACGCCACATATGCGAACAGCAGCATTCCGGAGAGCATACTGCAAGCTGATTTTGTCAGCGATATCGCAAAGTACTTTTCAGAACTCGAAACCAATCCCACCAATATCCACGATCTCGCTCAACTGCGTAACTTCACCCAGCATTTCCCGCTGGAAGACTATCCCAACCGCGACACTGGGATCTGGGATGCTGCCCTTGCGGCGGGCATCAACAACACCTCTCCAGAATTCTGGCCGATCTATCAGAAGAACTTATACTTTGGCGGCAAGGGTGGGATCCTGGGAGCTCTTAAGCGGCACAACCTCGATGCCGTCATCCTCCCAACTGGCATGGCATACCCTGTTTCCGCTCTGGTCGGTGCGCCTCTCATTACCGTCCCGCTTGGCGCGTATCCGAAAGGCACCCAGGTGGAATGGAATAGTCGAGGAGACCTCGTGGAGCAGGGACCAGGGACGCCGTTTGGGATCAGCTTCATGGGTGCGAAGTGGAGCGAGGAGTCACTGATCGAGATGGCCTACGCATTTGAGCAGAGGACATTGGTAAGGGGGACATTGAGCCATTATATCCAACCGCGGACGGAGCTGAAGGACGTTGTAATCTGAGCGCCTACAAGTCATGGTCTCGTAGCGATATAAATAGAGATACCAGAGAAAGGAAGATTAATGGCTTGATCCAATGACTGCACTTATCGGGGACGATGCCAGTGCTGTTGCAAAGACCGAAGCGCTGGCCTCACCCTAATAAACCCGAGCTTAAGAGCATCACGCGAATAAAGATGACGGCGCATTTTATCCATCGAGGATCTTCATGGATTTAATGCATCATGAAACCATCAGTGCCTATAATAATAGAAAATCTCGACACTGTCGTGGAGAACTTAAGAATATACTACGGTCTGGTCTGATTGTGGCTTGCCTCGGTTAGATAAGATACCTAAGAGTACAAAGTACATGTAGTTACATAGTTCACTAGTTAATAATCCACCGTGGCGCTGGTCATCGTCGGTCAATAGGCTAATAATGAATAATAGAATAACTCATACTGATAGTTGCAGTATTACTTGCTGAAAAGACTACTGTTAAAAAATCCTATGATTCCTGTTTTATAACACCGTGGAAGTGTTGTATAACGATCAACAACCCCATTTCTTTATCTTCGGATGATATCCCGCTTAATAATCCCGAGAACCAATTAGCAAAGCCATCACAGCACGCGCTCCTTTAATCTCGACCACGTTCTTCAACAGCTTCTTCTTGTTCGGAGATGCCCACCTTGTCGATCATGCACATTATCCTGGACGCTGCAGTCATCTCAGCGATCTAAGAGAGTAGAACTACGCTCGTGCGTGTTTGATAAAACCAATCATGGATAGAGAAAAAAAATTTTTTTTTTTCGTCCTTCGGAACAGTAGTATCTTGGCTTTTGGACACTGTCGCAAATGGAGTGGGCGCCAAAGGGTTCGGGAAAGTCGAAAAAATGGAATCCACAAAGGGCAGTGCCAAGGGTCAGTAAACAGTACTTAGAGTACTAAGGAAGGAAGTGGTTCTCATTCTCATTCTACTGTATGTACATGTTTAATAATACATACCTACTTAAGCACGCAGCCCAAAAATGCTCCCCATCCTCGCAGACATTCCGGAAATTCGGGCCTAACAGGTCTAGCCAACGTATTTCTCTGGGGATCTATAGATTAAGTATTTGGGTTTTTTTCTTTTGCATAGTTTATCTCGACTTGATGTGGCGTTAGAGACAACACAAAGCGCCGGGCGTCTCAGTGGCCCGCGATTCGCATACAAGCAAGGTTTGGGATTCAAGTTCCTCGACGGTAGCAGTTTAGCTAGTTACATATCTAGTCTAACTACCTAGCTAGATCCGCATTACTCTTACTCCAGATACATCCCTGTAGCCCGGTTAAACTCACGGATAGCCGGCACAGATCCGAGCGATAGACTAAGGCTACTGCAATAATGGGTCCTAAGCTGGAGACTGATTATCGGCGATGGATCCAGGATTCTAAAGCGTTAAACATCACCACAACCTGCTATGCTAACCACTGATCTCCGCATGTGCTCTCTCCGCCACCTCTGAGATCTCCGCCAGATCTAGATCTACCACCAATGAAGAGTCGGATGCTTCTTTCATGGTCACTGGGTAATAGGTATTCGCGGTCTGACTAGCGTATCGGCTTTGGACTTGTCTGGGCCGATATTATAGCATAGAGATTGATATCATCACCTGGGTCCATCATGTCGCTCCTTCCTCCGGTTCTGCACGAGCTATGGCTTGGTGCGGAGGCCTTCCTGGGAGCTAGATTCTACATATCTACGCTGCCCACGGAGGAAGCCGAGCCTTTTCTCTCTCAGATCGCAGCCTTGTTCGAAGGCCCGTCTCTGTGGTGCTGGATTCGGTCTGTACTGCTGATGATAATCCGCACGACGGTGTTTTCTGGTCTATTCAGAAACTTCCCTTCGCTCGCCATGCTTTCCATGGATGTGTCCTCCGGCACGGTTCTTGGCTCGTTGGTGGCACGGTCGTTGGATTTCACGCAATATGTCAATGTTTTGTGAGCGATATCAGCTACATATGTTGTAAATGTTTATCCACAGGAAACAGTTCTAACAGCGGTTAGCACGGGATCTCAAAATGGCGGAAATGACTTTCCTGGAGTCGCCCGCCCGTTCGGCATGGTCAAATTGGGACCTGATCTGCTCGTCCCAGGAACGGATTCCTATTCCGGCTATCTACCCAATGGGAACTTTTCAGGTTTCAGCTTAATGCACGAGCAAGGAACCGGTGGTGCTCCGAAATATGGCACTGTCTCTCAACTTCCCATTGTCGGTGTCGTGTCTGATCCATTGTCCAACTTGACTGTTGGGCGAGCTGTCGCAGACCAAGCATCCGTGGGATACTACAAGGCCCAGACGACGGATAATGTCACCGTCGAGCTCGCTGCTTCGGAGCGGGCTGGTATGTACCAATATACCTTCCCGGAAGGGGTGTCGGGGAGTATCCTCGTCGACGTCTCACATGTGTTGCCCTCCTTCAGAGGACAGGGTCTGGGGCAGAACTATGAAGGTGGTCAGATCGAAGTATTCCCTGACGGCCATTATGAAGGCTATGGAACTTATGACAACGGCTGGAATAGGGCACCAGACTGGAACATATACTTCTGTATGTGCATGGTTGAATGATCCTGCGGAAGGAATAGGTTGCTGATTGTAAATAGGCGGACATTTTGATACTGCTCCCGTCAGCAACAAGACTTATAGTGGCACTGATGCTAGTGGGAGCGTTGAACAGGCCAGTGGATCTGCATTCTCCAGTGCAGGCGCTACCCGAGTCGGCAGTCTGTTCACATTCAGCAGCCCTCGAGTCGTGTCGCGGGTTGGAATCTCTTGGATCTCCACCGCACAAGCCTGCCAAAATGTGCAGACCGAGATTCCACCTGGAACTGACCTGCAGACGGTCGTCGACGACACGAAAGCAGACTGGAATACCAAAGTGCTATCCAAGATTACGACCACGAACACAAACGAGACGAGCCTGACACTGTTGTACACTTCGTTGTATTTCATGCATCTGATTCCCACCAATCAAACTGGCGAGAACCCGAGCTGGAGCTCCAGTGAGCCTTACTGGGAGGATATCTTCACTTACTGGGTTGGTTTGCCTCCCCAATGACTTTGGTCATGCTGTGGCCTTTTTGACTGTTGTTCTAGGATCTCTTCCGCTGTTCTACCGCTCTGATGCAGGTCCTGCAGCCAGATGTGTACGAGGAGCAGATCCGATCTCTCATCGATATCTGGCGCAACGAGGGCTACATGCCTGATGCGCGGTCATCTAACTACAATGGACGCACGCAGGGCGGGTCCAATGCTGACAACATCTTGGCCGACGCGTATGTTAAGGGAGTCCGCGGCGCCGTCAACTGGCAGGACGGTTACAAGGCGATGCTGAAAGATGCCGAAGTAACCCCTCCAAACAACGATCCGGATCCCATGGCACCGGATTCTTCAACCAAGGAGGGCCGTGGAGCTCTTCCAGACTGGCTGAGTCTCGGCTACATCACTCCTCGATTCACGCGGGCCGTAACTCGCGCCGTCGAGTATTCTTGCAACGACTTCGGCCTCTACCAAGTGGCTTCCGGCCTTGGTATCCAGGCTGATTCAGCGAAGTACCTGAACCGTTCTAGAAACTGGAGAAATCACTGGAACCCCAACCAGCAATCACTGGGATTCTCGGGCTTCGTCGTGCCCCGAAACACCACTGGGTTTATCGCCACTGATCCATTGACTGATAGCGGATATTGGGGCGATCCATACTACGAGGCCAGCTCGTGGGCGTACACATGGGCGAGCGTGCATGACATGAAGCACATGATTGATCTGATGGGCGGTCCTGACACAGTTCTGAAGCGTCTGGAGACAATGTTCACTCCAGGTGCTGGAGGTGGTACGGGGATCATCTTCGACTCTACTAACGAGCCGTAAGTTAATTCTGCGGAGGTCCGTTGACATTATTTCCAGAATGCTGACCAGGTGCAGAATGTTCAATATCCCGTACCTATACAACTATATCAACCGACAAGACCTGTCCGTGCTGCGATCCCGAAACGTCGCCAAGACCTACAACACCGGTGTGGCTGGTCTTCCTGGCAACAGTGATGCTGGCGCTATGCAGACCTGGCTCCTCTGGAACATCATCGGTCTCTACCCCATCACGGGCCAGACGACCTTCCTGATCCACTCCCCGTGGTTCGAGTCCCTGACGATCGACCTGGGTAGTGGGAAGACGCTTCAGATCACCTCCACCGGCGGCGATGGCAACGGTGACAGCTCCTTTTATGTCCAGAGCCTCAAGGTCAACGGAAACCCGTGGAATCGCAACTGGCTCACCTGGGACGATGTCTTTGCCCAAGGAGGTACATTGGAGTTCGTCCTTGGTGATAGCCCGACTGATTGGGCGACGGGTGACGTGCCCCCAAGCCCTGCTTCAGAGGCATGAGCATGGGTATGCGTAAATATATAGAAGCAGCGTAGATATATAGCATATCTATAGTACATAGTATATAGCATTGATAGGCACAGTATATATTGGATGAAGCGTATCTGTGTTTGAAGCTTGTAGTAAGTAGTTGATTATGGGGAAACGCGGGGACATGACATCACGTCCCGCGGGCGGTCTGAGCGCATCCAGACTGGTCTTTCTCCCCGCATCCAGTCCAGCTTCGTTGCATCGCCTGATAACTCTAGAAAAGCCTGCCTTCGACCCACGGTTCCGCTTCGTTTTCTCCTCTTCTGGGTAGATAAACAATCGATTGTCTCGAAGAATACTCCTTGACCGTCTCTTTTGCCTCCCAATCTCAGGACGCTTCCATCTCCAAGCTACGATAATGATGCCCCAGGCCCCGGACGGCACAGGTCAGTGAGAGACTCTGCTCTGTCTGTTGATTTCATGTTTTCTCTGTCTGGCTTTTCCCCTAGTGTCGTCCTATGCTCAATTCGTCCAGGCGTCGTCCAGCTGGACCCGTGGCTCGAGCCCTACAAGGAGGCACTGCGCACCCGCTTCAGTTACGCGCAGAAATGGATCAAGGCCATCGAGGAGAGTGAAGGTGGACTGGAGAAGTTTAGCAAGGTATGGGATTCACCTATCTGATGATAATGAAAGAAGCATTCGCTGACGGGTTGATTGAATAGGGCTACGAGAAATTCGGGCTCAATGTCAGCGCAAACGGAGACATTACCTATCGAGAATGGGCACCCAATGTGATCCAGGCCCATCTGATTGGCGATTTCAGTGGGTTTCCGGATTAGAATTCGACGATGGGCTAAGAGAGTGCTGACTGGGTAGATAATTGGGATCGTACCGCGACGCCTATGAAGAAGAACGACTTCGGGGTCTGGGAAGTGACTCTACCGGCGAAGGATGGAATGCCTGCTATTCCGCATAATAGCAAGCTGAAGGTATATTCTCCGGGCCAGGGTTGGTGGTGATTACTGACGTTGCGACCAGATCACGATGGAGATACCCGGCGGAGAGCGTATTGACAGACTGCCAGCCTGGATCAAGCGTGTTGTCCAGGATCTGTCAGTGTCGCCTGTTTACGAAGCCGTCTTCTGGAACCCGCCCGCGGAGGAGCGGTATACCTTCAAGCAGCAACGCCCAAAGAGGCCCGAGAGTCTTCGCATCTACGAAGCTCACGTCGGTATCTCGTCCCCGGAGACGAGAGTCGCGACGTACAAGGAATTCACCAAGAATATGCTACCGCGCATTAAGTATCTTGGATATAACGCGATTCAGCTTATGGCCATTATGGAACATGCCTACTATGCCAGTTTTGGGTACCAAGTCAATAACTTCTTCGCGGCCAGCAGTCGATACGGTACCCCAGAAGACCTGAAAGAGTTGATCGACACCGCGCACAGCCTCGGTCTAGTCGTTCTCCTCGATGTCGTCCACAGTCATGCATCGAAGAATGTGCTGGATGGTCTGAACATGTTCGACGGGACTGATCATCTGTACTTCCATGGAGGTGGCAAGGGTCAGCATGAGCTCTGGGACAGTCGCCTGTTCAACTACGGTCATCACGAAGTCCTCCGTTTTCTGCTGAGCAACCTGCGGTTCTGGATGGAAGAGTATCGGTTTGATGGGTTCCGATTTGATGGTGTCACGAGCATGCTCTATACTCACCACGGCATTGGGACGTAAGTGATGCTTCGTTTTTTGTACTAGTTGAACTGAGCTGACCGTTGCAGTGGATTCTCCGGTGGATACCACGAATACTTCGGGCCCTCGGTTGATGAAGATGGCGTGATGTATCTGCAGATAGCAAACGAAATGCTTCATCAGCTCTATCCTGAGGTTATCACAGTGGCTGAAGATGTGTCAGGAATGCCTGCACTATGTCTCCCACTCTCCCTCGGTGGAGTTGGCTTTGATTACCGTCTAGCAATGGCTGTCCCAGATCTTTACATCAAGTGGTTGAAAGAGAAGGCCGACGATGAATGGGATATGGGCAACCTTTCCTTCACGCTCACAAACAGAAGACATGGAGAAAAGACAATAGCCTATGCGGAGAGCCACGATCAAGCGTAAGTTTCTTCTATCCTCGATGCTGAAGCGTATACTGACCAATGCAGACTTGTCGGAGATAAAACCCTGATGATGTGGCTCTGCGATAAGGAGATGTACGACCACATGTCAGTTCTTTCACCACTCACGCCTATCATCGAGCGTGGCATGTCACTGCACAAATTAATCCGTCTGGTCACCCATGGTCTCGGTGGGGAGGGCTACTTGAACTTCGAGGGTAACGAGTTTGGTCACCCCGAATGGCTTGACTTCCCACGCGAGGGCAACGGCAACTCTTTCTGGTATGCTCGTCGCCAGCTGAACCTGACGGAGGACCCTCTGCTGCGATACCGTTTCCTGAACGAATTCGATCGCGCGATGCAGTTGACAGAAGAGAAATACGGCTGGCTCCACTCGCCTCAGGCGTATGTGAGCTTGAAGAACGAGACAGATAAGGTCCTGGTGTTCGAGCGCGCGGGCCTGCTCTGGATCTTCAACTTCCACCCAACAAACAGCTTCACCGATTATCGCGTCGGTGTCGAAACAGCGGGTACGTACCGCATCGTACTCGACTCCGACGACACCGAGTTTGGTGGCTTCGGTCGTAACCAGAAGGAAACGAGGTTCTTCACCACCGATCTACCATGGAACGGAAGAAAGAACTTTGTGCAGGTCTACATCCCGACACGGACAGCACTTGTACGTATCTCGAGATTCTTCATCCTCCACATTATATACTAACATTTCTATAGGTTCTAGCTTTGGAGGAGACGCTGTAAATTAATTTACTTCGAATGCACATTACCGCTGACGCCAATACACTCTCTGATGTCCTGGGCCTACTTTGTTTCATTTTCTATTCTGCGCAAGACTGCAGTCTTTATCGCATTTTCGATCCGTTGTCATTAATAACTGCCCATGTCTCGAACAATGGGTAATCTCAACAATGCTACCATATCCTCTCCAGTTTGTCGGATGTCAAAGTAATGTTTGAATGAGTAAATTCTATATTCTATATCTATACAGTTATGAGTCGATGATTCAGAATGATGATAGCGCATCTCTTGGTCTTCTATATTAGTCCGTAAACATGGTGCTTCAGAGAGTGGTGTCTCGGAGTACAGCCCTCGTTTCGTATGTGACTGATATTGTGTGCTTATCATCACAGATTGGTCTGAGTTCCACCGTTACATTTGCGGGTTGGATTTTGCGTAAGCACCAGAGAGGAAGGCTTTTCTTGCGCCATAGGGATAAGATCATGTCTGAATTTCTATGATGTCCTGCTCTGGGCCAGTACTAGTTTTCACAAAATTTGGGTGGGTTTTCCTCGTCCTTTCTTCACGGGCGCAACAAAGGTGAATTTTGGCAGAATTAGGTCTGAGTCCGCTAACTGAATGTTTGTTTAGCAAATGTGCGATGCGATTTCTGACAAGGTACATACATATGAGAAATATCGCATTTCCAGACTAGGTCAGTATCAGCCACAGAACATGTGGCTGCCTGAGATAAATCTTGAATTCGACCTGTCACTGGGCTTTTGCTGGGGAATTGAGACGCCGCTGGTCAAGATGCTTCTCTACAACAGCTATTTCAATGTTGTCTTGGATGACGGACACCCATCGTGCATGCGTGAAGCCAGTAGCGGACAAGATTATGACTGGATTCTTTTTGCACAGTCCTTAACACTTTCGAGATCCTTAGGCATCATCCAGGTACGCACCTTCCCATTTTATCCCATCTGCCTCACTGATGCCGAAGATCCAGATAACACCTCGCTTTCCAATTTCCCATCATATCAGATTCAGACGAAAGCTGCTGGTGTGCAGTAAGTAGGAGAGGTTCAGGCGATAAACATCTACCACCTACTAGCACTCCGCATAGCTGACATGGATAGAGACCAAACGAAAAATTTGCCTCCGACGCGCAATAAACCCGGTCAGAAACGCTTTCGCTGACTCAAGAGATCTGTGATATGATCGGGGAATCCGATCCCTGCACTTTTAGCGTATATGAAACGGAGATTATCCCCGACATCCGGTCCATCTCAGTGTTTGAAGGAATTTTCAGCTCAGGCGATGTCCAGGAAGGCAGGCATTCATCATAATATTTTTACCCCTGAACGGATGAAATAGTAACGGATCGCAACATATTGCTTGGTTAGGCCTTAGCGTGTCGCAGGGAATAGTTCCAGAAGTGTGGCGACCGCATGATGAATTGAATCCCAGATTTCTTTTCTCGTTCTCAACATGACCATCTGACAGATCAGCGATTGGGTTCTGGCAGTGGCAAATCAGATACCTGCTCGATATTGGTGCGCTCAACCCATATGATGCACGTTCTAAACGTGCCAAAGCGGCTTGTTATTCAACGTTGAAACGATCAACAGAAGCTGTGGATGCTATTCTCGCCAGTTGAACAGTACGAGTACATTCCTATCCTGGTTAAATGTATATAGGTAAAAGTCATCACACGCTCTTGGGCGCAGTTACAGGATCAGCGTTTGGCGGTCTCCTATTGACATTTTCGACATCAGATAGTATTGGTTCGTGATTGCTTCAGAATCATATAGTAAGTCATGTGGCTATTTGCTAAAAGAAGAGGCCAGCAGCAACTCCATTTGACCCTGATCCTGTCTTGTATTAAGGTATGGCCACCTCAATGCCCTAATTCAGAAAATCGATGGACATTCTTGGCTGTCGAAAGACAAGGATCTTCTCCCTTACTTCCCAGTTAGTCCTCGGGTCTCGTTCAGCTCAAGAAATGGAAGAAAACGGCGCGGAGAACATGCATTTAACTATATCGGCGCATGTCAGCTGAGGGTTCGCTGAACATCGCTTCCATGCACACTGTACACCATGCACACTGTACAGTACTTACATATACGACAACAGGGGGCATCCCAGGCATTATAACGTCCGCCGCTAAACTAACGCCTCCAGGCCCCTGATCGCTCTACGAACCCTCTTCTGCTGCTTATTCTTAGGATTTCGATAGAGATTTCCATCGATGAATTAAGCTCGCTGGCTAAGCACTCGCAACCCAGGACGGAATAATAATATCCTTTCAGTGTGGCGTTTGTATTATTGCCAAGGCCCTTGTTGACTGCCGAGAGCCGGTAACTAGTCTTCTCCTCCCGTTCCCTCAACCAGCACAGAGACGTGGTAAACAACTTGCTCGCTCACCCAGGATCATAGAGTTTGCCCGCAGAGGAACCCAACGTTGCTTAGGGATCGTCAGAATCGCTGCGCTGTCACTAGTTGCACTCGTGTTCAAGACCATTGCTTGCACGGAGAACGGCCGTAGGCGCTGATTGTCGAGACTCGAGACAGAGAGACGAAAGCCTAGCCTGGCAAGCCCTCGGTGTTATTTTAGTCCTCCCTGTCGAGCTGGCCTTACGCTAGGGCCCAGGTATCTGTGGCACCGCTAGACAAGATGGTTTCCATATACTATTTCTGACCCGGAAAGATGTGATGCGGCTCATTTTCACGTTTTCAATCTAGACGGAGATAGTACGACAGATAGGATCCGACGGTAAAAGGTCTATTGAGTCTCGACTTTCCGATTGTCTGGAGATCATCGCTAAGGCTGCTCGGCACCGGACGACCAGATGCCTACGACGATCCCACGGAAGCATTGAGTATTCCGTACTCTGGACCAGTAATGCACTCGATCCCCGTCAGACTGTTGCTCCTTGGTTTGGGATACGAAATGCTGATGCTGTGGCTGCAAATTGAAAGAACCAACCATGGCCGAGAGTATAATTACTGACGGTATCCGGAAGCACCTACATCAAACAACAACATCATCCACTGTTGGACGGCTCGAGTACTCAGAGGGAAATAGGAAGGAGACAGGAGGCCAAAGCCATATGGAGATGGAAAATCAAGCACGTTGACCCCACCAGCTGAGACTTGGAAGTTAACATTGGACAGAGCTGCCACTGATTTCCGTCAGTCGAAGTCGGTAGTTCCGATGACAGCTGCGACGATCATTATTCAGATTAAGGAAGTCTTAGAAAGCAGCCTGCAGCTGGTCGCTAAGCGGCTAAGGATAGCTCTAGCCTGACGTCCATGGCTCATCGACCGGGCCAGCCACATCGCTACGCCTTTGTGGAGTAGTATCAACTAGGACCTGCCATCGGCCCTACGGAGGGCGGCATGGTCTCGTTTTGAAGACGCTAATCAGGCCTGGAGGAAATCTTCTCCGCCCGAGTCACAGGAGGACACAAGCCTCATGCTTGTGCGTCTCCCTACGACTCTGTGGCTGCCCTGGGGACGGCCCCCAGTTTCGATCTTGGTGAGCCCATTAAGTACGGAGTATTATTGATAAATTCACTGCTGATATATGGAGTAAATATGCTAGTTATTATTCTCTTCGTTGCTAGATATCCAGGGTCCTGTGGAGCCACGATCTGGTTCGTTCCGTCATGCAAGCTCACCGCGTGTCACATTTCATCGCTCGCGTTAAGTATTTGAGTTGTTCCTTACCGTGGATCCAGTCGCGCTGTCTTCTGTCCCTACCCGGTAGGGATGATCTCTCCCGCGTCCTGCGAGAACTGTTCCCGTGATGATCTCACCATCCAATGCCCTTGTGGATTATCTGGGGCAGATCTGAGAAACGAGGTTATGGACATGGAGGGGGTTCCTGAGCCACGGCCCCGTCGAGATCCCTGTGGCGCCCGGTTAGGATCCTAGCCGAATACATCCCGCTGAACCAGACGCTTTTTTTGTCAGCCTCTCTACGACATCGTCTTTCACTGCTTTAACCCAAGTACAGTAAGCACTCGACCAACTCCAGGCATTATTATTAGAGTCGGTGCGGAGAGACAGCCACACGTCCAGGCTTTCCGTTCGGTATCCTGCCCTGCCTCGGGGATCAAACCGTAGGTGAAGCTGAAGTACCTCGACCGGAGGTTACCCTAATGTAGCTGGGCATGATTGGCTCGCTGGTATCCAGAACACGAAGATATCTGCCCCTCACAGTCGAACCCTATGGCGACGGACAACAAGCGCTATCGGATGTTTGCCACTGTGGCTGGTACGCTAGGATCGCAATGTCGAATAAACATCAAGCCTTAGCGGGAGTTCCGCCCTTTACCGGCACGATCCCGTCACTTCACTACGAAGTATTTTGTCTTCCTGTGTACAATTTGCTCGCACGTCGAGTACTCCGCTTAGCACCGCGTCGGTCATCTTCCAGGTGGTCCGTACGAAGCCATAAGGACACGGAAACTCCATCAAAGAGTGGAACTTGAGGCTGAGGTGTTCCCCCTAGCCACACTATCACTGGAGAGTATAATTCCATTCGGGTCCTTTTTTTTTTTTTTTTTTTTCAGGGCACGAAGAAATCAATGGCTAGCGAGGGGATGCATACCATGTCATCATGTAGGTAATTCGATCTTGGAACAACATTTTGACGTCTTTGCACAGCTTCATGATTGGGACTTTCTTGAAGTTCGTGCTCTTGCGCCGACGCAGCTCGAAAGGCTATCCTCGTGTTACGCCTCGGTTCACGGCTGAGATGAACTTGCGGCCGGCTCTTTTCTGGGCACCTGAAGATCGAACTTTCAAAATGGCAAATAGAATGAAAGGGATGGTTCCCTCGGACAAACTGTCCCAGATGTAACGGTTTCTCCGCCCATTCCTGTCAAAACAATGGTCGGGTTTCCTGTCTCAGGGGAAAGATATCGATCAATGCCATCCGGCCGCTTGGAGACCATCTCTGAGAGCGCTCCGTCTATGTAGTCATTTGTCCGGTCAAGGACGAAACGCATGCAGGAGTTTTGCCAGCCCCGCAGGCGGATCTCTCGTTCCGTATTCATCGGTGGGGAGTCCAACCATAAGATGCAGACATCTCAAGGGTCTTCTGCGAGCCAGAGAGATATACTTCTGTCAACATGGATAATCGGTGAGCGCGACATTAACTTTTGAGCTAATGGCTCCGCTTCAGTGGATATTGTGGCAAATTGGCTGGACTGGCTATGCCCCTACGTCCCTACGGTCCTAGTACAGTACTACTAGATGAACTTGCATGAGGCTGGAGCCGGTCCGACGTACGGGAGAAGGAATGCGGCACGCCATGACGTTCACCGCCACACTTTCTAGTCTGGTCCAACTTAGTTCGTGTCATAATCCGTGAGACTATAGACTCTATGTGCGCCAATTGCTTTGTGGATATCGCACAGACTGATTCGATCCTGGCTCGCAGCCTTAATTCTTCACCCCAGACAGCGCCCCCTTCATCCCTAGTGATCGCTTCTGATCACAGCTTCGTCGAAGAGCAAAAGTCGTCAAAGTATTTAGGAGTGTTTACTCCTACAAAGTAGATATCGGGGAAATATTCATGCATTTGCTGGGGTGGAGCTCTCCCGATCTTTCCTATCACATCTATGGTTGAGGCACAATAAACCCTATGGATAGAAGCGCCTCACACATCCAAACCTCGGCAGAGATGTATGGAGGAACAACTCCATGGGTGCGTGTTGGGATGCTACAGTCTATGATTCTCTCAACGTGCTTTTTGACTGACATGTCGTCTTCTCAGCCTGTGGATTGGAACCCACGATACGGAGTGGGTCTTTCGACAGCAAGTTCACTGCCCAATTTGACTCAATTCGATCATTCTGGAGGCTTCATCCTATCCAACTCACAATACGACGCTCCTCAACCTCAGTATCCTAAACCTCATCCAAGTTCTCTACCATGGAATCCCTCGCAACGTCAAATCTACTCATCCGGTTGGTCATCTATTGTCCTTCGTTGGCAAGGCTGTGCTGACTCAATCTGGGACTCAAGGACATGTGCGACCTCTATCAGATGTCCAACATACGACACAGGCAGAGGTTATAGCCTCTCATCCCTACATGGTCTATCAGAACCCAATGGTGACAGCACCTATGGTTCAGACTTCATATCCACCAAGGTTTGATCCGTTGGGATTAGGCCCGAAACCTCCAGAGGGGCTACCTCTGAATCTACCAGTGTCCCCTCATCATCGCCTGGGCATCGTCGAACCTATCCAGCAGCAGTCTCTGGCTAGCAGTCCAATCAAATCGATCAGGGTCGGAGATGAAGCTACGATGGTGGCCTATTATGAATCAGCATTCCATGCTTTGCAGCAAACGAATTGTCGGATGATCGCGAAAGCGTTCATTAAAGTCGTCGAACCTAGGAAACAAGCGAAATACCCGTACAATGGAGGAAAAGGGCCGGATGGAAAGAAAGGGGACCCGGAAAAGACAAAGCCTGCTTGGTGGCCTACAAAAGTCACCCACCGAGAACCAGACCATCTGAAGAAGCCAGGTAAGATGGGCATTCTTCTTTGTTTTCAAGGCTGCGACTGACATATCTGGGATAGAACGAGTTCGATTACTTATTCATCTTCTGCGAGGCCTGGACAAGCGACGCGGCATCACGGTCGATCAACTGGAGGATGCAGGCCGCAGCATTAGGCGGCGAATAAAGCCTGCCGATCGTCTGGATGTTCTGGCCGAAGTCTACCGTGTGAGAAGGGTAGAAGAACGCTACGAGAACGGAGAGATCGGTAAGTAAAGATGATGCTATTGATATCTGTTGTTTCCCAACTCTTCTAACCTTAACAGATGGTAACACGGAAATCTACGTTGTCGACCGAGGCTGGAAGACGAGCAACGACGAGGAAAACCGCTCACCAACCCCTACTCTACAATCAGAAAACACACAGAACTCGCCTACATCCGATTCGTACCCTAGAAGCGTTCCCAATAGCACACCTGTGACTACCGAAAGCACTCTATACCGTGAAAATGTTGGGCCTGTTCAAGCGCCCATTCACCCACCAGTCCAGCCGCCTATCCAGGACCAGCATAGTCCAGCAGCCTACATGCACCATTACAGCCATAACATGCCCCCCCGATATCGATGAGAGTCACAGTTCGAGCGGGCGGCCATTTCGTCTAGCGGGAACACGATTAGTTTCCGTCAGATGACGAGTATTGCTCGCCATATTGTTTCGCACCGGGCATAGTTGAACCCCCTTTCGCTTCTATTGTCTCAGGTGTCTTATCATGTCAGCTTTATGTTTATATTTATCATGCATTATATTATTAGGGTCACTTATTCCATTGAATAATTAGGGAAGGGTTCGGGAAAGCGTTTCGGGAGCGAAGGCTCGGAAGTCCTGGAGTATTTTGGTCGAGATGAATACGATTGAGTTTGGGTTCTTGATAATGATATGAAGGCGCTATGTGTGCTGTTATTTCTTATTTCCTGATCCTTTTTTTGTGCGTTCGAATCCCACTTTTGTGGAGTGACGAGGCGCTTTCATCGATTGGTTTCGTTTGAGGACGGATTACGTGTGGAAATGGTGATGCCGCCCACCCAACAAAGCACAAAATATGTCGAAGGAATTCGACCTGTATTGTCCACCAACACACCACCTCTTTTCCTTGTCGAGCACGGGGAGGGATGAGAGGTATCTAGGTCCGGCCTAGAGGGACTGCGGTGGTCTTGTCATACGTCTACGACGTTACGCTCTTTCGGTTATTGTATGAGGACTTGGAAGACAAATTCTTGTGGGAAGCGGCAGTGGCCTGTTGAGCAGATGACCCAATGTCTGGCTCTCATAGCGGGGAACAGAACGCATTACAACGATTATAATGTATTAGCATGTGCAGGAAAAGCGTGAACTTCCGGCATTCATGATTATTCTCATGGAATAGGCGTTCTTCTCCACAATATCTTTCAACAGAACTAGAAAATCCGTATGCTTTAGTGAACCAGGGACCAGGGATTCTGACGGTCCCGGGCGAACTCCCCTGTCTACTATGAGGTTAGAGTGAAACAAGCTGCCAAGTGGAAGCATGGTATCCATGCCATTCAGCAAATCAGAGTATCGTACATGTTCTGACTCCAGAGTTGGCGGTAAAGCGGTAACTTGCCGACTAGCTGTCAGGCCGACTTCAGACCCTGTGCGCTCGGGCATATAAACACGTCCGGCCTACCTATTGCAGACGTAGACCAACTGATTCGGCCGACTTTGTACTAGGCAGGGCCTTGTCATTTTTTTCTGGCGGCACTGCTATCGGCATGCATAATAAAGTTTCTGATACAACCGAGAAAGCACCGATCTTGGGTCTCTTCGATCTGGACCCATCTGATGTCCGCTCTCGCGGTGCTCAAGAAGGACTAAACCCGGAGCTCGTGGCGTAGCCCCTTATTTTGCAGTTTACTTAGCCGCACGGCGCTTTCCAGCGTACACCTACGGTCGGTTACGCCCTGAGTTGCGGAGAAATAGTGGAGGGCAGAAGGGACAGGAAAAGAACAGAAGAGAATGGGGGTGGCTAGTGAGTCGGGAGGTCCCTACTACATTCCAGCCTCTTTTTCAAATTACTCCCCCTTCTCAAGACACATAAAGAAGACACCTAGGCCTCTTCGAGACATCTCTCGAGTATAGAGTACGTCTAGGGCTATAAGGAGGAGACTGTATATTTTAAATAAATAACTATATATAGATAACTTATAATTATATTAGCTATATTAAGAGTATAATTAAATTACTTATAAGTATTTAAACTTTAAATAAAGATATATTCTTATAAGGCTTAACTCTTTTACTTATATTAAGAAAATATTTAAATATTAATTAAGATAAAAAAAATAAATATACTTAAAAGTTAAAACTTTTACTTATATAAAAGTATTATAATATAAAGTATAAAAAGAATAAATTCTTTAAGTCTATTAAAGTATAGACTTAGAAATTAAGTTAAAATAAATTAAATAAAGTAATTAATATTAAGACTAGCTATAAAGTTTATTAATTTAAGCTAAAAATAAACTATTATTATAAGTAAGCTTAATAAATAAAATATAGCTTAAAGAGTTAAATTTAAATTAAGCTATATAATAAAGATATTAATAAAATTACTTAACTCTCTTTATATTAAGTTAATTTAATTTAAAATTAAAGTTATTATAAGATATAAGCTTTATACTTTTAAAAAAGCTTTAAGAACTTTAATTATTAAACTATATAATTTAATATTAACTTAATTAAAATATAATTATTATAGTTTTTTTAACTAAGTAATTAAAGAATTTAATTTATATAACTTATTAACTATTATAAATAATAACTTTAATCTTAAAAGTTATATAATTTACTAATTATATAACTTATTTAATATACTTAAATTTTTTTAAATTTTAAAATCTCTTTTAATTCTTAATAAGAAAACCTTTAATTATTATATTATAAGGTCTTTAGCTATATATCCTGTATAGCTATTACCTTTAATAGAAAGCAGTACTTAGTATATAGAGCTTAGCAATTAGGATAGTATATTAGGACTTTAACGCTAACTACTATAGAGGCTTTAATACCTTATTTTATCCTATAGAATGGCCTATTTAAGTTCTTAATTAAAACCCCGAATATTAGCTATTTTCTCTTTACCTCTTACCCCTAAATATAGAGTATAAGAGCTGCTAATATTCTTATACCGACAGTACTTAATATTCCCTAGATCGCGATTATAATAGACCCTAGATTTAACTCCCTAGATTTAATACATTTAACACCGACCTTAGACAGTACCCGCCGGATAAATCCCTTAGACTAAAGCTTATCCCTAGACTTTATAATACTAGATAACTCTAGAGCCGGAGTTAAAGCGGCCTATTAAACTATTAACCTATCCGGGTAATAATCTGCAGCTGCTCTTATTTTATATAGCTATCTTATACTTATCTACTATAAGAATTATAGTTATTAATCTGTATATATACTCTAGTCTAATATAAAAAGGGGTCTTTAACCCTAGCCTAAGACTAAATATAATATATATAAGTGCTAGTAGCAGGAGTTCCTTATACTCTTAATACCTTCTAGCTAATATATTACTTATAGTATAATAATAGTAAGCTTAATTATTAATATATTACATAGTAATTATAAGGCTAAATCCTTATACTAGGCTAACTCTTAGTATCGCACTATCTTATTTTTTTTTTTACTCCTTTTATTCTAGAAAGCACGCTAATTAATAGATAATCCTTATTAATTAGTCTGGCAGAGCTAGGCATTTAGAGAGGGTATATAGCCTAATTATTTAAAGCTAATTACTAGAAGTAAGTACCTATTTAAACTATAAACTGCTAAATTTAAAGTTATAATAGCTAATTAACCTTATTCTCTAATACTTCGCCTATTTTTATTTCTTTACCTTCTCCTTAGAGATCTCTTTTATAATAGACTTATCTATAGAATAATTATTAGTATTATCTAATTAAGTGCTTTTTAAATCTAAGCCTTTATTTAAAGTCTTATTATTAGACTTAGCTATATTATTATTATTTAACTTAGACTTTATAGAGCTAGAGGCTCTAAAATATTAAGAAAAAGGGCGGGAAGAGAAATAAGAGAAAAAATAGGAGAAAGAATTAATACTAACAATTATAAACTTAGCAATATAGGCTAAAGCTAAAAATACTATATCTAACTAAGAGGCCTTATCTTTAGCTTAATCCTTAGCTTAATCCCCGGCAGATATATTATTTGCTTTATTAAGGACCTTATAGTAATACTTATAAGATACTATATTAAATATAAATACCTGCATAGTAATTAGCGAATTATATAGAATATATAATAGGGCTATAGTATAAATATAAAGATACTTCTTCCCCTTAAATATAAAGTAACTAATTAAATTACTAAAGACTTAAAGAATATATCCTATATTAATAATAGGAAATATCTTCAGATTAAACTTTAGGCTAATTATAACTACTACCTAGAAGATAATATATTACTCTAGGCTACTCTTCTATAGAATATCTGCATTAACTGCCTTACTACTATAATTATATACTATTAGCTATATATATAGTATTTAATACTTACTAATAGCTAGTAGCTTATAGATTATAATTATAATATAAGATAAAGAAGGCTCTACTATTAATAGTATATAGTCTTTATATATATTAAACTCTAAGTTACTAAGTATTTTATAATATAATAGTAAGTTAGCAATAAGCAAATATTAGCTAAAAAGAAGGGCTTTTATAAGGTAAGATACTTAGCATAAATAAATAAGATAAAGTAGCCTTAATCTATTATCTTTACTAATAAATATCCCTAATAGAATATAACTATACTACTTAGAAAAGTTAAGTTAAACTAATTATAGTACTCTATAGTAATAAAAAGACTATTAGGCTTAATAATTAGGCCCGGTAATAGTTCCTTTAGACCCTAAGTAAACGCCTATATAACTACTTACTTAGCTATAATTTTAAGCGCAGTATTAATAGCTAAGATGCCAGAAAAAAAACAATATATATTAAAGGTTAATATAATGCTAAGCAGTAAAGATTCTAGCAAAGGGAAGTAAATAATAAAAGAAAAGAAGAATATTTAAAAAGATTAGAGGAGTTAGCAGGGGAAAATAATATATATATATTTTTACCTAGAGGAAAGTATACTTAATCCTTTACCTGCAGATTAATAAAATTAAACATTAATAATATCTATCTTCTATTTAAATAGGTCTTATCTAAATAGGCAGAAAAGGCTTAAGTATCTTTAGCTATATAATATTCTCTATAGTCTAAGCAGTATTATCCTCCTTAAATAATATACTAAGTCTTTAAGCTAATATCGTCCTTAATATAGTAATATATAGCTAACTGTAGCTAAATATAGATATCTGCAGATTTACCCTAATATAGTAAAGTAATTAACTCTAGGCCTTATTAATAGTTATAGCAAAGGCTAATTTAACTAAGAATTATATATAAGTTAAAAGAAATAAGAATTTACTATTCTTAGATAGAAGCTTAAGCTATAGTAAAAAATATTAATTACCTTAAATCTACTTATAGTAATCTTAATTTTTAAATAATAGCGCTAAATATTAGTAATAATAAGATAAGTTCTATTATATATACTATACTATAAGTTATAGTTTTATATAAGTATTATTAATATACCTATCTTTAACTATAGATTACTTAAAGGTAATAAAGAAAAATAAAGGCTTTATAAAAACTCTATAGTATACTCTTTATCTAACTTATTATTACTATTATACTTATCTAATAATAAAAAATATATTTCTTAGCTAAGTAAGCAAGTAAGTAATATCTTATTAAACTTATTAATATTAATATTATATAGGGTTAAAATAGTATAATCTTAAAATAGAGCTAGACTTATAACTAGATTAATTATTGCCTAAAAATACTTTATAAGATAAACTAATTCTAAAAATATATCTAACTTATATA